TAAGGCCTAGAAGATGAAAAAATGTCTTCTAGATGCTTAAACCGGTACTTATAAAGATTGTGCTCTCTAGGAGGGGTGCGGAGGTCTTTATACGGGCTACTCGTATATTATAGTAGCTTACACTTTTAAGGCTTAAGTTATACGCCGGTTATACGGCTCATCCTTCGCTTAGATAATCGAAGGCTTACAATTAAAGTGACTATTTAAGAAAACTACCTAAAGGGTAAATAAAGCGGTAATCGTAGTCTAAAGAGGTTAATAAGTGTCGCGATTAGCTACGGCCGTACTACGGTAAGATATAGGGGATCCTATGCATTACGGCAAGTAGACGACATCTTATAGACCTAATTATTATGCCTTCTTAAAAGAGACTTAATCTATTGGTTTAGTAGTATACGAGATGTCTCTACCTCTATAAATAATAGCTACGCCCTATTCTTCTCCCTTACTGTCTCTAGGCTTCCCCTCTTTTACCCCGTATAGGTTATAGATAAGGCATAGATAGAGAGAGTACATACAGATAACGAAGCGATTTACGAGAACATTAATCCTAACTCTTAAGCGGTGTTAGTTAAATACGTTAGTTAAATTTGGAGTGTATAAAGCTAGGTCCTAAGACTATAGTCATTTAGTCTAATAGATAAACGCTTTAATCTACTCCTAACCTATATTAATTCTACGGTCTCTTATACTAGCAATCTCTATCTATGCTGTTATAGTGCCCTCGCTTCTATAGGCTATAGCCTTTATGCTTAGTCTATCCTAACTCGCTTCTGCTTAGAGCTATAATAAGCTATACTGCCCTTAGTTTCACTTTAGTCCGAAGAAAGGATAGATAAACGATCCTAATGGTCTACTCTACTATAATAGAGTTTACTACATATACTACTAGTACAATCCTAGTAGTAACACTTAGGGCAATATCTCGTAGGGTTATACGACGAGCCGAGACCTTATAAAGTAGGAGGAGTAGCCTATTGCACTTCTAGCTAGAGGTTATAGCAAAAATGTTACTAAGATGTTCTTCTCTAGCTTAGTAGTCGCTAACATATAGAATACTAGTAGCTTTAGTAAGAAGGGTAAAGTACCCTTTATAGCTATATACACCTTAGTTATAAGTTATAGGCGTGTTTAAAGCTAGGTAGCTAACTAACACTACTATCTTTAGTATCTATATGCTAAGAAGTTGCCTAGTAGCAAGACCGTAAGGCTAAATTAGCAATCGTAGTTAATCGCTTATAGCCTAGACGAAGGCATAACTTAGACAACCTATAATGCCATAAACCTAGTTATACTTAAGCTACCTGCTGCATACGTAGATTAATTTATTAACTTCCGCGATCTATTTATCTCCTAGCACGAGGAAACTAAGAAATAGGTCGTTATACTATCCTTAGCTTAATTGCACAAGTTGCTAATCTACACCTTACCTAACTTAAAGGACTAGACGTTAGCTAGCGAGTTCGGCCTAGTAAATGCTATAGGTAGCCTATAGGAATGCCTAAGTCTCTTCCCTCTCCTACTAGATAGTAAGTTAAGTAATACGAAGTAGATTACTTAGATTAGTCTTAACCCTAGTAGTCTACCTAGTGTAGTCGGCTCTAGAACATAATACGTCGTAGGCAGTTTCGACGGCAAAATCTTTACTACCGATGCCGATAGCGTCTACCCTCCTCCTAGGGCCCCTAGTAGTAGTATAACCTTTATAGACTTTAAAGGTACTAGCTTTGCGGAGTTAGGCTAGACTATTACTAGAGACCTTGTTAATGTAGGTCTAGTCCGGACTGTTACCGATAACCTAAGTAGTAGCATAGTAGACACCTTCCTTAGTAGCGATACTAAGGAAGGCACTCTAACATCTAAGCCTTTTACTATCTTAAAGTCGCACATCAATTTCCTAATTACTAGTAGTAACGCCCTTAGCTAGGAAGGTCTAAACCTTATTATCTCTAACAAAACGGTTAGAGTAGATACTAGATAGATTAAGGGTCCGGTCTAGTCTAGGATCTACTAGATCTAGCGACTAGACTAGATCGTAGATTTAGGTCTAGTAGATTAGATCGGTATAGAGATCTACTAGAGCGTTCTACTAGACCCTCTAATTAGTCTAGCATATACCGTCGGCTAATGAGAGGGCTTAGATCTACTAAGCTAATTCCCGCGATATCTTCTCTAACGTCGTCTCCTATATATACATACAAAAATCATAATAATATGCTAACTTAACCTTCTTAAACCCCTACTAAGACCTCTTAATCCTTTACGCTCCTCTTATTACTCGATAATACGTTTCCCTTCGAGTCCTAAAGTAACTACTACGCCCTATTAACTACCCTTACCGCTACCTCCGAAATCTATGTACCTACCGAGTTCTAACGTCCCGACGATTTTTAAAGTACTATAGCTCGCGTAGATACATTAAGGACTATAGGAAACATTAACTACTATAAAGACATTAACTAGTCGCGTCTATAGTAGTAAGAAAGAGATAGGATAAGGATTAAGCTCGAGGCCTATAATAACGGTCTTAGGTTAAGCAAGAGCTAGATATTTAACTATAGGTAGAGGGTTTAGTAGTAAGGTGTCCTACTAGAGGTTTACTTCTAGGTATATAAGACATGCTATAAGAAGAAGGCTATTAGGTCTACGTTCACCTACGGTAATAGCACTATACCCCTAACAAAACATCTACTTAAGACCTATAATATTACCGTCTATAGGGTAGGCGAGAAACGTAGTCGTCTCTCGAGTAGCTTTACTACTTCCTCTACTAAGAGTTCTAACTATAGGTAGGACATAGAGCGCTTTAGAATAGTCTTCTACTATGCTTCTTAGAAGGCTAGGGTAGTAGCATAGATATGCTATAACAATTAGGCCTTCTAAATGATAGAATCTTCCTATCTTTAAGACATGCTCTTATTACTTAATCCTACTATTAGTAAGCGTAGATGTCTTCCTAACTACTTATCTATCGTTAACTAGATTAAATAGGCATATATAAGTTATCTTAGCATTATGACCGAGAAGCTCTATACTACGTAGAGCAAGATCTATCTATTATTTAATCTCTAGTCTTCTCGTAACCTACGCGCTTTACTAGGCATTAATTGCTACTTCGCCGATAAGTTCGGTAATCTTAAGACCTTCCTTCTATCCTTGCTAGAACAGTCTAGTCCTTACTCTAGCATTAATATTACTAATAACGTTGCTACTATTATTAACTACTTCGACCTTATAGATAAAATCGGCTACTTTATAATAGATAACGTAACAAATAACGACACCTATATCGAGGCCCTTAGGACAGAATTCGGCTTTAATCTATTATACCGTCGCTTACGCTACTCTAGCTATAAGATTAACCTTATTACGCGCGTAATGTTATAGGGTGTTAACGAGGAGGCCTTCGAGAACGAGCTTACGTATATTACTATTAAAGACTAAGACCTACTTATCTAGCGCCGGCGCGGTCCTCTTAGTAAGATAAGAAACACTATTATTTAGATACGCTCCTCTCCTTAAAGGAACGAGGCATTTAAGCAGTTATAGAGGGAGCATCCATTAATCGACTAGATCTACGAGCTTTATATACTAAACGACACCCGATAGAATTTAATGTAGGACGCTATTATTATGTTCATTAAACTACGCCCTACGGTAGAGGAGTTCTATTAAAAGTAGCAGTCGCTCTAGTAAGACTATTAGAATAAGATCACTAATTTTAATTAAAAGCTACCCCCTTAGAAACACCGTAAGAAGCCTACCTAACTTAACGACCATCTATCGTAGGATAACTAGTCTATCTTATCGATATATAACTAACTTCTTAAGCCGCTCTATTATGCTACCTAACGTCTTAAGGGAAAGGGAGGCGGTACTAGTTATAGTGCTATATAGTAGGTAATTCCTACGATAGAGAAGTTACTAATACACCTCGAGGTAGTAAAGACTAAATACTCTATCGTCCGGCCCTCTTAAGACTACTCGATGTTTAGCTCGTAGGCTAGCACTATTTATAAAGACTCCTAACCTTCCTAAGGTGCACTTTAAGACCTCGACAAACTAGCACTACTTACTCGTTTTAACCTACGTAGAAACTAAGCATTATAACCTATATAACTGCCTTCTCTACTACCTAAACCGTCGTTACTACGTCCTCCTACTCCCGCCGAGCCCTTAAAGAATTTACTAGAATACTGCATGCTTTACGTAGGCGTTAACCTAGTATAGAAAAAGCTAGATAAATATTATTAGAAGATAGACTAATCGCTAGTCTATGTTATAGCAGTTATCCTCTACCCTAGCCTTAAGTAGAAGTACATTAAGAAGGTGTAGAGGGACCGCTATACTTAGATCGTTTAAGCGCGTAGAAATGTCGAGGATCTATAGTAGGAATATACCTCTCTTCCTATTACTAAGGAGGACAAATAGTCCGCTATAGTTAAAGATAATGCGCGCTAGATAGACGACGACATGCTTAGCGAGTTCTCTAATGTCGGTAAAGAGATAAATAACGAGTATATACGCTAGAACGAGGAAGGGCGCCTACTAAAGGAATTTAGACCTCTTAAGTTCTAGTTAACGAAGCGATAGCGAGAGACTTATCCTCGCCTCTCGAAGATAGCTAGAGACCTCTTTACTATCCCTATAATGTCTAATGAGCTAGAGCGTATGTTCTCGAGTGCCGGCCTTATAGTAACACCGCTGCGAGGAAAGCTATCTATAAGAGCAATTGGTTAGACGTAGTGCGTTAAGAGCTAGATAAAGACTAGTATTATTACAAGGCTGGAGGGCTCATTTGAACTTGTAAATAGCGTGCCTTAAGAGGCCGAATAAACGACTCCCTTCCATCGACCAGCTACACCACCTCCTCCGCTAAGACCCTCTATACAGCAGACGGACCGGACCAGATCGATCCGATCCAGTAGATCCAGCTGGAGCGGATCGCTTAGCAGATCCAGTGGACCGGATCTGAGGGTAGGTCCGGTCCGATCCATCCAATGTCTACTCTGAAAACGGTGCGACAAGCTACTGGTGCGAACACAGGCGTCCTAGTCTGGCAAGGCTGGGATGTCAGCGAGTTCCAGGGCGAGACCGCCGTGCTCGAGATTGTCGACCTGTCAACAGGCGGGTGGGGCCATACAATCGTCGACAAGATCACCTTCTCAGACGGACCTATAACATCGCAAAAGGCCAACTGGATGGATTATGGCCCAGACTTCTACGCAGCAGTGCCCTGGAATGGCCTCGCCACGCAGGACAGAACGAACATTGGATGGATGAACAACTGGCAGTACGCCCAAGTCATTCCCACGGACCCATGGCGTAGCGCCATGAGTGTGCCTCGCGGCCTCTCGCTCCAGACTGTGAACGGGAAAGCTCAGATCGTGCAGACGGCCAAAGAGAAATGGTCCAGCCTTGAAAGTCGCGGCGGCAGCTACTCAAACAAGTGGAGCTCAGTCTCGGAAGGCACGCAAAAGCTAAAGCTCGACGGAAAGATTTTGGACATCGTCTTGACCTTTGATGACCGTTCTGCCACCGCTGGCAAAGCATCCCGATTCGGAATCATTCTTCGCGCCTCCAAGGACTTGTCGCAACAGACTCGCATAGGCTATGACTTTACAATCAAGCAGCTCTTTGTTGACCGCACAAAGTCTGGTAACTCTTCTTTCGACGCCACATTTGCCAGTGTATACTATGCTCCACTGCAGGCTGCTCGTGGGGGCAAGATTACAATGCGTATCTTGCTCGACTGGTCTTCGATCGAGGTCTTCGGTGGCATCGGCGAGTCAACTTTGACGGCTCAGATCTTCCCGGCGGATAGTGGAACAGATGTTTTGTTGTTTTCGGAGGGGGGCAGGACGAAAGACGTGAGTGTAACGGCGAAGGGGGTCGGATCTGCTTGGAAGTAAACGTCAGCTGGGCGCGTCCTGGGACAAAGTGGATAGCTTGCTTGGAGCTATGAGGATTACTTGTGAGTGGCGTTCTGATAGCTTGTAGTCGTGATAGAAAACGATTGAAGACCGATGTTCTTGTCTCAATGTCCACGAAAGCGTAGACTCATCACTCATCCAGTGTGCATGCTATGGTCGACGATGTCTCGTTCCACACAGCAGTAGTCCAGAGTTCTCCAGTGTATGTGTTTACTAGCGCCAGTATACTCCAGGCGGTAACCGTTCTACCAAGGAATCCCAGGGACATGGTTGGAACGAGCTGTGCACAACGTGAGCTGCGCAAAAAACCATGATGCGATGGCACATGTTGTTGTCAAAGAAGGGTGTAAATCACGCTTTGGCGCAAGGAAAGGTGTCAACCTAGATAAGATGAATAGAGTATGAGAGAAGATGGAAGAAAGAGCATTCAGTCAACCTTGACTTCCGTACAAAAAGCAAAAAGAATCGCCGCTGCGGGTATTCGAAACCCGGATCTTCCCCTTAGTCAAAGCATCTAATCTAGTCTAACTATAATACACGCTTGGCCCTGTTTTCACAGTAAGGGGGGTGCTTTACCACTAAGCCACAGCGGCTGATTGTTGAAAGAAGGCCAGCTTTCAGTGTATATAATCCAGCTTGCGATTGAGAAGGTGATGTTCAAAACATCTTTGCACATTCCAGATAGATCTTGGAGCCTCCATAAATATCGTTTAATGTTGTTCTATCTGTTGAGTCTCCATGTGTTCTCTTCTCTTCCCTGCTGCCCTATCCTCTATCGTTATCTAAGTCTGTTGTGCAGCTCTGGTCTCATCTTCCTCCCCTATTTTGACAGTAGAGAAACACTTGTGATATCTGCGCGATCATATTACACTGCAATGTCTAAGAACGAAGGATCTAGAACTCTGGCACAAGTAGAAAGATCGTGTGAGACAGGTAGAAAAGTATGTGATCAAAACAAAGGCAACGCATTATCGAACTCACTCACCAAAAAAAAAAACACAAGTGCAAAAAGAGCAAAAAGTAACGCCGCCACGGGTAATTGAAACCCGGTCTTCCTTTTAGCCCCAACCACCTCTAAGTGGCTGGGCAGGTGCTCTACCACTAAGCTACAGCGGCTGATTGATGAAAGAAAGCCAACTTCCATAGTATATGACCCCTCAAAAGAAGCACCATCCAGCTTGCCTCTGCAACTTTTGAGTTCAAAACATTCTTGCACTTCTGATATAGATGTTGATTTGATGCCTCTGTGAGAATTGTTTGAGGTTGTTCTACATGTTTAGCTACAAAGTGGCATATCCTCCTCTCTGCACCCGCTTGGCCGTCTGCTCTGTTCATTGGGCGCAACTTGCGCCTTATGATAGTACCATCTCAAAATCATGTCCGCCAGCATGTCCTGATCCCTGTCCTTTCCAGGCTTGGACATTGGCAATATGGCAAACATTGATGTGACATGATTATGCAGTCATGCTGAACTTACAAGCAGTAGTCAGAAGAGCGCGACTGACCGCTCAGATCGCCATCAAGGCGGCTCTGCGTCGAGGTTCAAGGGTCGCTACAGTCATGATGGAAAGTTCGTGTTCGAGGCGCCTGAACAGCTATCTCAGTCCTCCAGTGACCCTTCCATATGTGCCATGATCAAGGGATTCCTCGGCCACCCTACTGCCGGCTCGTTGCGCGCCAGGGATCACGATCTCCTTTGGTATGGGTCAACCGAAAGCAGCTCAGCAGGGGCCTCGATTGTTGGTTACTCCTTCTTACACGAAGAGGCGACAGCATGGCATACACGATCACGGGCATGGTATAGAGAAGCTAGAGAGTGTGTTTCTTTTGGAAGTGTATGTCTTGATTCATTTCATGTGTACCTGTTGTCTCGAGTTCCTCCTCCATTTCCAACGAGTCTTGAAGTTTTGATGACTGATGGGGCAGCCAATGGAATTGTGTTCGTGCTTTGATGGGTAGAGGGATGAGTGTGTCGTCCAGTTGTACATGGAAGAGACCGGACCGCACACCCAGACTATACAGGAATGGGTGCGCAGTCCAGCTCCACATGGTAAGCTTGAAAGGGAGAACCAGCGACATTTGGGAGCAGAGGCGAGAGCAGACGCAGGTGTGCAGTCCCGCTATACATTGCAGGAACTACACACCTACACCTACACCTAACACCCCCACACACACCCCTTTCTGGCGATCAGAGCTGTTCACAATAGTCAGCTGCGGTGCTCATTGGGTGATGGGAGAAGAGCAAGCAGGAGGACGAAGGTACTGACCTGTGCGATCACTTTATGCCGCGTGGTGATCTGGCGCGAGGCGAGACCACCAGAGAAGCAGTAGGACTGTGCGTAACGGCCGAGTAATGAGAAACACGCTCATTCAGCTCGATATCGTTGGTGTTGATATGCTTGTTCTTGTTCTGAGTGTCGATGGTGTTGTTGTTGACTATGAAAAGTCATAATAAGCAGGAGCCAAGTAGAAGACGCGTGATTTGGAGACACCAATCGTACAGGACAGAGAACGCTTGATCTTACTGATGAGACCGATGGCCTTGGCCTTCAGCTTGAGGTAGATGGATGTCATGGTGAGTGGATGGGTTGTAGTGGTGGATGGGAGTCTGCTCGGTGATCAGAAGAGATTGCAATTGACAGGGTCATGATTTCGACACTTACGAAGATTTAGTGGGAGCGCGGAAGAAGAGGAGAGGAGATGACTGGCGATAGAGAGACAGTTGACTGCTGTATGTGATAGACGTGATGAACGAGTGTGTCTTGAAAAGAGGAATGAGAAATGGCGGAGTCGAGAAAGCTGGATGAACAACAAGCTCACTCGAGCATGCTTCTTCGAAAACGGCACTAGTGCTCCATGGCGACGAGGTCATCACGAATTTGCCGATTTGACAAGCAAGCATCCGACCATCTCTCGGACGCGTTTGCTCTTACTCAAACGGTTGTCCTGCAATCACAACCGCTTACCACCAACCCTTTCGTCCCAAACGCAGCTCCTGTCTCAAAATTGTACACCGTTCAAGGAAAAGATATTCTGCAAGTCAGCGAGGCAGTCACAGCGGCGATCAAGATGGTAAGTCTGCACTCCCAGTACAATCCCCTAGTCGCGACCCCTTCCCTCGTTGTTACGCAACGCTTCCTTCAGGGCATGATGCTCTTCACGGGCATCTCGTTCTTGCGCAGCATGCTGTACGGTTCGACAGGTCCGAGATGGAACGCACACGAGAGGGAGAGACCTGGTATCTGTTATCTGTGCTGTCCAACGTGCTGACTATTACCAGAATATCACAAACCATGCCGGTTCGGGAGCACTCGCCTTGTTCCCAATGGAGACTTGGGTGCTCATATCCGAGAATGTTGAGGAAAAAACCATGCTCAATTACCGTCTCGTGTGCAGTACACTGTCGAAGTCTGCACACAAGGCTTTCCTGCTCACAAGATTCGCCACCAGAAGAAGTCTTCCAACTCGTAAGAGTCTGGAAAAACTACTCCACCTCCTCCGAAACGATGATTTCGGACCTTCCATCGAAAGGTTGATACTGGAACCTATTCCAGACAACTACGGCAGAAAGAACAGGAAGTCCGATTTCCTTTTCGTGCATGAAGAACTCGGTTTCCACCAGATCTTCAGCGCCATCAAGGCTCGTGGGAACAAGGTAGCTCTGGAATACGTAGAGAGCGAGACCACCTGCGATTACCTGCGCCCTCGCCGCGGAAGCTTGACCTACGAGCTGCATGGGCAAGCATTCAAAGCCGACTACGAGTTCCGTGACATCAGCGTCTCGGCTATCGGAAGATATAGCCTCCCCGTGGCTGAAGCCGAGGATATCTTGTGGTGTCTCGCAAAGAATAAGTCTACAATACGGGCAACCCATTACAGCAACATCATCACCAATCCTGCCGCCCACTACAGCGACGTCTACAGCAACCTCACCGTCAATGCCGCCGCCGCTGCCACCGCCAATTTGCGCTACGCAGTCGACTATACGCCTCACGACAAGGCCTTAAGCTTTCAAAATGTTGGCATGGTCTTCGAGCATGTCAGGAACTTGCTGCATGTACACTGCGGTATCAGAATCAGCATCAGTAAATGGATTACCACCGACTTCACGATCCACAAATTGCAGCTTTCGCAATGCACCATCAGGGGCCCGGGCGTCCTTGAGCGCTTGCTTGAAAACAACCGTACCTCGCTCCAGGTCATTGAAGTCGAAGATGTGCACATGGAGCTGTCCGACCAATGGTGGCCAGGCCAAGTCGGTGATGGCTGGCACTTCTGGGGCGACTTCTTGTACATGCTTTCCGACATGCCTGCCCTGAAAAGCGTCAAAGTCTCGAAGCTCCGATACCTGCGTCAATATCAGCGGCTGGGCTGGAAGCCTGACGAGGTCAACCTCCCCAGAGGCGCCAAAGAGGTGGTCATCAAGGGCAACAACTTCCGCACCGAGCTTGAGGATCTTGCTTCGTTCGTCATGGCCGCGGATCAGCGCATGAGAGCAGAGTGGCTGGCGCCCGACGCAGTAGAAGGACCGTCGATGGTGGAGGCAGACCTCTGAAAGGGAATGAGAACGAGTACCGATCGCTTTCTCAGAGGAGTTGGCCATGTCAGAAGCCACTCTGAGTTTTCACAAGCATGACGGCACCACAACGAGCATAGGAGATGCGGAAAACTGAGGAAAGAGCAGATCCGCAACAAGGCCATACCTGAGGTCTACAAGGGAATCCTCTCAAAAGCCTCAACACTGGCTGCCTGAAGAGCTTTCTCACCAACACTCTCTTGGAAAAGCGTCATGCACATGGAAAGGCGCGGTCGTACCTAAAAGAGAAGAGAGTATCTGGGAACAAAGAGTTAGAGACAAGGGAAAGAAAACTCGAAGAGTTCAAAGGAATATTCAAAACGCACGGAACAAAGAGAAATGGGGCCGAAGATGGAGTTGCTGCAGTAGGGATAGATAAACTACTGAAACCAATTGAGTTCCTGTCCTCATCCAGATTCTTTCTTTACTACCGTGGCTCGACGAGCAACATGTTCAGTCCATGGCTGAGAAAGTGTGCAAAAGGACAAGATGAGAACCAGTTGTGCTAGTGCTTTGCTTTCGATGTGAATCTCAATCTTTGAACGGACACAAGTCTAACACACTACGACGTGAGACGAGAAGGACTACGCAACAAGAGTTGATGGCGAGACTGAGATCAATCGAAGTAAGTAGAATTGCTGTCATCAGACTTTCGCCNGATGGTCAGAGGAATGAAGCACTCACCATTTGTTCATATCCAGAATTCTCGGCCTTGGGGCTGGTTGAAGCGCCAAAACTCCATGTCAGTCTGGTGAACGATTGAGTCTTCGTACTCCTTAGCCGAGATGAAGATGGCATCCTGAGAAAGTTAGCATTTGAAGTCGGTTTTCTCAGAAGAGAAGATACTTACGCTCTGTGTACTGGCAGCGATGGCCTTCTCGGCAGACTTGACAGAGAAATACTCGCTACGGAAGCGAGGAGCCTCGAAACCGTTGGGCTCGATGTAAGCAAACGAGCGGACGTCACCGAAGTTCTTAGCGAATGTTAGAACTTCGGCGTAGATGGAGTGTATGTTGATCTCAAGCATGTTCTTGGGCATGGCCGTGAACTCGACTTGGCCATCGTAGGCCGAGATGGCCTGAGCACGGGGCTCGTAGAGTAGAAGTAGAAGGTTCTGCGGGAGAGCAGAACGATCTTTTCTTGTCAGTCTGGAAATGTACATCGCTGCAGTAGAGCTCAGTCAGATGATGAGTATCACAAAAGAACAAAAGATCTTACGTTTGCGCGTGTTGTGGTGAGCCGTCATGGAAGGCGCACGGGGGAGGGCAGGAACCGAAGATCTAGAAGGCGCATGATTAGTGACACGTGCTGATCAACTTTGAGAGATGACACGCTTACCTTGTGTCTATCTTACGTATGACGTAGTAGTCTGTGTAGAAGATGGACGGACAGAGAGAGTTGATGAAAGCTGAAGTTGAGGTTGAAGTTGGTGGTTGGGAAGAAAGCTGGAAGAACTGCGCAAATTGGAAGACCCGGGGATATTTGGCCACACAGGAGTCATCACTACTTACGCGTCACTTTACTTAGTCATCTTACAAGTGAGGAGATGCTTAAAGTAATAGTCCAATCCAGTGAACCGTGTTGGTCTTTGTAGACCCAGTATCAATCTTTCTTGCTTCTTCATTCTACCTGTATGAGAGATTCCTTCTCGTACATGCATGATAGTAACCACTCATTTCCGACTGCAGTCTACTCCAAGAAAACACGCTCCGCCGCTGTTCGCACGCAAAGCTTGGCTTCAATCGTGACTTGGGATGAAAGTAGAGAAGGAGCAAGGTATGTGATCGAGAAGACCCGTCCATGTGCTATGCTTGTTATGACCTCATGCGAGGAACACATCCCGCCGTTAGTCGCGCGAAAAGCATTGTGCAAGTCATAGTTGAGATCCAAATAGAGAGGGGGAGGGCATCTGAACGAACCTGTTTATTCTACGCTTTGCCTACCATAATCCTTTCCGAAGAAGCCCACCCTGCCGCCAGTCACGCGAAAACGACGGGTTGGTTTGTGGCTGAGATATAGACAGGAAGGGAGACAAGTTGATATTTGAGAAGTTCTACAGACAGGTGGAGAGAGTGTGAGAATTATGAGCAGGGAAAGGGTAAGCACACAAAGCGAGCCCTCCTTCCCATCTCTCACCGAAGTTGAGGCGAGATATACCACTGCCGCGTACATGCGACTGCACCTGAGATATCGTGCTGTTCATGGATTGCTTGACTTGGTGGAAGCACGCGCTAGCCTGATCGACTATGCACGTAGTGTGGACTGTAAGATAATGTGCTTGCGCAAGCTCCAGAAAAATGGTCGAGGTGCTCGCTGCTCAATATCAATCAAGTACGAGTGTCTGTTGTCAGGCAGGACATCCGACTCATGGTGGTACCAGAGCCTGGGGCGGCACGAAGCAGCCTCCTCTGTGTCTGTTGTCAGGCAGGACATCCAACTCATGGTGGTACCAGAGCTTGGGGCGGCACGAAGCAGCCTCCTCCATGATAACGGAGTTGAGGAACTTGGCGAGGAGACAGTCGATTCCCTGGATCGTGGCGTAGGATACCTCACAGCGTTTGGTGGAGCCGTAAAGACTCCAGGGCTTGCCAACCTTTGCATTAACAAAGTTGGTGATGTGCTCGGGGTGAGTGAAGTTCACGAAGGCATAACCAACGTTCAGCTCTGTGCTAAAGTCAATGCGCAAGTAACTGAAGTCTCAATGGCCGAAGGAGCTCTTGTCGAGCGATGATGATCCATCTCAGAGGTCTGAGGTCGGGGTCATCCATTGCATCCATCATCTGGTCGAGATTGACGAAGGGATCCATGATATGTTGGCAGGGTTGAGGTTTCGAGTAGTGGACCTTGGTGTGCGCACGTCAACGCCTGCTCCTGCTGTGACTGGATTAGAATCATTGGTATGCCGGCAGAGGACGAGCAAATTCGACTGACCTTGACAACGTTCGTAATGCTCGTTGTTGGGAGCAGGGGAGGGTCCGTCTCGATTTGCGGCAGGAACCAAGGCCGACTATTGATAGTTAGCAATGGAGAGAGAGGTGGTGAATATGATGGAGCGAACTCACAGCGTGGAACGCTTACGCTTCTGCTCGTTGTTGGGAGCAGGGAAAGATCCCTCCCCGAGTGGCGACAGGAAGAGAGCCAGCTATCAATGGTTAGTATGGAGAGAGGTGGTTGTGAGGGAGAACTAGAGACGATAAAACAAGGACAAAGTAGGGAGGATGAAGTAGGGAGGATGAAGTAGGGAGGATGAAGTAGGGAGGATGAACTAGGGACGATGAAGGAGGGACGAGTAGGGATGTTGGAAGTAGGGACAATAAAGTAGGGACGTTGGAAGTAGGGACGACAAGGCAAACTTACATCATGGAACGCTTGCGCTTCTGCTCGTTGTTGAGAGCGCAGAGGGGACTCTTTGCGAGTTGTGACGGGAATAAATCCCGATCTATGACTGTTTAGTGTTGCAGAGAGTGGTAGGGACGATCGGTTTCACTGACCTGGCCAGAAGATCTTGTCTTCTTTGCGCTTGCGCGCAGTGGCGCTGATTTGTATCTTGATAATAAGGATAACAAAGATAACTTGCTGATGAACCGAAGAGTTTTGAACACTTGGCAGCAGCTGATGATAGATCTTGATGAACGAAGACCACGCTTGCTGAGGTAGCCTTGCCATGACGATTCTGTGAAAATGGAGTTAGATCTTTGAGTGATATGAAGGAGAAGATGACCTCTGCGCACTTGATGACTAACAGTCACAGTTGTTGAGATGAGAAAAAAGAGTTGGTGTTTGATGATTTAAAGATGGTGGAAAAGAATTGGGTGCGTTGTGCTGAAAACGCACCGCAAAGTATTGCACCAGATGCGGTCAAAGCTTGTGGACCATTTTCACTGCCCTTATTGCAACCATTATGACGTAGCCTACTATTCCGCACTCTTCTTGAGTAGACACCATGATTCTCACTTGACTATCTATGTCTTTTTGAGCGACCTAGGCCTGAAGCCGTGTCTCTCCTCCCCAGACTACCTTTTCAAGCCAATTGATCAAAATGCAAGATGTCAACGTGCAAGCTATAATTCTCTCTGAATACTCATCATATCTTCTCATAGTCATAAAAAGTTGCATCAAGTTGATGAGATAGGCCGTCGGATTGAAGAGAGACCGACATGGAGTAGACGATAGAGATGTCGAACTGGGCTGCCAGAAGAGGAAGTTGTCGAGCCGGGCGTGACTTCCTTCAGTTGTGCGAAACGAAAGCCGTCACCACGACCTCAGCGTCGATGAATCTCCGTAGAAACACAGCACCGGTGTCTTTCTGCAATCTGACCTGCGTCAACTATTTCTTCTCTGCAACTTTTCGAACAACCATTCCCACAACCTCGCACAACACGACTGTAAGTCTATGACCAATATCTTCACACCTGCTGTAACACGCATAACATCGTCTTGTATCGCCTACCAATTACAGCAATCTAACACGTGTGAAAGAAGCATGGTGGAAGTTCCTTTCCAGACGAAGACTCGCGCTATGCGCAAGCAGGAGGAGGCGCCTAGACGGTCATCTCGCCTCACCTCTTCGCCTGCCTCTTCTCCCTCGAAGAGTAAGAAAGCTGCCGTCAAGAACGTCGGCAAGCCCGTAGCCATGATCGACAGCCCGGTCAACAACCCATTTGACCTCTCCAAGAAGGCCCAGTCTCTCAGAAAGGCCGAGACTCCCAAGAATGAAAAGACGCCTTCAGTCTTTGAGAGACTCGCTACTCCCTCGAACAAGTCAAAAGGCATCAAGGAGTCTAAGGTGCTCAAACCCTCCAACGAGAGTGTTACTACCAAGCCTGAGCTTCCCCCTCGTAGCGCCAATGGTAAATTCAAGAAGTTCGCTACTTCTCGCACTTCTTCTGCCGGTGGCGGCATCAAGCCATACTCTAAGGTTCCTGGTTCGAAGGGTCACAACAGGCCCGATACTCCTGCTCTTCTACTCGACGGGACCATCAAGCCTAAGCCTCCTGTTCCTCTCTTCGACGACACAAAGGAGCGCGATGTCTCTGACACCCCTGCTTCTGTCGGCAGCATCAAGCATGCTCCTCGTGTTCTCGGCAGCAATGTCAACTCCAACCCTCCCATTCCGCTTTTCTACGACAACGACGAGCAGGATATTCATGACGCTCCTGCTTCTGTTCGCAGCATCAACCATGCTTCTCGTCTTCTCGGTAGCAACGTCACCTCCAAGCCTCCTGTTCCACCTTTCTACGACAGCAAGGAGCTGGTTATGAATGATGCTCCTGCCTCTGTCGGCAGTACCGAGCGTATTCCTCATGTTGCTAGCTTCAGTGGCACTGCCAAACCTCCAGTTCCCCTCTTCAATGACACCGGAAAACTCGACGCCTCTGTCGTTCCTGCCTCTGTCGTTTCTGCCTCTGTCGGCAGTACCTCTGTCGTTCCTGCCTCTGTCATTCCAGCCTCTGTCGGCAGAATCAAGCTCATTCCTCGTATTCCTCGCTCCAACGGCACCACCAGACCTTTCGTTCCCCTCTTCAACGAACCCGTCGCTCCCAAGCCTGCCGCTCCCATCATGAACAAGATCACTCCCAAGCCTGCTCCCAAGCCTACTTTCGTACCCATGCCAGTCTTCCCTAAGGTTCCCAATCTAATCAGACCTCTCAACTGGTCCGCCGTCCCCGCCCATCGTATTCCCACCGCCAGCTTTCGCAACACCAAGCCCGGCAACCTCGCCTTCACCTTCACTGGTCCTTCCGAAGAGGAGAAGGCTGAACTGCGCGCCGAGAAGCTTCAACGTGAGAACGAGCGCAAGGCACGCAAGGTCGAGCATGACAAGGACTACGAGAATCTCCTCGAAGCAGCCAAGAACAGCAACATCGGTACCAGATCTTCCAACATGGACATTCGTGGTCAAGACTTGATGTATGGAAGCAACTGCATCTATGGTACTTGCAAGCAGAGCTTTGCCGAATGCAAGTGTGATGATCCCATGCTGGGTTGATCGAGCTTGGATGAAAATGTGAGCATCAGTGGTCAAGAAGGCTGTTTCACCGCCTGGTCAAAGATATTCACCGCCTGATCAAGCAATCTCAACGGATGGCAAGAGAGTCTTACAACACAATCAAACAGTCTCAGGGAACGAATTGAAACGAATAAACAGGAAGATACGAATCGAGAAGAAGGAGGAACCAGTCTCATTCGCCTCGTGGATGAGTCAAGACATCAGGATAGGACGGGATTTCCTCGGGATGTCTGAATTTCGCTTTTTTCGCAGCGAAGTAAAAAGGGGTGATCATGGTTCGAGACGAAAAGTACAAAGGTATTGATCTGTACTTTTCAACGAGGCATTTGAAGGATTAGAGAAAAGAAAAGGAAGGAAAGTGGATCAATAGCATCTTAGCCCTCTGGTTCTTTTGATTATTAACTTCTGCAATGCTATTAACGTTGTCATTCTGAATCCGTCTCTGCTGTCTCATTCTGAACCTGTCTCTGTGTTTATTCGGCCCGTATGATCTTGCCGCTCAGTCGTTCTGTTGTATTGCTGTATGTCCGCCGTCTCATGTCTTGTTCTTCTTGTCGTCTGTGATATCATGCCATCCTCATGCTTGCAGCCGCTCTTCCCATCCATGGCGTTTCCTATTCATATCTCTCTCGCCCAAAGCATCCACTCATCCAGAGCACCCGAGGTCTTCCATCTCGAACGTCCCGTCCCACCCACATCCTCGATGGCGCCCTAGACCAGCTCTAGCAATCTCTTTCTCTTCTTTTGTACCCTTTATTCGAGGCGTCTCAGTCCTCCGCATCGTAGATCTGCAACGCCAATTGCAAAGCCAGACTGGCCAGCAATCTCTCGTCATCTTCCTTCTCTGCTTGCACTCTTGCTGCGATCATGTCGTCCAAACCGGCGAGAACGGCAGGTCTGCCGGTGAATTCGTGTTTGCCTGAGACAAGGAGGTTGGCGGCGGGAATCGGGATGTCGTCGTCAGGGTCTTCGGCGATGAAATCTTGGTCGGGAGTATTGGGTGGGGCGATAATGTCTTCTTCGTCATCGGCATCATCATCGGCATCATACTCCATCTCAGGCACAGCAACACCGCACCCGATATCCTCAAGCAGCACCTTCTCGAATGGCAGATATTGCTTCAACAGCTCGGGAAGCAGTGGCTTTTGCACCACATCGTGGATGATTTCCACATGGCTGATCTCGAGATCGGCGATATTGTTGCCGCGGATTGCCATGAGGGCGTTTAGGTCATCCCAGGTGATCTTGAGGTTGCAGAGGCTGAAACGGTGGACGCCGGGGAGAAAAAGATGACGGATGAGGAAGCCGAGGGTGTAGTTTTCGAACAGCTGTTTGGCGTGGGCGGAGGGGGAAGTGTAGAGGGTGATGCTGTGGGTATTGGTGTTCATAACCAATTGCTTGCCACCGATGACCAGGGAAAGGCGTAGGCCGCCGTTGATCCTGCCCTGGAGACCAGCGGTTGCGAGTCTTGACACCAGTGCTGCGAAGCGCAAGTTGTCGCCATTGCTGCCGGTGTTCCAATCCTCCAGCTCGATGGCGATGTTGTTGGGCGGGAGGCGGGCGCTCATGCTGGCTGCGAGCAGCATCTGCATGGTGCTGCCGGGGCGGTAATACCAAACACCCAATGCCAAACCGCCAAAGGCAGCAGCAAACCCATATCCGCCAGGGGAGTCGTACACCCCAATCTCCACCTCCTGGCCCCTTGCCTGCAAGATACCGAAAATCTCGCTCAACAGAGCAGCAGCAGCACCAGATTGGATGATCCTCAACTGCTCCACAGCAGCAGCATCGTATCCCTCTAAACACTCCCTGGCCTCCCGTCTGTTGAACCCCCTCTCCCTGATCCGCGCCATGAGCAACGTAACCCTCTCTTCCACTCTAGCGGTGGAAAAGACGAGTCTCTGCACAAAGGTGCCGAAGACCTCGTGCGAGAGCAACGAGATCACGCCCTCCAGTGCCTCCCTGGCCATCACGACAGAGACCTGAGCCAAGACTTTGCTGCCGAAGGAGGTGGCGGACAGCGAGGCGAGGGTCTTGCAGGTTTGACGGACTGCAGGGAGGGTGGAGGGGGGCACGTTGTCGAGGATTTGCTCGACGAGCTCGGAGGGTAGGGAGAGGAGGGTGCGGGGTGTGGTGGTGGTGGTGGTGGTAGACATCTAGGGGTGAGATATGTTAGTATGTGTGATTTCTTTGGAGGTTCGATGGTGGTGGAAAAGTATGGTGACTTTTTGCAGAAAGATCGGTGTGTATGCTGATGTTGAGAATGATGTCCAGGTTGAGGATAGGAGAACGGAGATGTTGAGTATACGCTCTCCTTGTCAGTACTCTCAAGCTCCCACATCGTCAACGAAAACAGCAGTCAAAATGCAGCATATTTTTGAGATATACTCGAATGTCCAGTGAGAGCAGGAATAAACCATACTCTCACTGGACATCCAACCATATCCCAAAACCCTACTGCATTTTCACAAGCATGTTGACCCTCAGCACTGCCATTGCGAGCATGGTCCAGGTCCAGTAATACCTACACCAGGGGTCGAGCAAGACCCCATCAGCATCAGCTCTCCCAGGCCCCCATCACCTTGACGAAAACCGCCCATCAAAATGCAACATACTTTCCAGTATCCAGAGAATGTCCAAAGAAGAGCAAGAAGCATCGAAAACTCTCATTGGACATCTCAACAGGATGGAAAAGCATGTTGCATTTTGACAGGCAGTAATCATCAGTGTAGCGTGTGCTCGGGATGCGAAATCGAAAGTGCTGAAATCCAGACGTGTTGCGGACTCTCAGTGGACCTTTCGGCAGATCTGGAAAGCGTGTTGCATTTTGACAGGCACGTTCTGTGCTGGTATGCGCGCAGAGGATAGAGAGATAGAAGAGAAGAGAATAGCACTTACTTTGATGATGCACTGTTGTTGCGAGAGAAACCAAAAAAAAACGATGCGCCAAAATAAAGCTGGAAGAGAGAAGGGTTTCGGATTTCGAGCGTGGAGAAAAGAAACCGACGACGACAACCAAAAGCCGCTTGCCCCGAACACCAAGTACCAAAAGGACACAGACCGCTATCGTTTCACTTGTTCTACCATGTAACGACGACATCTTGTCTTCAATCTCATAAACTCCAATTCAAAGCTATAGTCATAAGGAATCTATCGCTCAAACACCGTACTCTTCTGGATATCATCAATTTCCTTCGCCTTTCCCTTGCCCTTGTCCATCTTCGCAGCTTCCACCTCTTGTGCCATTGTCTTCTCGGCGGCAGCATCAATACTCTCGGTACGTGCAGGCGGTAGTGGGGGAGCGGCAGCATCAACTTCGGCGCCCTCCAGCAAATCACGACCACCTTCATCCTCCTCTTCGTCATCTGACTCTGTGCCACGAGTAGAAGCGCCACGGTCGATCTCACGTTGAGCTTCGTCCATACGGCGGCGGACTTCGGCGGCCACACGCATACCATCCGTAACGATGTTGTCGAGCATACCACGAAGTCCCTTTCCGGGTGCCATGACACCTGCTCCAGGTCCGCCGGGGCTGAGTACGGGCAGATTGACCTTGGCTGGCAGGTTGCTGAAAGTAGTGAGGTTGGCGGTCGACACGGTACCGGCGGGCAGAGGTGCATCGGCGAGATGGAAGGAGTTAGGGAAGCCCGAGTCGAAGAAGGTCTCGAGCGCTTCATCGGCGAGGATGAGCATGCGGAAGGTGGGAAGAGTGATGAACAAAGGGTGGTTGGGGTCGAGAGCCTTGTTGGCGCTCGCGTTCTTGCTCGGTGTTGTCTGACCGAAGCTGAATGGAGCATTGCTGATCGGCGTTACAGGCGTCTTGGTGATGGATGGTACTGAGGTGTTATCATCGTCTTGCGGCTTTGTGCTCTCTGGGTTGGTCTTTTCGTCTTCATCGAATTTGACTAGATCTTCCTCAGCATCCTCATCATCGTCATCGTCACCAATACTGAAGGAATTGAGATTGTCTGCTGCAGCCGATACTGAGTCTTCAGACTCTTTCTCGGTCTTCGCGGTGGCGTCGGTGGAGGGTTGTTCGGTGCCATCGGGCGATTGATCAGGGTCAGCATACTCGAAACATCTCCTAATGAAAGCCGAAATGCTGCTCAAGAACTGTTCATCCTTGTTGACCTTCATCGGCATACCGTCAGGTCCGAGTTCTGCCTGTGCGGCAAGGTTGGTTGAGGATGCAGAAGGTGTGACTCCAATGACACCTCGCCTCGACAAGAAGAGCAAAGCCTCTGATATGCGTAGGATACCCTCTCTATCGACTTTTCCATCATTGTCGTCATCGTAGAGATCGAAGAAGTAGCTGATGTTGGACATGATGTCGCGAGGGCCCTTGATGCGGGCAAAGCCGGCCACGACCTTCTGCAGGTTGAGAGCTTCGGAATTGTCAGTGTCCCAAGACTTGAACAGACGCTTCATAAACTCGTGATCCGTAGGCTCGGGTCCAGAACCCCAAGGCGACAACGACACAGAGCGAGCGCGGAAAGTATTGCTGAAGTATCCTCCGTTCTTCTCCGAGTCTTGTTTGGCGGGCGAGCTAGGCGAGTCGGTGATCGCCCATCTGGCAAGACCAGCCAGGAACTCTCTGAAGCTGTCGTAATCCATCTCAGTAGGACTGGGACCAAGACCGACTCTGCCCTTCTCAACATTGCTAGGAATACCACTGACAATTTCTGAAGCCTTGGTCTTTGCAGCCTTTGCCTTGCGCTCTTGCTCTTGTTGAATCATTTCCATCCTCTGCTGTCTTTCGTAGAGCACACCATAGAATCTGTCGTACAAGAAACCAAGATCGAGGGTGCTCAACTTCTTGCTCTCAGGTCCAAGATTTCTGATGGATGTGCGCTTTGCGAAGGACTCGATATTGTCGAGTACAGCATCCTTGTGCTTTGCTCTGAGATCGGAGATACTTTGTTGTGTGATGCCAGAGAACTCCTTGAAAGCAACAACCATGAGCGCTTGGAAGTTTGTGACAGCTCTCAGCTTGGGGTTTTCGGATCTGGGGTGGGCCGACTCGCCGAGACGAGCAAAGTATGATTTGAGAACAGAGATGAAAGTACCATCGTCTGTGGCGTCCAGAAGCTCCTCTCCATTGACCCTGAGAATGGCCAGACCAATTTGGAACAAGACCTTGGGGCCCTCAAGGAAGAAAACATCCAAAACACGGAATGCGAACATGAGGGGCATTGAATTGATGTAGAGGGAGAGGAACCATGGAAGCGAAACGACTGAGAGTTGGACGTCTGATTTGGCTAGATGTTCGGACAAAATGGGCAATGTTCTCTCAACAAGTGATTCGAAGACTCGTTGATCCAAGAGAGTGCCGTACATGGTTTGCGAGTAATAGCCTGGTAGGAGACGATCGCAAAGAATGGCTAGAAGGTAGAAAGCTTGGGTTTCGGAGAGATAGATCAACAGAGCAGCCACAACGATATTCATGGCTTGACAGTAACCAACTTCGAGGTTGGTCCAACTGTACGCAGTGAGAACGCGGCGTAGGCGGCCGATGCCTTCTTCGCTCTGGAAACCAGGGTACTCGGGCAGACTGCGATTCAGGTCTTTTTCGATCTCGTCGATAGCGAGCGAATGTTGGCCCTCGTATTTTGCTAATGTGTCCTGGTAGAGCTTGGGTTGTTGCATTCGTAGGTAGAAGGAGCCTGATGTGAGCTCCCACACTTCTCCACGAAGTCTGTTCGGTAGACCAATTCTCACGAGCCGAGGGAGATCTGGTTGTCTGACAAGAGTGGCATTGCGGCCATTTTCTACGTGCCGTCAGTAGTGTTTCCATAGTAGTCAAGAATAGATGCGCCTTACCTCGTAGATACTCGTACCACAATCTCATCTTGCCCTTGTCTCTGAGTTTCTTTGGGTCACCAGGATAGCGGAACTGCATACCCAAACCAGCATCTGGAGGCTTCAACTGCTCTTCAGGATTCTGATCGTCGATCAACTTCTCAGCAGGAGCGTCTTTCTCATTGCGACGCTTGGCCTCAGCAGCCAGCATGTACTCGGAGTAGCACTCTCCCACGACCTTGCGCATACCATCGACTTCACGCATGCCCTCACGTAGACCCTTCTTCAGCATGTCACAGAACTTCTCGCACTGCACTCTACTGCCAGCCAGCTGGATAGTGAGCTTTGGTGCTGGAGGAGCAGTCTTGGCTGTGTGTTTTGTGTTCTTCTCATCCGCAGCAGGGTAGCCATTCCATGTAGTGATAGACAGGGCGAACATGTAGCTCTGACTGTGCAGACGCTCGACACGACGCACAGCGCATAGAGGGAGTGTGAAGCCATTGCCAGCAGGGCCAGCTCCATTGGTCTGGCCAGTGAAGACAGTAGACAACGAAGTGCTAGCAGTAGGCGAGAAGCTCGAGTTCTGCGTCGAGAAACACAGGAACTTCTCAGACAGATGCAAGCGACCGACGTAGTGGTTTCCACGTTCGCGATCCCAGTTGTTTCTCTGCTCATGGCTCTTGCGTGGTGTATCGGTCGGTGACTTGGATGACGAGGGCGTCTTAGGCGGCAAGGTCAGTTCGGCAGTGATCTCGTAAAGGGGATTTTGCGAATCTGGCAGACGGAACTGGTGACGGAAGAGGGCGGCCTTGGATGAGCGGTTGTCCGAGGGCGCGAGGTTGTTCAAGGCCGGCTGCAGGTTCTGGTCGACAAAGACCTGCGCCTTTTGCGCAAAGTTGGACAAGCTGTTCCACATGATGCTATTGTTGGTCCTTTGTATGCACCTCGAGTGTCGATAGCTTCAAGCGATGGGGAAGGTCAGTAGACCAGTCAGAGCAGACGATTGATGGCCCAGAAGCCGGGTAGTCTATCTTCAAGTCGGCATGCGAGCTGTGACTTTGTGTGCTTTGCACTGCGATATGGATTCTCGATAGCGATAGTTGAATTTGTCCTTCTTCTTCTCTTGACAAGCAGGTCGTCATGTTCTATTCAAGGGTACCTCCAAGGGCAGCTGCTTCCCCCTCCGGCTCATCCCGCTCCCGTTTGAGAGGAGTCCCTGAAACTCTGTCCAAGCCATTTTCGAGCCTCAATCTTCTGCCTATCATCTACATATTGGCTCCTATGAAATCTCGAATCGCCCAGGCTCTCTCCGATCTTTTCATGTCTTTGTATCTGGTTCTTTGTCGCGATAGAAGGATGGAGAACTCATGGCACGAATGCAGCCTATGACGTATCTGAGGTGGCATGTGGTACGTGCACAGCAGCCAGGGTCATGTCTTTTGCATGTCCTTTACGGACACCGACGACGATAAGCACTCGTACAGGATCTTGACAAGTATAGTGACTAGACAGAAAGGTAAAGGGAATCTCGATAACAAAATGATCTATTCCATCCCCGCATCTCTATCCACCATCCTCGCAACTCCAAATCATCTATAAAAAGTCTACAAGGGTATATTGTGAAAAAATGCAAAAGAAAGCGAAAACCCAAAAAAAACAACAACAAATCAAGGCCACAGAATTATCAGACTCAAGCACTCTTGGTCTGTCTCCCACGTACGCGAGTGAACCAGGTGATTGCGAATATCAGAGCGACATTAGACACCAAAGCAAACACGAGGAAGATGCCCCAATCTCTCCAGCGTTGACTGTACTTGTAGTCCATGGTCGCCGCATATTCGGAGCCGGTGGAGTAAGGACAGTATCCACAATCGCTCGTGGCATCAGGGTTGACCAAGTAGCCCGTACTGCGAGCCAGATAGTCTGCAGCATATGCAGCGCAGGTCTGACCGGCAGGAGGGTCGAAGCGAGCGAGATCGTTGGCAGAGCAGTTGACTGGAACAGGTTCCAGCAAATTGGCAGCACTGCCACCGAAGAACCAGCGGAAAGGATCGAGCCAATACAGCCAATTGCGGTAGAAGTCATTCAAAGAGGCATGCGGGATCAAAGTGCCATTGAAAATCATGAGGATATTCCAGAAGAGTGCAGAAGCAAGACCACAGGTTTGCATATTGGAGAACATGGTCGCGAGGAGGAAATTCCACGACATGGCAAACAACCCCAAAGTTACAAATTGGAGGTATTCATATCCCGCAATTGTTGTTTCGTTGGTGTAGCCAACGGTCCAGTACATGCAGAAGTAAATCAGGGTGAAACCGACCAGCATGTATGGCACCTCGACGGTGAGCATGGCAGTAGTCAGAGCTTTCCAGGAGTAGATACCGTTGCGTTCGCGTCCTTCGAATATCTGCCATTTGGAAAACCAGATAGATTGGAGGTCGGGTGCGATGGCCGGGATGATCTGAACGATGATCAAAAGATTGAGAACATTGTTCTGTAATCCCTGGATATCCGTTTTGACCATAAAGTAAGTGAATGATATAAAAAGCTCGCACCACAAGAACTTGAAAAAGCGACTGAAGTTGTAGCTGCCGTCACGCCAGACCGAAATCCAGTGACGCTTGGTAACAGCCTTGACCTGCGGCCACAGCGGCATGGCGAATTGTCCAGTACTAGCAGCAGTCGACTCAGCCCTCACAGCAGTCTTCTCATTGATGACCTGAATCGTCTGTTCGACCTTTGCCTTTTCAGGAGATTGCAGCCAATTGTCATGCCAAACGGCAGAATTATCAGCACCAGAGACAGTAGAAATGATGAATTCGGCAGGATTCTCCGATGCATTCATATGAGCGCCATAACGATCAAAGTACTCGACAACCCTGGCTGAATCTTTGCCAGTTTCGCCAAAGTAGATTGTGCGACCGCCGGGCGCGAGAAGCAGGACATGGTCGAACATTTCGAAGAGCACACCGGAAGGTTGGTGGATAGTGCAGATGATAGGGATGCCTTCACGAGCGATCTTTTGGAGGAAGTAGACGACAGAGTACGCGGCTTGGGAGTCAAGTCCACTGGTAGGTTCGTCCAAGAAAAGAAGATAAGGCGGTTTGGCAGCGAGTTCGACCGCGATGGTGACGCGTTTGCGCTCTTCGACACCGAGACCACCTTCACCAGGAGTTCCAATCAGGGCATCAGCAATGGGACCGAGTTCGAGAAGTGCAATGATATATTCGCAGTATTGCATCTTCTCTTCGTAAGGGACGTTGGCGGGTTGGCGGAGTTCGGCAGAGAATTGGAGGGCTTCTCGGACGGTGGAGAAGGGTTCGTGGACGTCTTGCTGCATGGCAAAGCCGCAAGATCTTCCAAAGGTGGCATCGAGAGGTTGTCCGTTAAGACGCATGGCGCCTTCGACTCTTCCTTCGCTCTTGCGCTGAGAGATTGTGTCCAAGAGAGTGGTCTTACCAGCTCCAGAAGCACCCATCAAGGCAGTGAGTTGACCAGGACGGGCGTAAGCAGTGACATTCTGGAGAAGCTGCTTCTCTGCACCAGCGACATTGACGAAATAGCTGACATCCTCGAAGGTGAAAGAAGATCCGGAGGTATCAGTCTTGACATGCTCGCTGACATTGTCGTCAAAGATGGTGCTGGAGGAGGAAGAAGAAACGGGATCGGTTCCAAGATTGTGGGCAGTACGGCTGGGCTGTTTCTCGAGATCCTGCTCACCAAGGGTCATGCCACTAGAGTTGGCAGTCGTAGGCATGGTCTCGGTCTGGGCGCCACGTTTGAAGACGTGACCACTGGCACCGCCTTGCTCGCGAGCAGTGTATGCCAAACCAACAGCAGCAACAACGGTGTAGATAAACCACATAGCAATGATGATGCCGAAGTTTCTCCACAGGTGAGTTCTCGACATGTCGTAAGTCAGAGACAAGTAGGTCGAACCAGGAACGTCTGGGCTACCTTTGACAGAGCCGGGAAGAGTACAGCCTTGATATGCGAGATTGTCGTATCCAGGACCGCTAGGAACCATCTGCGCATCGGTGCAAGAAAGAGTAATGTCGTAGAACTCATTACCCATAAGTGCTTCCAGAGCCCAAGGCGAAGGTGAAATGCGACGAATCCAGCTGCCCCAGGCGTGCAGAGTCGGCCATGGAGGAGCGAAACCAGAGTAAGTCAAGCAAGGAGGAATGGCAGCTCCAGCCATCAACAACGCAAGGTTGAGATTCGGTGCCAAAGCGCCAATCATGCGGAAGAGAGCGCTGGTGGCGCCATAGTGGACCCAGACGATAAGCGAAAAGATGAAGAATTGAGAAGCCGTCTTGCCCAGTCCAAGCATGAAATAGTAGCAGCAAGAGAATACCAGGGCTTGGAAAAGCGAAATAGGAAGGTCGGCAATGGTCTGTGAGAGGACATATGCTGAGGGATGCGAAAGGCCCAGCTTTCTCTGCTTGACTACGATGGAGCGAGAAAGCACTGTAGCGGGAGTCTCGGCAAGTGCGTTCAAGAAGAAGTAGATCAGCGAGAAGAAAATGGCACCACCGCGCTCGTAAGAGCCAGTGGCAGTCTTGGGAGCCATGTAGAAAGCAGAGCCGGTGATGACAGCGTTGACAGCGTTGAGCAAGAGAAGGGTGTAGAGAGTCTTGCGGTCACCCCAGGTGAGTTGATAATGGCGCTTGATGCCAGTCACAATCTGCTGAGGCAGAGAGTGTGGCTCGGCAGCCGACTTCGAGACACCGGATGCGCGTACACGTTGAACCTCGGCCTTGAAGTCGTTGACATAAGCTGGAGTCGAAGCATGTTCGGAGCGGTATGCGGCAATGTCTCCCTGCAGCTCGTAGTAGAATCTGCTGTTCCTGAACGCTTCCGCGAATTCGTCAGGTGTCGAAGGTACCGGACCAACGTGGTCACTGCGAACGGTTCTCTCGGTCACAGAGGTGACGGCAGTCAGAAAATCCGGAGTAGTCTGTCTAGCCTCACAGTGGTAACCAATATCAATAAAGTATTGACGTGCATCTCCAGTCTTTCCAGAAAAGATCATTCTACCCTTGTATAGAACAAGTACGCGATCGAAGCATTCTTGATAGATGGACTCGGCGGTCTGGTACATAGTGACAATGTTCGCCATGCCAGTCTGCCTCGACATATCCTTGAGTAAACGGCAGAAAGCCAAAGCTGATGAAGAATCCAGACCACGAGATGGGTTGTCGAAACAAGCGACTGCTGGATTTGTTGTCAAGACCTCAGCCAAAGAAACACGCTTGCGCTCGCCACCAGAAACACCTCTGACGAAAGAGTTTCCGACAATTGTCTTGATGGTGTGAGAGATGCCAAATTTCTCGAGAAGCTTCGTTCGCATGTTATCCTTGAAGTCTGCTTTGGATGTTTCATCCTTCGCCGGCTTCCTCAACTCCAGGGCATAGTCTATTGTGTTTCCGACAGATAGCTTGGGGAAGTGGTTGTCTTCCTCGTTGTTGTAAACGATCTCCGATTTGTACAGCTTCCTCGCCTCAGCAGAGGAAATGGTCGAATATTGGACCTCTCCTTCAACGCCGACAAAGGCTTCGATATCGCTAGCAATAGCTCGTAATGTAGTCGAACATCCAGCTCCAGGTGTTCCGAGTACTAGCAGAGTCTCTCCAGGATTGACGACACCAGAAACATCCTGGATGAGATTGCGGACGTTCTTCCTTCGGTTGCCAGCGAACAATTTGACAGCTTGGTAGGGTAATGTGATAATGTTCTCCAGTACTTGAGCGAAATCTGTGACTGTGTTTTCCTCCGCTGCTACACCAGTGACTGTGATGTTTTCGAATACGACACCGAGGCGACGGCCATCAGGTCGGTAGACTGGAAGACCGTTGATCTGTGCAACAAGATATTAGTTAATCATCTAGAAAGTTCAATTCTTTCCACACACCTCTTTCTCAGCCATGATTGGAAGCCTGAGCGTAATACACTCCTAGGAATGGCTCTAGAGATGGCGAAAACGTGGAAGAACAGTTTGGTGCTCCATCCGACAGGGGGACATCCTCCCTATATATCCCAGACCCAGCACAACCGATTACTAGATGTTTCCGCATCATTATCAAGCACAGGTCCACCCCCTGTTGCAAGCGTACGACGTGCTGGGTTGAAAGCCGAGTCGATATCGAGACTTCGAATCCTGTGATTGGCCACACCACCGAGCGGTCTCGGAAACGTCCAAGCTTTTCTTGACAGCTCGGATGTGACAACCAATCAGAAGAGCAAGGCCGACCTTTTCCATTCCGAAGGCAATTCCGCGATGTTTCTGCCCACGATCTCGCCGAGAGTGATGTTGACATCTTTGTGACAGATTTGCCATGTGCCGTAGGGGTCCGTGTCAGGGACGGCAATCGTTCTTCGATGCTTCGGGAAGAAAATGTGTCAAGATGATGCAGTTCGAGATTCGAAGACGAGAGGCGTTACACAAAGACGTATAGTCGAATTGTCGTCAAAGAGGCCGTGGTAAAGAATGAATATTTTCGATCAAGATAAAGAGAATCGACAAGAAACGATGGTAAAAACAGAAAAACATTTGGTATCATTCTTTCCCAAACAAACGAACAGCGCATCATATTCTGAGTCCATCTTTTTGGTGATGGACGACAAAATAAGAAAAAAGAAAAATTGACCAGGATTATACATTAATGAAACCACGATCCATCCATCCATCTTTCTTTCCTTTCCTCTGCATCCACATCTGATTATATCCCGGTCCCTCTGTTCTGTTGGTGTCCTATCTTCATCATATCCCTCAGTCGTTCAATCCAAACAACTTCCTCAAGCCTGAGAACTTCTTCTTCTTGGTCGCAGTGCTGGCCACAATTCCCCCGTTGGCCATGCGGTTCAGATCGTTGCCGCTCATGCTGCGTCTGTTCATGTCCGGGCGCATAGTCTTCTTCATCGCAGGCACGCCATCGCTAGTAGTGGGCCTGGTTTCTGCAGCGGCATCATCATTAGGCGTGGCAGGCAAAGGCCAGTTCTGCGGTGTAGTGCGGCGCTGGAGTTTGGGTTGTTTGGCCGGACTGCGGAGAGTTGGCGTAAGGGGGTGTTGGGAGTCGACTGGCGAGGTCGGTACCACGGAGGAGCTGTTTCGGCGGAGGACGCTGCCGAGGAAGCCTTTCCGGCGAGTGGGGGTGAGAGGCACTTCTTGTCTAGGTGCACTGGGGCTTGCTGGGACTGGTGGTGGTTGAGGTACCCCTGGTTCACGACCACCGTTCATGGCTGCAACGTTGCGTTTGGCAATCTCCATGGCTGCGTCGATGTCAGATTGACTAGGGACAGCAGGCTTAGTGCTGGCTCTCCCAGCAACAGCCTTCTTCGTACCAGTGCGAGCTTCGTCTTCAGAGTCGGACAGATCGGTGGAATCTGAATCTTGGCCTCTACGCTTGGGAATGCCGCGGACTGGCGCGAGGTTGGACGGCATCTGCTTGGGAGGGCCAACAGGAGAGTCTTCCTCATCAGAGTCGGCAAAGCGACTGCGGAAGCCACCTCGAGGAGCATCGTCTTCATCGTCACTGTCCGCAAATCGAGATCTGAAACCGCCCGAGCTTTTCTTTGGTGCTGGCGCAGGTGCAGGCTTCGATTTGCCAAACCCGGACATGCCGAATCCTGACGAGGCTTTGGCATCACGCGAGGCTCGGTTGTTCTTTCCACGCATGGTGGGTGTGTTATCGACAGGTGCTCCTCGTAAGGACTGTCTGAGCTGTTCACCATTGTTACGACCCATGAACGAACCCGTGGGAGAAAGCGAGCGCAGACTGAATCTGCCACTTCCAGCTTTGGCGGGCGAGGCCACTTGTCTGCCACGTTCAGCAGGCGGCGGCGGCGGCCCCGCATCTACAGAACCAGAGCGCATTGAGCGCTTCATCGTGTACTTGCCAACTGAGTCAACAGTCGAGACGGAACCACGACGCTTGTTCTTCTTGAAGCTGGACTCGGAGTCCGAATCGTAGGCAGGAAGGGGAGCAACAACTGGCTTAGTAGGTTTCTGTGCGGGCTGCAATTTGGCTGCGGCTGCGGCTGCGGAACCGGCTCCAGGTATGTTAGCTGGACCAGGAGGGCCTGAAACTCTCTTAGAGGCAGGCTTCGAGCCTGCGTCACCACGCATAGAAGTTCTCATAGAACCACCGTCGGAGCGGGCAGATCCTCCAGCACGCATGGAAGTGCGCATGTGCGTTTCGTTGGAGGACGAAGAAGAAGGTGCTGCCTGCGGAGGAGGACCACGCATTGATTTGCGCATATAAGTCTCACCAGATGTGCGCTCAGACTCTCCGGAGTTGCGCATTGACTTACGTAATGCAGGCGCACGCGGTTGCTCTTCTTCCTCAGGCTCGAAGGGATCGTCGCGAGGGGAGACGGGTGCAGGTGCGAATGTCGTAGGATTTGTTATATCCAGTTGATCAACCGACTGCTTCTTCTTCTTAGGCTTGGGCGCAGACTCAACAACAGGGACGGTAATCGCAGCCTCCGCTTCGGCTTCGAGCTCCAGCTTCTTCTTCCTGCTCAGACTGCTCCAGTATGCGGTCGCCGAGTTCCAGTCAGTATTGTCGTTCATGAGCTGCTCCTCTGTAAGTGTAGATGCTTCAGGCATGGCTCTCGAAGGTGGAAGCGCGACAGCCGGACTGACCGGAGGGCTGGGGATTACAGCTGCAGGCTTAGTGACAGGGCTCTCGACGATCGCGTCCAGAGAAGCGAAACCACCATGACCGAGTTCAGAGAGATCCTCTTCAGCATCTGCAAAGTCCTCACTCACATCAGAGTCGGATTCGTAAATAGGTTGCAGTATCGGCGAATGGCCGTCAACTGAAGTCTGTGCTGGCTGCAAAGTTACATCTTCATCTTCATCGCTAGAGTCGTTTTCAGACATCAGAGCTTCGTCGCGGATGGCTTGTCTGGAAGGTCCTGCAGTCTTCGACTCTTCCCACTCGTCCCAAGCTCCAGGCATGCTGTTGCGCTGCTTAAGTACAGGTCTTTGCACAGTGACTGCTTCCAGGGAAGGTTCTGGCTCCTCTTCGACTCCTGGCGTGGGAGGTTGAATGGCGAGATCAGGTACAGCGAGTTCAATGGGATTTGCCTCAGGAGCCTCTACACGATGATTCGAGGGTTCTGCTGCCAGACTGGAAGATGTCTTCTCGTCGTTGGCGAGTGCTTTTTCGGCTTGGAACGGCTGTGCTTGCAATTCACCTTCGTCTTCTGAGTAGGCCGAGTCAGACATGTCGGCCGATGTTTCTTTGCTTGTGACTTGTGGAGGCAGTGGTTCGCTTGAAACAGGTGCCTGAGTTTCGGCCTGCTTGCCCTTTTGAGCGTAATGCTGAGCGAGCACGGCGCCCACAAGTTCATCGTTGGAAGCTTCGCGATGGTCTGGCAAGGTGCTTGCACTGTTGGTCATACTAGAGGACACAGTCTCGGTAACCTTTTCGGGCACTTCTGCTTGCTGTTGCTTGCGACCTCTGACACTGCTGAAGGATGGAAGCGCCGATCGAGGCTTCATGATCTCATTAATGTCGTCGTTTGCCCACGATCCTGAGAGCTCCCTTCTTCCATTTGGGTCGGCAGCCGGTGGGACTGGAACACTACCATCTTCGCTGATGCGAACACTCTTCTTCCTCTTTGTTTGTTTGATGCCATCTTGTGAAGTCATGGACATGGTGTCAGATGTATCGCTAGGGGGAGCTCTAGGGCCACCATTGATGCCGACGTTGGGCGAGATGTTTCTAACAGATGAAGCCGGAGACTGTCTAAGGGCCGATTTCATGGGCGAGATGGACCGAGGAGGGGGCTGATGTCTGACACTTAGAGGTGTCGCAAGTGACGAGCCTTCAACGAAATGGGCATGGACATTGCGCGAAGGGCTTGAGGAACTTGCACGCTGACCATTGCCTCTCGGAACGTCTAGACTGACGGCCCTCGGGCGGGTGCCTCCAGGAGCGACATATGCCTGTACTGCACCTTCAGATGTTGTGATAGTAGCTGGAGTGTCACGAAGCGACTTCATGAAGTTGTGCTTCTTCGGAGCCGCCTTGGGAGTGGTTTGAGGCGTGGACTGAACTTCGGCAGTGGCTTCAGCTTCAGGGTCCTCGCGAACAACAGATGGTTGTTTGTGCAAAATACCACCAGCAGCGCGAGGAGAACTTGGACTAGCTGAAGAAACAGTGCTTGGAGAAGGATTTACAGGAGTTAGAGAAGCACCATCAGAAGCCTGAGTGTCCACAGGAGGCACGACGGTCGTTCTCTTCTTCTTTTTCGGAGTCGTATCTGCCTGCGAAAGTTGCGATTGGGCCTGGACGGGCTCAGGTGGTGCAGTGCGCATAGCGGAACCTGTTGGAGCCGTGTTCATGGTGCCATTTGCCAGACGAGCGCCCTCGGTAACGGGTTTCTTGTTCTTTTTGACGGGCGCATTTGCGGCATTCTGGACGTCCTGTTGTATTTTCTTGGCTGCCGGGGACGAAAAGTCCAAGGCTGATTGAGGCCTTGCTGGGACGGGGTTTCCGCGAGGAGTTCCATTGCTGACCTTGGGCGAGGTGAACCATCCTACACTCGAATTTGGGCGGGGTGGAGGAGAAACGGCACGAGCAGGACTCATTGGGCGTGAGTAGTTGACGCCGTTGCTGTCCTCTCTTTTCAGCTCAGGCATTCTGGGCAAGTTCAGTTGCCTTCCGCTTCTGTCAACACTAGTATTGCGCTGAGCGCTTCTTGGGGTACTCGGACTCGGTAAGCTGATGCGGTTTGGGACGTCGAGACTAGCAGCTCTTCGCTGTGTCTTGACCAGATTCTTTGGGATAGCGGGTACGGGAGGAGCGTCGGGCGCAGGCGATACGGCGTCTTGTCGCCTGCCGCCAGGAGAAGGGGATCGGAAGGTTCGATCCGACATGGACGAATTACTAGTCTGTCTGACCATGCTGTTTCTAGGATTGCCGCCCATGATAGCACCACTTCCTGTCGAGGACTGGGAACCTCTCCTGACCATGCGCTTGGTCTGGATGGATCCGATAGGTTCTGGTGAGGAAGTCTGGGAACGAAGGGCCGCTGCTGCGGCGGCGGATGATAGGGAAGCGGTCGACGGAGACTTGTTAAGAAAAGCGGCGCTCGCTGCTATCGCGGCCGACGAACTGGGGGGAGGGCCTCGTGGTTGCGGCTGCATTTGTTGTGAGTACTTGTCACGACGGTGCATGTTGCATGTCGACGGAACTGACCGGCTGCGAGCTCGCGCGCTTGCGATTGAATAAAGGCATCTTGACGGCGGAGCGTCTATCGCTCAATTGATGTCTCTAGGAATGGCTTGGTCGTAATTGTGCGTCTTGAGACGGAGTTGCGACTTTGTTCCAATGGCCACAGATTCCAGCGCGTCACAAAGCAAACATGACGTGGGGAAGCCTTTTGATTGGAAGTCAGGTAAAAACTTGGACAAGGCTGCAAGCGCTGTGCAAGTCGTGAAACTGGCTGTCCTGGCGCACAAGAATACTCGTAATGGATAGCGACTCGAAGATGCTAAGGAGCGAGGAGGAAAAGCGAAGACTCAACTCGACCGTTCCAACATGCCTCCTCGACATCTCCCACAAGCTTTCGCAACTTCCAGCCCATGACGATCCCGCCCGAGTGTGGATCTGATGACGGTCCGTGCGCTGTGTACCGCGAATGGGATTGAGATGCGACAACGACCTTTTGTTACCGTCCACTCGACTCCCCGTTTAGCTGATGGAAGTGGCGCTTGGAGGAATGTTGTGTCTTACAGTTCCTTGATTGCTGTCACAGCTCTTCCACAAAGTTCAGTCTTGTTCGCCATACCGCGACTGCGCATCGCAGTCTTATTGTTCTGCTCGGTCCAATGGTTTGTTCAAGCATTCGTCATGCAGATCTGTCTGTTCTTGGCCGACTTTCGAAGCCTCCGCGCATGGATTTGTCAAGGCCGAAATTTGATCTGAAAACATACAAAGAAACAGCACGAGACATCAGAAGTTATCCTTGAGCGAGAGTTCTTCGTGGAGACAACATCCGATGTGGAAGCAACCTTCAACATTGTTGCATTCCAAAACCGCTGAGTTGGAACTTGGTTGCTGATCAGTCCGTTGATCCGTCTCCATACGCCGCTCCTACCAGGTTGATCTCCATGAGTCCCTCCGAGGAATTCCTGATACGCTGATGAAGAGTAATCAAGATACCATACATAGATCAGTGGGGTTCCTGGGACAACGACGCGACTCAAGACCTCTTTCGCTGTGTTCTTTCCGGATGTGGTCGCTGGATTCAACTACAGTATATGAAGTCCTCCCAAGATGAACGATAACTCATGTAGGCACCAGACCCTCAAACCACCCATGGGTAGCAATAGACATACGCCAAATCTGCGACCATATCCTTGGTGGATACGCTCAGCACGCTCACATGTTGATTCGCAACCTCGGCAAAGCTGCGGACCCTGTTGACTCCTCTCTGACGTGACATGCATCTCCATATTCTATCAAATACTCATCTCCAACCTTCAGCCATTCATACAACCTGCATTTAAGCACAGGTGCTGCTAATATGTCATCACTTGAGCCTCTTCCTTTGCCCGAAGGCATCGAAGAATCATACATTGATTGCAACGACTCCTGTGGCCTGGTATTCCACGTCATTTCTGCTGGCCAAAAGGACAAGCCCTTGATTCTCTTGACGCATGGTTTTCCAGAGCTCGCCTACTCATGGCGAAAAATCATGCCGGCACTGGCAGCCAAGGGCTACTATGTCGTTGCACCAGACCAGCGCGGATATGGCAGGACCACAGGTTGGGATACACGACCATTTGATGAGGTCGACTTGAACCAATTCACCATGACAAACCTTGTGAGAGATCTCGTATGCTTGGTCTACGCATTGGGCCACAAGGTAGTGCATTGTCATATCGGACACGATTTCGGTGCAGTTTCCAGTGCCATGGCGCCTCTGATGCGACCTGATATGTTCAAGAGCTGTGTCCAGATGTCACATCCCCATCATGCGCCTCCAACCCCGTTATTTGATGTAAAGGCTTCAGGAAAACCCATCACGAATCCAGGATCCACTTCGGAAGCTAAGCCAGATACACAAGCCGAACTTGCGAAACTTGATCCTCCTAGGAAGCACTACAAATGGTACAATTCGACCTCGGGTGCTGCAAATGACTGGGAAACGCCATCGCAAGGACTACACGAATTCCTGCGAGGATACTGGCACCTCAAATCTGCCGACTGGCCAGGCAATGACCCGACACCTCTAAAGTCATGGTCAGCTGCAGAACTGGGAAAGATGCCAAACTATTATATCATGCCAAAAGACACCAGTATGCCAGAAACAGTGGCCAGCATGATGAAGGGCGAAGATGAAACAGCAACGACGAGATGGCTATCCGACTCGGACCTCGACGTCTACGTCAAGGAATGGCAGCGTATTGGCTTTCAGGGCGGATTGAATTGGTACAGAGCGCAGACAAGCTCATCAAAAGCACAAAAAGCGGACATGGTGTTGTTTGCAGGCAGGAAGATTGAGGTTCCTTGTGCTTTCATCAGCGGCGAACAGGATTGGGGCAATTATCAGCAGCCTGGTGCTCTAGACGGCTACAAGGAGAGTTGTGCGGACTTCCGAGGTAGCACGTTCATTCCACATGCGGGACACTGGGTACAGCAAGAGCAGGCTGAGAAGGTTATCGAGGCGGTGTGCAAGTTTCTTGATGGACTGTAGGATTGTAGATTAATAGAGGTCATCGGGTCTTGATGTGCATAAATATGCATGAGCGTTTCAGCACATGCTATTGTACATATGCGACTCGGGATAAATGACAATGATGGGTGCACGTGCCAAACGTCGACTTCGCTGCCTTTCCATGAACGAACAAAGAAAGATTGATAAACCGTCGTCTTTGGTCAGCTTCTCACCAACGACAAGAGTTTCTTTGCAACACAAGCTCTCGACTCTCCCGACGGCTTCCACAGCTTCGTCTTCTCTTTCTTGTCGAGAGAATCGAAGAACAGAGCGACTTTCGCAAGACGACGTCAGGGTCTTCTTTCCCCTCCAAGGCGGATAGCGAAAGTTCGGCCAGACCCCGCCTAAATCCTTCCTCTTTCTTCAGTCATCGACCACATCACCGTCCTCCATCTTGGCTGTGCAACCACGACGCTTCCACCTCTCGCAGTCTTCTACCCTCTCGATATTGATAAACCTCTCATTCGGCGACGATGGATTCGATGCGCAGTCTCAACACATCGCTGCCGCGCACCTCGCCTCGTCGCACCCAACAGCCCCCCGAAGAACTCCTGTCGGCCTTCAAAGCCGCCGCTCTCTCCGTCACAAATCTATACAAGAATGCTGCGTCTGAGCAGGCAAGATCAAGAGCTGCTGGTTACCAAGATGCACTGGACGATCTGCTGTCCTTCCTCGACAAGGAAAATCTTGGCCTCGGTGACGGTGAAGGTTGGAGAGTGAGGCAATGGGCAACCGAACGCTTCGACGGAGGCATTTCTGGAGGTCGCGAAAGCGAAGACGAGGAAGAGGAACAAGAAGAGCCCGTCCGCAGTTCTAGCCCAGAGGTTGCGAGGAAACCGACCGCTCCACAAGAACAACTACAACCACAACCACAACCACAACCTCAACCAGAGCCCGTCATCATCAACTCTGAGCCTATTCAGCAACAACAGCAGCCACAAATTCTGCGCTCAGACATCACAGTCCCTCAATCCGACACTTTCTCATTTCGCTCCTCAATGGCATACCCCCCTCCACACCACGACCGAGAAGTCGACATGGATGGCACAAACAGCATACCCTCCGACTCTCCTAACTCAACAACATCCAACACAAATAATCCAGTCCGACTCGAAGTACACCCCAGACGACGAAACAATCACAACCACAACCGCTCCAACAATTCAAACTCCAACAGAATAGCCTCTGTGAACCTAGGTTCCCTTGGCTCAGGCGCCGGCTCCAAGCGCAAAAACTTGGGCGACTTTTTCGACATCTCCGGCCTATCATTTGGCAATAACGGAAGAGATGGTTCTGATCGTGGAGGGAAGAGGGGAAGACATGTCTAAGAGCTTTTCTTCCCTGGATTGATTCTGCGATTTTCTTCTTTCTGCCACTGCACTGCGTCGCATCATACAACACACCCCCAAATACCCATTAGTTCTTGTTAGATCATTCTTCTTTTCCTTTGTCTGCGATCTTCGGGGAGATCAAGGAAGTAATGAATTACGAGATGTCCCTTTTGTCCTTCTTTGTTTCTTGTCATGCTGGTTCAGGCTTCACATTCCGCCTTGTTCTGAATCTCATGTTTCTGGTCTTTTGCATAACAGCGTGCGGCATATGAGATGGCTGGCTGTTTTTTTCCCTAATACATACCAAATGCGGTACTTTTCTTATCGGCCTGGAGGAATGACCCTGCTGCATGGTTGATGTCTCGATCTTTTCATATATACAATGTTCAGTTTGGTGATCTACACCCTACTTGAAATGAATCAACGCGAGAAGTTTTTCTTCGTCATCTTCATCTTTCTTACCGTGTCTTCCCGTGTTGAGCTGCAGTGGTGCCTGGATGACATGTTTCTTTGCATGTGCATATGAGGCTGCTGACAGTTTTGTTTTCAACCCGAGTTCTTGAAGCTCTTCATATGCAGGTCCCCATGAGGACATTGCAAGTAGCCGTGATCTTACATGTCCACCTTCCACTATCGTATACCACCTGGTCTCACTCGAAATTCTGCTAGTATACACTCTTTCTCGAACCTCTGATCCTAACTTCTCCCATCTGCTTTCTCACGTGAGGACCAAAGAGTCGGAAGAGGCAATTTTACATAAACGCCCTCCACAATCCCAAACCAACCAACATACCACTTAACCCAGTGATACCCAGTCGTCGTGCAGCCATGGTAAGTCTAGATCCAGATTTCATAATTTCCGCTTCTCTGGTGCGCAATTCTCTGTGACCGGACCAATATGTATATGCTCCTAATGTGCCGAATGCCGTGGCTCCTAGACCACCAAGAAAGATCAGTAAAAGATAGCTCTTTGGAAGTACAGAGCAGGAATATCTTACCCATCACCCTACAGCTCAAACAATCAAAATCCGCTTGTTCTTTGGCGAGGACTTTTTTCAGAGGCAAGGGTGCGGCGTCTTGGGATGCTAGTTTGTTGTAGATTTCTTGGTGTTTGGGGTCGTTGGGGGATGATGACATTGTTGTTTGTATGAGGTGTGAGAGTGGGCGTTTGGAATCGACGTTGATGGTGGATGATCAGTTGTCGAATGGCTGACTTGATTGATAATGTGGTATGGATGGCTTTGATGGATTGCATGGCTCGGCTTGTGAGAGATTGAAGACGCCGGATCAGGGACCGAGAGATGCTAGACTCGATAGGGAAAGGTCGGAAACAGAATAGACAGGACGAGACACGAGGCCTTGTGGGTCTTCTTGGCTGCATCCTCCACTGAGTCCACTCTCCGTCGACAAACTCCCCTGGGCCCTGTCTGCTCCATCCTTTGCGCAACACATCGGATCTACCACGACAAGGGCCAGCACTAATAACAACCTTGTATTAACCTCGACAGCAGTCACTCGTTTTTTTGCTGTTTCTTCTCACTCTCGCTTTCTCTTTCTTCTTTGCAGCTGCGCAGGTCGTGTGTGTTTTATACTTCGTTCATACTCTCTTACGACTTCGCTCACCCTTCCCCTCTCTCTCGCGCCGGCCGTTGAAAGTGGTCCATTTCGCGATAACAAAGGCTATCCACCCCTCGCCATCTGTGTGAACCCGTCGCGTTGTTACACGACCAGCCTCCTTGATTAATTACTCCGTCTGCTACAAGGCACAAAGGGAACAAAGCAACTCTTCCTTGTTCAGCGCCTTGTCGTTCTTGTTGCCCCGAGATTGCGACGCCGCCGCCTCCTTCACTCTTCCGAATCTCCCACACAACAAAGAGCTTTGAGCTCGACAAGCCTCGTGGCTATGGATTCTTCCTCTTTCTCGAATGGTGCGGATCTTGTGTTTCCCTTCTGGACCTGTTGGTCAACAACATGATGCATCATACTGACATTCTATTATCAGTGCATCCTCATGTAGAAAAGGCATTGCACAACCTGTTCAAACGTAACTGCGTCGACTGTCCTGGAACAACACCTTCTTGCCCGTCATGTTCGGGAGGTAAAGTCTGCTCACTGGTACCTCAATCTTGCGACACTTGCGCATACACAACCTGCGTCACATCGAATGATGGCAGCTCTCACCACTCCGGCCCTAACGTCGGCGCCATCGCTGGAGGAGTCATTGGCGGTATCATCGTCGTCGGCGTATTGGTCTTCTTCTTTTACTGGAAAGTAATCCGACCGCGCCGTATCAAGTTGGAGGATCAATGGGAAGAGGAGGATCAGGCCGAAGACCGCAAATCCGCCTTCAACATGCAACGCTCCGAACGCGCCTCCGTACACACTGTGCACTCTGTCGCCAACAGCATTCTCAGCCGTGCTTCCAACTTCATCCCCATCGCCTATATCCCGGGCGTTATGAACAGAGATGGCAGAGAAGAACACGTTCCCCCGGTCCCTCCAATCCCTGCCGCTCATGGCCCTCCTGTGAGCGGTGGCTCTTCAAACGGAGAAGCCCTCTTCTTCCGCCCTCAAGACCTCCGCGATTCCACATACTCGGATACTTCCTCCCTCGACAACCGCAGCACCTTCTTCGGCCGTCCCAGCATCACTCCCTCGCTCGCCCGCAGCAGTATTGCAACGTACCGCGACGATGCAGTCATCAACCCCATGCCCGCTCAAACCGTCCTTCGCGGAAAAGCAAACGTCGTCAGCGTGAAGAGTGGAAACAGCGGAACACCCACCTCCACACCTCCCAACAGCACCCCAGCCGAAGAAATTGCGAACCCGCTCAACCGCAGTGCAAGTGGCAGGAAATTGAACATCGTCATGCCTGCCTCCAGCGATTCCGTCAGACTGGGCTCTTCTGGCTCTGACTCCTCACAACAAACACTTAGCAGTGCAAGTTATGGTAAACCCACTCTTCTCACTGTGGGCGGAAAACCAAAACCCAAGGGCCGCTTTCCCGTCTCTCCCGACTCCTTCGCCACAGCAAGCCCAGCACAAACGAAACCAAACGTATCATCACCGCTTGCGTCTTCGGAAACAACGACACCGGACGCAGAATATGACGCTTCTCCCTTCGCCGATTCTGCTTCCATCTCACCACCACAAAACCCTAAACGCACACCTGGTGGTCTTTCAGCTGTGATTGAGGAAACAGCGTCGAGTAGGGGCAGCTTGCCGAAAGGAAAATTCAGACAGAGTCAGCATATGCAGCCTAGAGGGCAGAGTCCCTTTGGTGATGAGCATGAAGCTTGATGATCGAGCCTCTAAACCGCATGTTTCTTTTGCTTCTTCACTTCTTCACGACCCGCCGCTTATTCCCGATTCTTCCGACTTTTCCGACTTGTTCATGTCCTCTTTTACTCTACACCTCTTTCCTCTCTGCTTCTCTGCGCCCACTTCGAGCTGACGAAGCTTCTACCCTTCCTCACGTCACACTCTACCACGACCATCGAAACCTCTTTGCTACCTTTCTTTTCTTTTTCTTTTTCTCTCGATTCATGGTTCCGGCGCATGCGAACTTGCAATCATCATCTTTACTCTTGCGCTGGACGTTCTTGTAGATGGACTTTTTTCTTTTCTCTTCTCTTTCCAAAAACTTGGGTGGGTGGCTTTTTGCACTTTTGCACTATTTGTTGCTTCTGCTCCTATGCTTGCCTTCTAGCGTTAGTGTTTTCTTCTTGGTTTTTTTTTTTCGATATGCAGATATGCAGATTCTTTTTTGATATGCAGATGATAAATCCACACTTTTCGAAAACTTTTCACTATTTGCAATTCTTTCTCGTTGTTTGGGGTTTCCTTTCGTGATCATGGTTCCTTTCTATGCTTCTTCTTGTGAGATGCCTCCTTTTTTTCTTGTGTGTGTGTGTGAAAAAGAACTTGGTATATCTACATATCTACTTGTAGCGAATTTCTTTTACTTTGGTCCTATCCTCTTCCTCACCTCTTGTTCTGCTTCGCTTTTCAACCAATCTCGACACCGTGGTTTGTGATGTTGAGGGTGAAAGATTGGCATGGATGAGAGGTGGACATGCATCCTTCATTCCCGTATCGGTTTACGGAAACTTTGAAGCCAACTTCCCTGATCCTCCCCTGCCTATTTTTGTCTTCTCTTTCGGTCTCTCTTATCGCTGTTTGTGCATCTGTGTCTTTGTTGAAACCGGGGATCCAAGGGCGGGAAATTACGAGATGGAGAGTGGGTAGCGTTGACCATGGAGGCGGTAGAGATGGTCGTAATGCCATCATTGTCTCCGCTGTACCCGAGTTGGATGCGATGCCAGTGGTGACAGGAGAGATATTCTCAGTGCTGAAGAAAATAGGCGCTTGCAAAGTAGCGGAAACTCTCTTCGACACTGCGGCCAGAGCTGGATATTTCCCTACGTTTCCCCGCCCTTGCCTCTCTCCCATGGAATGTTTGTCTTCCCAGAAGTATGCGCTGGCGGAATCGAGTACGATTGCCAATTTTCTGTCGAAGCTTTTGTTGCTTGGGTTGAGGAAGTAGGAAGGTAAGGTGGAGATTGTGGAGATCAGAGATTGAAGAGATTGAGGTTGGAAGATGTGGATGTGGGAGAGAGCGGTATGGGTGAGTTCTTGGGCTTTTGTGAGGGTCATGGATGGATGTAGTTGTTGGATCTGATGGAGGGTTATTTGGCTGAGGTGGGAGATTGAAATTGGGGAGGTTGCTAGGAGAGCTATTGCTGTTGATTGGGTGGATTGTTGCGCATGTGGTCCTGGGTTTGGTTGTGGGTGTTTCAGAGGTTCGGATTGTTCGTCTTGAAGTACTGTTGCCTCTGGATCTGTTTCATCGTTTGAGGTTTGGTTCTCCAGGGTCTCCATTTGCTCGATCCTCTCTTGGCTCCCTGCTTCTCTTGTGTCGTCTTTCGTGGAATCTTCCGCTGAAGCATGATACTGCTCATCATGATCCGTCAAGTCTCCGAGGACTAACTGAGCGATGATCCAGTACAACAGCTCCGTCTTCCCAGATTTTGGTACCGGACTTGTGATTTCGATGATGGGAGGTGCGGGTACAGAAGATAAATTCGTAGGGTCGAATCGTGGTGTGTTGGTTGCAAGAAGCCTGTCTAGAGCAGAGATACCGAGTTTGAAGTTTGCAGATGGGTCTTGCAAGAGTCGAAGAGTCGTTAGGAGCTTTTTGAGGACACGAGGTTAGTATGTATAAATCATGGAGGATGAAGTGAGGGAGTATTGTCGTATTTTATTTGTTTTTGTTTGATCTTTTCTTTTCGCCTTCGATTAATTGAGCAAGTGATGAAAACAAAAAACAGAAATCATGCTGGTGGAAGGAACGAAAGAGAAGATGTCACGAACTCACCTCATCCAACCTCTGACTCCGCACCATCCCCAGCTCTCTCGTTCCCAAATCCTCGGCCATCGTTTCTGTCCACCACACCCTCTGTCTCACAATCTCAATTTCCACCCTGCTCTGTTCTCCCTCAAGTCCTCCTCAACTCTCCCTTCTTTCTCCCTAAAAAGATGCCCCCCTCAATCTCCCCCTTCCACCCAGCCGACCTGGAAGCAAAAACAAAAATCCTCCCCTCCGGCAAACTCCGCAAACCGGAAAACCAACACCAACTAAACAAGTGCAAGTTGCAAGAATTGGTGCAATTCGATTGTGAAGTAAAAGGGCACAAGAAACATAAGAATGGGATTGTGGTTTGTGCGCCTATTGTCAGGGTGTTTAGGAGGTGAGTTTTCTATTTGATGGAGAAGGCGGGAAAGCTGGGGGATGGAAGCTGGGAGAGTTGGAAGATGGGGGATGGGTTGTTTGTGAGTTTGATGCTGACTTTTGATGGGTGGGTGGTAGGTGTAAGGATGGATTGACTGTTGAGACGACGGCTTGGGAGACGGAGAATTGAGTGGTGATGGTTTGGGTCTGATGGCGTTGGTGGGAAGTGGATAGGGCATGGAGGTTGACAGGCGTCACTGGGAGTTTTTCTTTTTGTTTTCTTTTTTCTCTCCGCTCGAGGCTGGCTGGAATGGAAAGAGCACATCACATTCATACGAAGAGCAAGAACGGAACGTATTGAAGCGAACAGAGGTAATTGCTCAAGCTACTGGCTGATACAGGAACAAGAATATGTGTCATTTTTGGGGGTATCTCATTGACTGCCTTGCGAAGTTCGATGCCATGCCCAGACCCAGCTAAAACTCCATTGACCGGCCGCAGAAGTAATAGAAGAACGCCTCGCTAAAGATGTGGGTTTTTGTCCCGGATCAGATATGCACAGCACCCCTCCCTCTACGCCAGTGATTACGGTCATGGTTGACCATCAAGCCACCACCTTCCCGTATCAGATCGGCCGTGCTGCTAACTTTTCCACCACTGTCCATGCATCCTTCCAACCTGAGATCGCCATCTGCGTCCTTTTGCGTTGGTACCTTGTCCTCGTCATCTAGTAGGTCGGAGATTGTGTCTTGCCATAGCTTGTCCTTTGCTTTGTCGACTGGAGCCTGGCGTGAGCGGGCCTTGTTGGCAGCAGTAAGTTTGCGAAGGGCATGTTCGGCTTGTACACCTTCGTCGGTTGCGCGTTCGCGGATTCTCCTTGGATCTTGTTCTCGTTCGGTGAGGACAGCAGTGCCCTGCCATGCGTGACGGCTTGGTAGTGGCGGGAAATGTGAGGGCATGTATCCGTATTGCTGTGTGGCTGGTGTCGCCAACTCTCGTCCTAACATGGGTGCCAGGTTTGGCGGTGGGGCTTCTGACGGCCGTGGAGGAGGAATGATGGGGTTCGAGATGTCGTTGGGTAGGCGCAATTGTAGATGGGGTTCCAGGTGATGTGATTCCAGGCCGGCTTCTGCGAGGGCGAGGATAAAGTCTTGCGGGATTGCGGTCGTTCGGCGTGAGGTTGTCATTGAATGCTTGACGGTTGTGAGGAAGTTCATCATGTCTGGTCGCCTGCAATCAGCCACTTGCGCCTGGTGTGAATGTCAGAGGATGCGCCTCACATTCTTCAACCTCTGCACGGAACATCTCCAGAGCTGAGGGCTTGACACTTTCATAGCCGACTATGGTCAAGGCGGTGCAGATGGAGCGCAACAGCTGGGCCTGGATGAAAGCCTCATCTTGCGCCGCGGGCTCCGTGTCGGCCGGCAGTTGTTGGATGTGACTGAGATGATGTGTGCGCTTTGTTTTTGAGCCGGCTCTTCTTCTCTTGAGTGGGTTGGACGGTACTGATGACATGTTTTGTCTGGTGGTGGTCTTTGGACATGATGTAGCCTTGCGACCAGAGACAAACTGCCTCGGAGCTTGCCGTTTCAGCCATCCCGCCTTGGCCAGAGACGTAGTCCTGTTGTCGTATCCTCTCATGACTTCGACTATGCCTGAAGACAAAGTAACAATGAGATGGATGAGTTGAGAAGCAAAGACAAGTTGTTGAGGTCCGTGTTCGAGCTCGTGTGAGAGTTGTGTTGCTCGTCGCCGTGTCAAAACAATCTCAAAGTTTGGGCTGTCACATGTCAAAGTCCTTCTCTGCACTCTGCTTCAACGCCGTCTTGGACCGTCACTCGAGGAGAGATGAGAGAGACATGACTTCGGCTCCCTTGATCTTGAGAATTACTTCAGCTATATCTCAATCTCATCTTCCACTGGCTCTCTTTTCGTCGCCTTGCTTTTGCTTGATGCTATATTTCCACTTTGTCACATCAAGTTCGCCAAAAGATGTATTGTATGCGGTTGCAGCGCTGATGAAACAGCACGCAATGAAGACGGTTTCTCGTAAAACCGGCATATCTCGGTAATGTCGTGTCAAGATCCTCCGAGACTCAGACAAGGCACCAAGCATGTTATTTCAAATAATCTCCAACATCTCTTAATATCACAAGTACTGGTGCTGATGATCTATTGTCTCGGATATTTCTACAGAATCATGTATGGGGGATGACCCTGGCTTCTTGGTATGCGAAGCGGCAGGAGAATGACGTAGCGCTATCGCTCGATCTCGCTGCGCGATAAAGTGGCAGGAGGCGCCAGGATTAAGCGATCGCTTGCAGACGTGCAGAAGGAGGCAGGTCCTTGTTCACCGACATCTCGTCTCTTCTATCGTCTGTTATCGTCGCGTGAAAACTCGTTGCATCCTCCCGTTCCAGGAAAGCATTCTCGTCTTCGACCTGTTGCCTGGACTCGATCTTTGAACCTCGAGTGTCTCAACGAACGACTCGCTCTTTCAAGTCGACTCGCGACACTCATATACACATATTAGACATGACGCGCCGTATGGTCTATGGCATCGGCCTTTGGGTCTTCCTAGCTGGTATACCGTCGCCAGTTCTGTGCTCTCTGACCCTCGCTAATGCATTCGCAGCCGTCGCCCTGACCTTCACATCCATGGCCCTGCCCTCCTGGATCTCCTACACCTCGCCTACAACCTCTTCTCAAAAACCCATCCACGTATCTTACGGTCTGCACCGCCGCTGTTCCTCCCTCTCGGGCTCCTGCACACCCTTCCCAGTCTATGAAGACTGCCATGGCGAGGACAGATACTTCTGCTCCATGTGGAGAAGTGTTGGCTTCTTGATGAACTTCTCAGTCGTCCTGGAATTGGCTACCTTTGTGGCTTTTGCGGTTGTGTTGTTGGGAGGTAGGAGCAACAGAGAGGGTGGATGGAAGATGTGTGTTAGTATGCTTGGTGTCGTCATGGTGTGCCAGATCGCGGCCATGGCCATTGTGGTATGTGGAATTGCGATACGATGTTACATTATGGTGAGAGATATGCTGACTCAAGCGCGATATAGGCTTTCCTCTTCGATCACGACAACCGCTTCTTTGTTGGCTGGAAGTTGGACAAGAGTTGGATTCTCTGCACGGTTTCTTGGGTCGTGCTGTTGTTCGACATCATCGGCATCAGTTTTGCTGCTAAGATGATGCCAGCCGAGGACGACTACGAACCTATTCCCGACAGAAGATGAGAATACACAACAAGCCATCAGTGCGATCTTCGCTCGCAAGCACATAGATATTGTTTCTCGATTACCGACTTTACGACTACACATGGATATACACTTTTTTCTCATTTGTGTCCCTGCACTTTTCGTCGTCAGCGTCTCTTCTATTAGCGACTTCCCAAATTAATCCTTCTTTTCTTATAACTCTCCCGTCAAGAACTGCGCTCGTCCCAACCCAAAACTCCAATCTTCCTTGGTGTTCGCACTACAACTAACCACCAAATCCGTCTTTGGCACTCCACATTCATTTTCCAATCTTTCCGCCAATGCTGCATAAATAGCTTGCTTTTTCTCCGCATCTCTTCCTTGTTGGAAGATTTGGATGAGGATTAATTTGTCGGTGCGGGGGATAGAGAGACCGGTATCTTCGAAGATTAATTCGTAGGGTTCGTGTTGGGTTATTACCTTTGAGCGAGAACGTTAGTCAAGCTGCTCGTCATGGAGTGGAAGGGGGTAGCAAAGATGATAGCAGAGGAGAGAGAAGGTAGAAAGGGCGGAGGAGGAACAAGCATACTTGATAGCGATCTCTAGCCGGTGCTGCGAATTTATCCAACATGATTTCTTGAACCACATCGGCGAGTTTTTTGATCTCTTCGGGCGTGCGGACGCCTCTGATCATGTCGATTTTCACAAGAGGCATGGTGTGTGTGTTTCTTCTAGTCTCGAATTCAAATAATATGAGGTGATGGCTCGAACAAGTCGGATAATACTGATAGCTGAAGGATTATATATGAGCGGAAGACGAACTTGATATGTATCACTATCTATGGTTTATATACGTTTCTACTATTAGCCGCACTACCCGCGCCGTGATGGTTTGACGATGATGATGTTTACAAGGGCCTCGTCATAGGTGGTGATATCGTCCGGGGCAGCGGTATCGGAAAACTTTATCGCGAGTTTGCCGAGATAGGCGAGGTTGCGGGAGCAGGCAAGCTACTTTCCCGAGGTACATGCTGCGATAAGGGCTATCGGTCATCTTTGCCGTGTATTGACACCTTTGCTTAGACGATAGTAGTGCTACTCCATCCTCCGGTAAGGTTTGACATAAAGGGCGTGAATGTTACGCTTCAAGTTGCTTGATTGGGACTACGTGTTCTGTGTGACAGCTCCACCACCTCTTGGACTCTTATCATTCGCTACATCTAGCCTTCCATAGCTATATCACCACCACTTCTCCGTCCTCTGTTCTCACTGTTGACATCAATCGCTAGCCATGTTTTTCATATACCTTGTCCCATTACTGTCCCTCATTTACTTCCTCTACACCCGCCTCACCTCCCCTCTAGCCAAACTCCCCGGCCCACTCTACACACTCTTCACCCCCCTCTATCTAATCTACAACGAATTCACCGGTAACCGCCGCCTCTACGTCCATTCCCTCCACACAATCCACGGCCCCATCGTCCGCCTCGGACCCAATGAAATTTCTTTCGCTAGCTATGAAGCCATGAAGGAAATCTACACCTCCGGCGGCAGTGGCTTTGACAGAACGGAATTTTATGAACTGTTCAAGCAGTTTGGGACCAAGACGCTGTTTTCCATGCCGCCGAGGGGGGAGCATAGCAAGAGGAAGAGGATTCTTGCTGATAGATATGCGAATACGAATGTTATGAGACCGGAGACTATCGAGGCGTTGACTGTGAGGGCGAGGCAATGTCTTCAGAACTGCTTGGCTGAGGATGGGGGTGATGCTGATGTTTATGTGAGTTGTAAAGAAGTGTTTGACGAGAGAGCTGTGCTGATCTTGGTGATAGGTGCATTTGCATTGTTTTGCTCTGGATGGAGCGAGTCAGCATCTGTTTGCTCCCAATGGCACGAATTCACTATCTGACCCTGAGGATCTGAAGATTATGGAGGAAATGTCTTATGCAGATAGTCTGCGAGGTTTGTCTCAACAACCAGACTGGCCCTTCACTTTCCATGCTGACTCAATGCAGCACCCTATCTGGAATACTATGCACCAGGACTAGCTGCCTTTTTCGACAAGTTCAACTCCAAGCGCTCAAGATCTGTCCCTCTAGCCAACGACTTCGTCCTCGGAGCAGCGCAAAAATCAAACCCGGCATCCTACTCGCTGATATCAAAACTGCATTCCAAAGCTTCTGATCTGGAAGAGCTGTCCGCACCGGCAGAATGTATGGATCATCTAGCCGCCGGCATCGACACCACAGGTGATGGATTATGTTTCCTCATGCATGAACTCTCCCTGCCTCATAACATGCATATCCAACAAAAGCTGCGGGAAGAAATCAACAGCAGCGAAGGCAAGAGCTTTGATCAACTACCTTATCTGGATGCGGTGGTGAAAGAGGGATTGAGAGTCTTCCCACCCATCCCCATGAGTTTCCCTCGCTATACTCCGGACTCTGGGACCACTTTGGATGGGTACTATATCCCCGGTCGTGTCATTGTGTCTTGCCAGCCTTGGACTTTACACAAAGATCCCCATGTCTTTCCCTCACCTGAGCTTTTCAATCCGCAACGATGGCTTGAGGAAGAGGGGGAACTTGAACGTAACCGCATGTTCTTTGCTTTCTCGCAAGGTGCAAGAGGATGTATTGGGAAACATCTTGCTTTGGCTGAGATGAAGATTCTGCTGCGAGAGGTTTATGGAACATATCAAACGAAGCTGGGTAAGGAGAAGGCGGACATGCGATTGGATGATCAGATCATTTCTAGCAGACCCAAGGGTCAGAAATGTCGGTTGGCTTTCGAGAAGGTTGTATAAGATAGCCTTTGCAATAAATCTGTGTTCGTTTCTTTCTATGTCTGGAAGCTCATGCCTTTTCCAGAGCGTAGACTGTGTATTTTACTCCGGCAACCTCGACATCGGTATCTTGTCTCCAGCTCTTGGTGTCGAAAACTCCCTCCCCCAACTCCTTGATCGAAGGCAGTTTTTCACCAACAGCATACTTTTCTACCCACTTATCACCTTCTTTCTGCTCTCTCAACGCATCAAACGGCCCTTCCCCTCTCTTCCTCAACACTTGAAAATATTCTCCCACCTTTCCCACAAACGTAATGCCATTATCATCCTTACTCCTCAGAATCCAGGCTGGCTCGTCGGAAGAAGGAACATCGATGCCTCCCCAGACTTCTTCGTATGCTTGGATCTCATCGTTGTTATCAGGATTAGGCATTGAACCTTTCTCTAATGCATCGCCGTTGGGCAGGTCTTCGAACTCGCCAATGTCGTCGTGGGCTTCGGTATTTTGGGAGCAGATTTCTTTTGCCCACTGGCATTTTACTTGGTCCTCTCTTAGCCTTTGTTTCATCTCTACGTCGTTTAGTGAGGGTAGAGGGAAATACTTACGCGGTGACTCGGAGAGAATTGTGCGTTTTCCGGCCATGGCCCAGTCGATGCTGCCATCGGATTTCAAGATGCGGAGGTCGACGAAGTAGCTGCCGACGTCGAGGACGAGGGTTGAGGTTGGCTCGGAGGGCTCACCGGGAACCCAGCGGAGGGACTTGCGGTAGGAGAGTTGGACGACCATTATGTTGCTTGAGCTGAAGACGAAAAAGATGAAAGACGATGTATACTACAAGCACTTACCGGGGCAGGGAAGATTATAAAAGAAGTCAACCTCCACTCAACTCTTACACATGCCCTTCTCAGCTTAAAGACATCAACACGCGACACACGTACGAACGCGACATCAAGGTACTAGCGTGGGGTCCGAGGTATATATCGCCAGGGTCACCAATTCCCCACACCACGCCGACATCGCCAAGAATCTCCTCAACTTGCCCCTTTCGGCCTCCGATAGCCGTACCCTTGCACAAGTCTCTTCCAAACATCACAGTCATCCTTCAGGCAAAAAAGCTAGCTTGCAGAGTGCAGAAGAGAAACCCACTCTCAATTCTGACAGCATACATTGACAAACTAAACACACTTATCAGAATGCGGCGTAGACCACCTTGATTTTCCTAACCCCCGCCCACTGCACAAAAGTCACAGCTCGACAGACACCTGCCTAAAATGGCCGAGAGGAATTCTGAAGTACTTGAAGCTTCGACATCGATATCAACCACACCTGCATCTGCCTCGGCAAAACAAGCTCCTGCCACTACTCGCGCAGCACAGCATAAAAGATCTTGGAGTGGGTGTGCGAGGTGTAAAAAACGGAGGCAGAAATGCGATGAGAATAGACCAGAGTGTGGGAGGTGTAAAGCTGCTAATGTGGAATGTGTTTATGAGGTCAAGTTGAGATGGGGAGGGAGAGCGTTCGGTCAATCGAGGTTTGGAGCGTGCATTTCTGATACTACGACGGCTTCGAAAGACAAGGTCAAGAAACTTGGTAAGAATGCTACAGAAATGTTGGGATGATCTTTCGACTGATGAGGGAATAGGAAGTGTGGATAAGGGATTCATCTATACTGTCAACAGCTTCCAGGTTCAGCCTCAGCCTCCGAGGGTTACTGCACCTCCAGCTCCTGCGGTACAGGAAGCGATACCTGTTGAGCAGTTTCTTGGAGAGCCAGACTTGCACGACTTACCACCACTTGATCTGGATCTGGACGACTCTTTGGCCTTGGTTTCTACAACCTCACCTGATGGTATACAACTGGACGACTACGACATCGACTTCTTCCCGTTATTCACACCAGTCGACCCATTCGTCAATCTTGGAACACTAGACCGCTCTCTACTGGACCACTTCATCAACGGAACCTCACACGTCATCTCCTGCCACTCCAAAGTCCAAGAAGACGTCTGTCGAGTAATCGTCCCAGCAGCATTACAAAGTCCGACCCTCTTCTACGCCACCGCAGCTCTATCAGCCATCCACCACAAATCACGACAAGGCTTCGACAGCAACACCCTCCGTCAAGATCCCCTAATCTCTCGCCTCCTAACCAATAGTCTCTTCGGTCTTCAAAGCGATCTTCTGGAAAAAGACGTCAATAAAAGTAGTGTCCTCCTCGCCACAATCCGCACACTCTTCCTCTGTGAAGTTCACGCCGGCGGCGACAGACCCGGAACCTGGCGCGCTCATTTCGAAGGCGCAAAAGCTTTGATGCTGGATATAGAGTCCTGGCAAGGCTACTCTTCGAAACAACGAGACAGCACGAGATATTTTTTGAAACGCTGGTACAACATGACCGAATCCTTTGTAGCGCTCACGACAGACGGCCTCGCCTCTGGCCAATTGGCGAGATTTGGCCACCCACGCACCCTCGACGGCGATGAAGAGGAAAAAGTCTATCTCGACGAATACGCAGGTTTCGCCACAGATCTGACACCCATATTCCGGGAAATCGGCGCGGCGGCTTGGGAACGACGGAATGACATTCAACCCACCATCCTCGAAGAGGGAGATCTAGACGAGGAAGCTGCGTCACTTGCAACTTGCATCTGGACAAGATTGGACGAAGCCAAAATCGCACCCCCCAGATTTCGCCCCGGAGTCGAGGAACAGCTGTCGTCACGCCAAAAAGCGGATTTCTTGTGCTGTAATGAGATTTGGCATCATATGGCATTGATCTACATATACCGCCGCATCTCCAACCACTCTGCTTTTTCACCGCCAGTGCAGAGTTCCGTACGCACGATCCTCTGCTGTATAGAGAGTTTGACTGCTACTCCTGGCTTGACTCCTCTAGTGGTAATGACGACACCTTTGTTTGCCGCTGGATGTGAAGCTCAAGGGGAAGATAGGGATAGAGTGAGGAGGTTATTGCAAAATATGTTTGAGTTGCTGCATATCCCTAATATCCATCGGAGTCTGGAAGTGTTGGAGAGTTTTTGGGCTAGTACGGAGAGGGGGGAAGCGCATGATTGGGATAGCTTCATGCATGATCAGAATTGGGATTTCTTGCCATATTGAAACACTTCGGTTTTTGGGCCAGGCTGAAATAAGAACGCGGGATCCGCATTGCGGCAAAGGACTACACTAGAAATTGCGGTCGCGTTCAGATCCAGCTAATCGCCATCCACATCCGGCACCTTGGATCCACCACGCCTCGGAAACCACGGACTGGACGGGGGCGTTTTCAAATGTTCAGCCAAACTCTTCAAGCCCTGGAATGACTTACTCTACTTCAGCGCAGACTCTGGACTATCCCTATCTCGCCACAAGTCGCCACACCTCGAAACATCTCGAATGCCTCACGACTCTCCACCACACACCCTCCCTTACACAAAAGGGCTCAAGCGAACACCAGAACAGACGCGACCTTCTCCCATACAACCGCATCGAACACGATCTCAACCTCCCCAAGTCCATCGCCCTCAGCTTTTGCGGGAATCACCACCACCAAATATATCCAAAAGTCCGAGCGAAAAAACAACCAAAAAACACCAAAAAGAACCGAAATTCGTCGCCACAATCGACACCCCGGCGGCATTCTATCGCCTCTCACTCTCTCGCCTCCGAGCAACTCTTCTCGAAACCCCGTGCTCTGCTTTCTTGCTTTTTTCCTGAACTCCTTCTTGCACAAAAAGCTTATTCGACATCTGAAAACACGCCTTTCCCTCCACTCGTGTCTAAAAGCATACAGCATTGCGCTGTTTCCTATGTAAACCATCTCCTCATATGCATGCCAATTATTGATGTGAAGATTGGGAATGAGGGAACGAGGGGATGCAAGTGGTACTGGAACTTTGTGGTGTCGCAGGACAATTCTGACTCAACACCTTCCCAAACATGAGAGCTTCTGAAATAGGTAGTGGGATTGGTAAAGGGAAGAAAAGGAAAGAGAAAGCATATTTCGAAGGGCAGAAGAAGATACGACAGAGGGGGAATCATAGAGAGGAAAAAAAGAGATGGTGGAGAGAAAGAAGCACTGGAAAAGGGGGGCAACGCACGCAAAGGACAATGGAAGAGCTGCGATGGATGAATTGTTAGATGTACATGGGGGCACGGGATATAGTAGGTGTGGCTTCTGTTATGTGTGTATCATTCTGTTCATTCTGTTCATTCTGTTCATTGTGTGGTTTGTTGTTATAAACACGTCCTTGCTATCCTTCAAACCAAGGAAAAACAGAAAAGGAAAACTCGCTGCGTTGCGTCAATCTTCGTTCATGCCATCATTGCCAACTTCTTCCATCCATGCTGGTATCTTTCTTCTGTCATTCTCCTTCCCTCAGCCGTGTCTCCGTAAGCAATCTCTCAACTTCATCCTCATTATACTGCCCACCAATCGCCATCCAGAGTAACACCTCACTCAGAATCACTACCCAAACTATCCATTCCCCTCCGATATCCAGCCATGACATCCCTCCCCTTACTCTTCTTCTTCTCTCCACTCCTACCCTCACCACCCCTAACCCTTTCATATCTTCCACTTCTATCCGAGCTCGCAGCCTCACTATCTGCATAAGTGTATCTACTGCTCCTGTGCTGCTTTGATGGAGATGCAGAATTGTTTCTCGAGCTCGATTGTCTGCGCTCTGATCTGCGCTGATCTCTGCGTTGTTCTGAGGTGGATTGCTGTTGGGGAGATGCTTGAGCAAGGGGGCGGTAAGCATCGTAGTAACTGCTGTTTGTGCGGTTGGTGGTTGTAGCTGTGTAGGAAGTACCGGTGTACTGGGTGGAGATTTCGTCAGGGGCGCCGCTGAAGGAGTAGTCGCGTTGTCTTGGAGGTTGCGACTTTTTGGGACTGCTGGAGCGACTGCGACTGGCTCCTCTCTTTGAACTCCTGACCACTTTTTCGGGAGACGAGGCGACCTTGGGGCTGGATGAGATCTTGGGAGTGGACGGTTTCTTTGCAGAAGAGGGAGAGGCTTGTTCGCGAGCCAGGGCGGCGGCAGCACGTTCTGCTTCCTTGCGCCATTTTCTTTCCATACGGGCAGCATCTTCTGCAGCCCTCTTCTCCGCCTTCTCGCGCTTGCGATCGGAAGAGGAAAGGATTGGTGCAGCGGAGGAGGCTTCTGTCATTGTTTCGCTACGGTCGGAGAAGTCGTAGGTTGTGCCGTCGGCGGATCTGTTCATGCCTCCCACACGAGCGGGTTTCTCATGCTTGTAGTCGCGGAGGTCACGATCGCGGTAACGGCGAGAGTGATCGGTAGTCGCGGAGGGAGCATGACCACCACGGATTTGCATCTTAGCAGGGCGCTTTTCGTTGCGAGAGATGGAAGTCATGGCATCGCTGCGATCGCCGCCGGTGTATTGGGTGAACGAGTCGGAATAGTAGACCGAATGACTGCCGCCAAAGCCTCTGACAGCCATGATGCCCTTTCTGCCTTTTTCGTCGTAGCCGACAACGGATTTGGCAGCGATCCTGTCGCCTTTGCTGGGTGGCATGATGGTGGAGCGGGCAGAGTAGATGGTATTGCCGTTGGCATCTTTCTTGCGCAAGACGGTCGATTTGTAGTCATCCCAGTCGCCTTGTTGCCAGTGAAAGCCGCCATTCTTTGCGTGGAAGAAGAACCAGATGGACGCGACGACGATAGCAGCGCCGATGATGGCGAAGAGGGAGAAGTAGATCTTGTTGTTCACTTTGGAAGGGTCGAGACAGCCAGCGCAGGGTGTGAGGGTTCTGGTGGCTGCGCGGGCGACGTGAGAGACGACGACGGGAGCCATGATTGATTCAACTCGTTGAGCCGAAGCTCGCGTCCAGCGTCAAGCTCTGGAATGTGAGATGGTCGTAAAGATGGTTGTTCAAAACGCGGGGGTGTGGATAGTCGGTGGTGTCGATAAATGATTGCAACGGTGTGCGGATGATCCAAAGTTCGAGAAAGACGTTGTGGTTCAAAAGTTCATCAAAAGGTGGATGGATGCAAGGCGCAAAGGGAAAGAAACAAATGGTCAAGTTCTGTATATGCTGATTCGCGATGGCTGGTAAATTGAAATGGCTGGGAAAGTGGTTGGACGCGCCTTCCTTTGTCGATCAACACCAACTTCCCCACGGCAACCGCGCGCGACTTTTCCAGGGTCCTGTCACAGGCTGTCAGTCAAGAAACCTTGATTTTCTACACTTCCGTATTACAGTTTGAACTTTGGTCTAATTCTTTTTCATCATTTATTCTTTCACGTAAACTAGAAAATCCATCATCGTCTTTTCGTCCCTTGCGCCATGCAGGGTATCAACATCTAAACATGCCCATTCGCCTTACTACCTCCTTCATAAAACCCATCTTACATGCGCGAGACAGGGTTCAAGCCCAACAGACGCATACCGTTGTACAGGACCTGGCGAGCACACTCGTAAAGTGCAGCGCGAGCCTTTTTGACCTCAGGCTCGGCCTTCATGACATTCAACTGCTCGTAAGAACTGCTCAACATATGTGACATCTTGAACAGATATGTGAGGACAGTAACGGGCTCCTGAGTCTTGATGGTGTTTGTGAACGTGTCGGGCCATTGTGCGAGGGAGCGGATGACGTCCACGGCGTGCTTCTCTGTCAACAGCGACCAGTCGGCAGTTGCGAGCTCTTCGGCTGTGAACTCTGTCTTGCGGGCAATCGAGCAGAGACGGGCGTGTGCGTATTGGAGGTAAGGTCCAGTGTCGCCCTCGAATGAAGTCATACGGTTGATGTCGAATTCGTAGTTGTTGATGCGCTTGCCGCTCATGTCTTGAACCATGACGGCCGAGATGCCGAGAGTGTCGGCCGTTTGCTCGGGGTTCTCGACCTGGACGTACTTGCCCTCGTTGCTTCGCATGACATCGTGCATCTTCTCACCAACATCACGGAGGATGTCGTCAAGGAATTTGGCAGTACCCTTGCGAGTGGACATACCCAAGACCATACCGAAGTTGATGTGCTGGCACTTGCTGGCGACCTCTGCGTACTCGTCACCCATGACCTCGAGAATCTTGAAGAGTTGAGCCAAGTGCAGGTCTTGTTGCGAGGCGACAACGTAGATCATCTTGTCGAAGTGGTACTTTTGGTGACGCTCAACGGCTGCACCGATATCACGAGTGAGGTAAAGGGTCGTGCCGTCACGCTTCTTGACCAGAGCCTTGCCGAGCTTCTTCTGGTACTTTGTCAGGTCAACCAGAACAGCACCCTCGCTCTGCTCACTGATCTTCTTCTCCTCGAGAACCTTGGCAGCAGTCTCCATGCTCTCATTCTTGACCTGCGACTCACCAGAGTAGTCGTCGTAGGTGATGTTGAGACGGGCGTAGGTCTGCTTGTACTTGACAATGGAAAGATCACGGAAACGAGCCCAGATACCCAGAGCATCCTTCTCGCCATCGGCCATGCGCTTGAAGTAGTCACGGGCTTGTTGGTCGATACCAGTCTTCTCGATGCGCTCAATCTCGGCCTGTTGCTCGACAACCGACTCGTTCTTGCCCTCGAGCTCGACAATCTTTGCCTTCAAGGCCTTCATTTGCTCGGCCTCATCATGGGCAATGGCGCTGACCTTGACGTAAACCTCGTACAGGTGACCGATAGGGTTGGCCTCCAGAGCCTCGTCGCTTCCGAACTTCTCGAAACCGATAGCCAGAACACCGTACTGCTTACCCCAGTCACCGAGGTAGTTCATGCGGGTAACATCCCAACCAGCAGCCTCGTACAGGTTGCCCAAGAAACCTCCAATGATGGTTGAGCGCAAGTGACCGGCGTGGAAAGGCTTGGCAATGTTGGGGGATGAGAACTCGACAATCATCTTCTTTCTCTCCGAGCTGGGATCCTTGGGGTCCTTGAGACCGAGGTTGGGGTTGAAACCGTACTTGGTGGTGTTCTTGAGGATTGAAGGAAGGACAAGCTTGGCAAGAGGGTCGGGCTTGAAGAAGAAACGGACAAAGGTCTTTTCGGCGACGGGAGGGAGGAGGAGGGGTGACTCGGGGAACTGCATTTCATGTCAGTGTCGCGTGTGGGCAGACTGTAGAAACACGGCATTACCTTGTCCTTGATCTCGACGGCAAGAGCGTCAGGCTTCTTGCCCTTGATGCGCAGAGCAGGTACGGGCAACATCAAGTCACCATATTCCAGAACTTGAGTCCATTGCAGCAGAGGGTAGATTTGCTCGGCAGCGACACCAGTGATGGGCGCCAGCAGCTCGGCGATGTGAGAACGGTAGATGTCGACCTGGTTGTAGGTGGGGAAGGTAGCGATCTTCTCAAGCTGAGGCACTGAAGACAGGCCCAGAGTCTTGAGCGATGAAGTGAGATCCTCCATGGTGACGCCTTTGTGATTGAAGGATTTAGGTATTGAGAAGGTCTGGGAATGCGATCGGACTTGGTGCGAAATAGACCGGCTCAATTGGCGAGGGATGGTAGAAGGGAAATGACCAAAGAAAGATGCAGCTCTTCTGATTTGAACTGCGCGCATTCACCACTTGGTCAGAAAGATTGAAGATGAGTCGAAAACACTTTTTTGGTTGGAAAACAGTCAATCCACCGACACCTTCGCTCCTTCCGGCCCCCGCCCAATCTCTTGGCGCCATGACTCATGAATCCATACCAAACTTTCTGTCCAGAAGGGAAGGAACCATCAAAGGACGATGAAAGAGGAGGTATTCAAGACATTAAATTCATAACTACTCATTCGTAGCTTCTTAATTCGTCCCATCCGTGCCCATATCGGCCAACAGTAAACTCTCCATCCCACTGACCCAGCCAAGCTTCTCTCGATTGTCGTCACATACTCTTGCATACTCGAGCAATAGTCTGAAGACGTAGATCTGCATGTCTTCTCTTCTGAGAACAGTCTCAGTCCATTGCTTGCCTTCGAGCGCAATCTTCTTGGCTGCTGCATCGCGGCCACCCAAGAAATAATGCATAATGCCGTAGACATCCACAAATGTGTTGTCCATGGGCACGAAATGCTTCCATGCCATCATTCTGGAGTCATGCCATTCATCGTAAATAGTAGCCTTGATTGGAAGAGATGTCGATCCGAGGAATCCTCGGTAGCGTCCAGAGAAAGAATTGCCATCAATATCCGGCAGATATTTATAGTCGTATTGTTCACCCATGGGCATAGGTGGCTTGACTTCGTAGAATGCATCATCATAGTCGCAGAAAGGCGGTCGAGTATCAGGGAAACAGAGAAGATGGACAAAAGCCGCATCGGCTGATTCACCAACCCACTTTGCCAAAGACCCAGGCGGTAAGTCGTATTGTCCAGGTTCCGGGAGCTCGAAGTTGGGCTGTTTGCCCGTTTCTTCAGCATGAGCAATACTGGTTCTGTTCATCATCGAGACAAATCTATGACGCTGGAAGCGCGCCCAGTTCGTGTCCTTGTTACGACCACCCGAGGCAGCGCCACGCCAGATTATTTTGTTCTTCTTCTTGTCCCATTCAGCACCATGTTGCTCTCCTCCAGAGTAAAATGGGTCGTCCGTCCAGTACATAGCTGGCGGTAGCAAAATCTCGTTGTTCATGGGTAGCTTTGAGCCTCCAAATAGGGGCATGAGTTTTCTAGAGTTTGATATTGAGATCGGCTCAACGAATGTACCGTGAAGACCTTGGAGTTGAGGATGCTCACATGGTTGCTTTACGTACGTCCAATTAGTAACATAGCCTTCATAGCTCTTCTCTGGGTAAGAATTGTTCAAAGGTGGGAAGGCTGTGTAGTCGACTTCTGCCTTGTATGAGCGAGCAGGAGAGTCGGGATGGCAGCCGATAACGGCACGGTCCCAGTACGGACCACCCTCCCATTGGGGATCAAAAGGAGGCACCTCTTCATCTTTGCCGACAGAAGTCTTGCCGAACTTGCGCACGACTTCGGAAGCAGGAACCATGCGGCGAGACTTCTTCTCTGCAGTCATGTACTCGTCTATTGTTTCCCATGGTACAATGACGCGCGATTCGTCCATGACGTTGATAGGTATGTCCATGTCGGGTAGATGTTGGGCGATTGTGCCAATCAAGTTCTCCCAGAGGTCCAGCCAGACACGAGGCTCGTCACTAAGCTGTGAAGTGTTGCCATTGCGAACGCTGATGCGATGGAAGATGTCGCCGGCTTGTTGACGGATATTCAAGGCAGGAATAGCCCAGAAGGGGTTGAGATCGTGGTATACGCGGTCGAAGAAATCTTCAACGACGAGAGCATTGTTCTCTTGTGCAAAGTGGAACCAAACGTCAAAACCTGGTGGTGGCCGTCTTCCTCTGCGATCCTCGTATGCGCGCACTGCATCAGCTAGGGTATGCGACTGCTTCTGCAAAAGTGCATCTTGTTGGCGATCCGCCTCTTCAATCAAATCATCGATGGGATGGTGTGGTCGGCCTTTTGTTGGAGGCTTCAGAGAGATGGTCTCGGGAATATGAATGGCGTCGGCATTTGTGTATAAGGATACGATGAGAACGAGAAGGATGGCGGCCAACAGCAGGAGCTGGGTGAAACGTCCACTGATTCGAGGAGCCGTCAACATGGCTAGGGCGCTCTCCACGGACGCTGCTGTTGACCGGGAACAATTGTGCCTATGAAAGCATGTAGGAATGACGTGATTGCGTCGTCGGTTGTGATTTTAGGGCGATATTCTTCCAGCGAGTTGTCGGTTCACTGTGAGTCTGCGACAAACAATAGCTAGGTCAGGTAGTAAGAAGTAGCAAACGTTGACTAGGAAGGCGCGATGGATGCCGCCGCAATTTTGTACGAACGCGCCTCTTCGCTTCCAGACCGCCAAGGACACATATCGCCAGGCATAATATCAGGCAATACCCACTTCTGACCTAAACCTGATTATGAGAAATTCGATCCGAAATTTCCAATTGCATTGCATCAGCGATGATGTTGCTCGTCAATGCAAGGTTTACACCGTGACTTGACTCAAGGTTGGGAGCTTGCTGTCGCGGGTGGGCGAGAGGTTTCGGCTTCTTCGAAATGTCCCGGCTTGGCAAGCCTCTATCATTCTCGCCCTTGCCACTTGTTGAAGCCTTCCTTTAATCCCTCCGATAATCTTCAAGCAGCAGTCATGTTCGTCTTTACACGGGGCAAACGCTTTATAGCTACGATCCCATGTCTCTTCGGATCTGTGTCTTCTACTCGCTTGCCACGTCAAAGCATGTCGTCTACAACATGTAAAGCTGCCGAAAAAGAAACTTCCAAAAAAGCTTTCGAGCAGCGACTTGAGGCATACCTAGAAGCACGGAAAGAGTACCACCGATTGTACTACCAAAAACACAAGAAGGCCATCTTGGAAGAGAAGAAAAAGCGGATAGACGAAAATCCGGACCCGTTCAGGAAGCGTACCAAACAGTATTACCAGAATCACAAGGAGGAGCTATGTGCATATCAGAAAGTCCGTCGCGAGACCATTACGGAGACTCAACAAGCCGCCTATCTTGCCAGAAGAGAAGCCAGAAGAGAAGCCAGAACCCAGGAACTTTCCGGTAGGCTAGCTATGGTCTTTGCTGAGAGGGAAGCTCGAGCAAAAGAGCGTGCTAGAAGGCGACAGACGAAGAAGACTCAACAAGCCAGAAAAGAAGCTAGAACCCAGGAACGCGCCAAGAGACTGGCTGAGAGAGAAGCTTGAGCAAAAGAGCGAGCTAAAAGGCGACTGGCCGAGAAAGAAGCTCGAGCTGAAAGGCAACTGGCCGAGAAAGAAGCTCGAGCAAAAGAGCGAGCTGAAAGGCGACAGCTCAGCCAGGAAGAGATTAATCGACGCTTGATTGAGCGTCGTGAACACCGAGCCGGGATCATATTCCACGACCATTTGGTGTTCATGCCCATCAAAGTATAGCAGCCTAACTTTCTCTTAGACGAGGGCGTCTAGGTTCAAGTTTTGTTGAGATGAGTGTGGTCAGAAGAGGCGCTCGTGACAATATGTCAACCAGGATTTCCTGACAAAAAAATCGCTAATAGTAGCTTCTTCTAGGGTGGAAAGACCAAAGTTTGTCTGATCCAGAATTGTACCAATGCCATTCATGTTACGCTGCGGATGTAACCTAGGCTATGCCTTTAGGTTATAAGAACTACATCTTTAACCGCGGAAAAACACCGCGACCCTGAACGACCACACTTTCAATCATACGACGACATAACCAGATACACTAGCTTACGCTATACGACTGGCTCACTAGCTCACTGATTGGCTAGAGATTTAGTACTTCGAGAGTCGCTGTCTTGTCGAGCGAACACCGTTAAACTAACTGAAAATTGATATTGATTCCGCCTACGATGACTTCGATGTGCGTTCTTCAAATCAGACTGTTGCTGATTGCACAGCGTGCACCAAGGCCGGATCGCCTATTCGATTGTACTCGGTTTGAACATGCAACACTTGCGGTAAGATGAATGTCGGATTAATTGATTGACGCGTCGTCTACAGCACTACGCGAGACAGACCGTCGAGTCATCGAGTTGTCAAGAGTCACGTCCAACACAGCCAAAACCGACTCAAAGGACCGCTTTACTCTACCTATACAACAGATAAAGCGTCAAGCACAGCTTAGGGCTTACAGGCAGAGTCACAAACTCTATTGGACGACTGACAGCTTCATGATATTCAGTCATCGGGTGCAGCTCGCGCCGGTGTAATTCACCTTCGCAAATTCTTGTTCTTCCATCTCCCTCATCGCATAGCGAAAAGACTGCCAATTTTGGCTGCTACAACAAGATAAGTCTCATTCAACGCATCTTCGAACATGGCCAATGCAGTTACTACAAGACGCGTAACTTGGGCCGTTCCACTTATTCAGCAACCTGTGATCCACGTTCCACACCACGCCGGGTTGCACCACCGACCGACACCAGAATTCAGCAGTCGTGATGTTCAGAAACCACCAGAGGACCGTCGCTCTGCAGCAGACAGCCTGCGCAATAACATTCGACGTGTCCCTCCCACAACGCCATCAAAACAGCCAGGCGTCCGTAGAGATGATGCAATGAATGACAACGACCACACCGCAACGCCCTCTCATCAAGAAGACGATACTACATCCGCACCATTAAAGCAGGCAGACGATGATAGAGACAGTGCGATTGACGCCACTGATCAACACTTCAAATCTCCGCAACAACAAGACGGCACCAACACCGGAGGAAACCAAGCACCCCCACGATACTCTCAACGCAAAGAAGAAGAACGCACCAACTACGAGCACAGCTGCAACGAGCGTCGCGACAATGAAAACTTGGTACTCCAACACGACGAATATCTCTTCGACCCGAATGACTTCCTCTGGGCTGCCGCTTGCAAATTCGCAGATGTTCTTGAGAGCAGAGAGCCCGAGATTACTTCCGATTACTATTTCTCAACCAGCGATGTTCTGGTATGTCTTTTTATCAATATTGATCTCAGTATTATTGAAGATTCCGAGTACCTGGCCAAATGTCTGGTCATGCCACTGATCAAATTCTTTAGTCGCGCCAGTTCCTTCAGGTTCGCGATCTTTGTGCCTCGCCAACATGTCGAGGGACAAAGGGAGGTGCCGAAACACTTGCGCTATGTCTTTGGCACTCTGGGGGAGCTCGGCAGATCACCCAACCTCGAGGGCGCAAGCACAGACATGGAAAAGAAGTTCGTCATCAGAGAGGTGCGTACCATGCGTCGTCGCTCACGCATGGATCACGTTCAGATTCACGCGGACAGTTTGGAACATGGCTTTTTCATCGCGAAAGTCGATGGGAAGGATTTGAATGAGGAGCCTTTGGAGAGCTGCAGGCTGCTGCAAGACATACAAGGACCGAAGCCTACTGAACGTATTGCCATTCCGCCTCGTCCCAGGGCCGATGACGTTGGCGCTGCTTGGGTGGTGAAAAAGAAAGGTGGTGTTTGGGCTTGAGGGTGATCAAGGGTTAACGATGACGACAACATGCATGGAAGACATGAGGATCTGGAATACATCCGCATTGTGAGCGCTGTTCAGAGCTACTGATTATACAACGCATTAGCGAAGCCTTGTTCTTGTCCTCAATCAAACGATTTTCTGGCCATCTTCACGGCGTGCTAAGAGTTGCAAACCCATGAGTCCCCCGCAGTCAAGTCTGATGGTGCCCCTCGTGGTGAGAAAGTGTCTAGCAGGCTATTGCCGTAGCAAAGTGTCTCAGAATCAACAGATCTGGGCATCCTGACAGCCATGTCTGTGGCGACCATCAGCTCGTTGCTCTCCTGCTCCATAACCCACGCTCGCTTCCACCCTGCTCTTGACGACTCCGCCGAAATAGGCGCCTAATTGTTCGATCACATCAATACTGTCGCTGCCATGAGCATCGTGAGTCTTGTAACTCGCTTGGTCGAATGTTACTGACATATGCTGTGCCCCTCAGGATCTCTGCACTCCGTCTCCATGTCTGACTCTTTATCACCACGACAAATTGCCGGGAACGCGCCTGAAGATCTCCCAACAACAAGACGAGCGTTCCAAACGAACGCAACATGTCCCACGTGTTTAGTACAGAGTTGTCGAGCCCTAACAGTAGAAGAAATAATTGAGTGCGCCGCCAGCGCTTCCACGTTCGTCGATAGCCCGCATCGACCATATCAGCACCTCCTCGTTATCTTTCGGATGGTTTCCACCCTCGCTCTGCTAACGGGGTACACATAACGCTCAGCACAAACGACGATGACTGACCAGCACAACATCTCTGATAAGGACACCGTCACCGAGCCCGATACTTCTGCACAGGCATTCGACAAGCAAACTGCCATCGCCGATGATGCTATGGTTGTCAAACTGAGCAAGCTAGTCCAGTCGAGTCATCCTGGTTGCTCTGCTGCCTCAAAACCCCCATCGTCAGGCTTCGTCCTATGCTAGAATGTATCCTCTTTACCACTCATCATTCGAGAAGTCATGCGACATCTCTTGGGCGAGGAAGAGTCGCACATTTCGTGGTTGTGGTCGCCATTCATCTGACTGTGGCCTCGGTCTACCAACTCTGGCGCTATATAATACCCGCTTACCGGTACTGCAGCTATTGCGTACGAAGAGACTCCAATGTTACGCGACACTATGGATACAATCAATCGAACGCTTGTGACTCGCAAGTCGTGATCAGAGCTAGTACTGTATCTACGCAGGTAAGAAAACAACGAAGGTAACCAGGTCACTGAAATATCGCTACGGACTCGTGTCCTGCGCAGTACGTTATAACACATCTCTCTTTTCGTGCCCCGGTGATGCGGAGCCAATCCTTGATTCATTGACCTGATCTCTCTCGTCCTCTGTGGTTGGACTGTGAGAACTGTGTTTTTCTCGTGGTGAAGTCAGGTATGTAGCGATGTCATGAACCATGTTAAGGAAGAAGAGCGTTGCATCGGTAGAGGTGTTAATAGTAGAGTAATTCTATAATGAAAGCGTAAGTCATAGCTACCGGATCAACCATGCACCGAGGAAGAACGTGGCAGTATCGATTCTGGACGTAGCAGACTCTGGCGCTTCTGGAGAAAGCTGTCATGGCTATGATAGGAGAAATGGAAACAGCAACCATGACTGTTTCTACACGAGGAAAATCATTCAGAAAACATCAAAGACAGGAGATTGAGCAGCTACGTGAGAGGCTTCTTTATATAGCGAGCGGCGGCGAACATCCGATGACACAGCCCGGACATCATCGTCTAAGTCCGACATCGATTGTTCTCGGCACCATATAAGAGAGCTGCTTGCGCTATTCTAAGGTTTGGATGAATGGTCTGCTGGGTTGACGACACATGTTGCAAGATAGAGCACGGTGTTGAAGTTAACAACTCCACATGCTGGTCCCAGGTGTAGAGATGCCGGATCTAAGCAAAGACCAAGGTAAAAAGGTCAATGATACTAGTTGTGGCTCTATGTTCCCCTGAGTCTGTAAAAATGTAGACTTCGAATGAGGTGGATGACGCAGAGAACTACAAAGGTAGAAGGAGCTTCAATGACCTTATCGCTCCTTGCTCCTTGCTCCTTGCTCTGGCTTCTAAATGGAATCTAGCGGAACTATAGGGATGGAAAAGATCATGTTCATCGTTACACTCATTGATGATATTAAAAGGACTATGTGCTGAGTCAATAACTATACACTGCTCTCATGTCCCCTTTTTATACTACACTAAGCATAGGCAGTGATGGTGAAATGTGTTGAGCATACGAACAAAGAGTTGTGAACAAAACAAAGAAAATGCTTTGTCTCCCCAACAAACTCTTGTACAGAATCACTCCAGCAAGGGAAAATGTAGCCCTCGCACCAGGACAATATGTCAAGATTAAACCAGCAGAACAAGAGTAAAAAAAGAACTGTGGTAGCCGAGGATCAAACCCGGAATTCTCGCTGTGTTCCCCAACTGCTGTTGCAGTCACCTTCAAAATACGCCCACCCAAATGCGGACGGGGGATAGAGCGATGCTCTAACCATTGAGCCACCACCACTGTTGTTGACTTGATGCCAGCGCTTTTGGTATCTGCAGAATGAGAAGAAATGAGGAAGAGATTCTGCTTCTTTTGATAATAGGCGCAGTATCATATCCTCCTCCTAATGGATGGCGGTACAGCCCAGTGCAATGATGTGTCAAGCAGAAGGCTCATCCTGTGTGAGCCTTCAGATTGAGGTCAAAGCAGCCAGCTGTTCGTATGCCATCAGGACCTCCTGGTACTGGCAGGTTGCTGTCTGCGAAGCCTGATGTACAGGTGCTTGAGAACTTCTGCTACTGGAGTCCTAGAAGGCGCCTAAAGGGTATCAAGACAAAGGAGGACAACGCAAGCATCACGCGGTGGAGATCATATACAGTCATCGGGATTAAAAACGAGAAGATGCGAGCATGATCTGGCAAAAGGATATCGGACGCCTCACAATCTCGAATGCTCAAGAATCATGGATGTCCGCGATGAGAGATTAGCTTGGATCGATCATGATACAGGGACTTTACATCTCAAATTCACCCTTGGGTGTGACCGACCTGCTCAGGATAATAGCTTGTACGGTCAAGATTACCTCGACCAACGTCACGTTACACTTGCCAGTCGCGGATGAGCAGATTCTTGTTCGGGACTTCGAAGCTATTTCAGAAGATGGGTCACAAGAGAGTGTTCAAAAAAGGTGTTGAAGAATTTGAGAGAGAAGTGGCAGCACTCCTGAGCCAAGCGAGGGTCATAATAGCGCCTATCGGAATGCAAAGGTTATTTTGAAGTAGTAACATCTTCTCCTGAGGCCCCGACGATGCCCATATCTCTTCTCCGAAGCTCTTTCTCTTGAGGATATCCTGAGCGTCACCGTACCGCTCCCTACCGGATCGAGGACGAGTACAAGACTGACTGGCTATCCACGTCTTGCGCTGGAGGATTGGGAGAAGGCAATGATTTGTGAAAAACGATAGAGCTTGTTGTATGTTTCCATGACAGAATGTTTAACTTGAGGAATGGCAGCATGAGGGTGCTTCGATGATGATGCTGTGCTGTAAGAGAGTCGTTAGTCCAGGAAAATATAGTGAGCAGCAAACAAACTTACCCCCCGAACCACTTTCTTCGCGAGGCTCCTCAATAAAACCCAGCGCAGCTTCCCGCCTTTCCTCCGCGGCAGCCTCGTCGTTCATAGCGGTCATAAAGACATGGCTGCACCTGACCTTGTCACTCAGTCTCGGCGACCAAGCGATCCAGGTCAAATTGTACGCTCCACTGGTCGATAGCTTCGAAGTGCTTGACCTTTGGCTGCTGAGGCAAATTCGGGTCGATGTCTTCGAAGCATCTTGGGGTCCAGAGATTGCCCACCAGCACTGAGTCCACAGAGGATGACATGGAAATCTCCTCGATATGGTCCTTCCAGGAGCAAGGCACGGGTGGCCGAACGCAAGACGAGCATGCATCTTCACGTTACGCATGGTGTAATTCGCGATTGAACGACTGCGGTTCTGCGTCACAAGAGCAGATGACTCGACGCTGGACTCTCGCAGGGCGGACTCGCGAATGGGGAGAAGGAAGGTGAGGATGGCGGAGCTCATCGAAGTGGTAGATGCCTAGGCTCTTGTAGATGATGGCGTCGGTGGTAGCGAGATAGGTCACAGAGCTCTCGGTTGAGTAGTCTTTGAGGGGATGCGGATGTCATGCCCGTTGAGAGGGGTTGTTGAGAGGTGATGGAAGAGGTTTGTTCTGTGGGGGACGAGGTCTGGAGTTGTCTGGGGCGAGGGCAGATCGATGACCAGATCCCCCAGTGCCACTCCGGGACACACTGCCGCGCTGTAAAGGCCGTGATAGACCAGACCAATCTCAAATATGGATCCCAAAGATGACAAGCGCGGGCTTGCATTGACCTCCATCTTGATCTTGACGTGCCTCCTCTGTGCTCTGAGCATATTGGATATCCTGGCTTGCGCAATGTAGAAGGTATTGTCGATAGCATCGTAGCCTGAGCAGAGCCTCTTGAGTGATCGCACAGCCAGACCGACGACGGGGTTCTGACGGCGAACCACTGCCCTGTAGGTAGCCCATGGGAGATCGCCCTGACTCTTGTGAGCACCCCAGCCCCGAGATGTCGATAACACGGTATTAGTAGCGGTATTGATGGCTTTGTTGCAATTTTCGAAGACGTTCTCGTTCATCGCTTCCTTGATCTCCGTCAGGAAGACTTTTGCGTGAGTACTTGATACGGGTCATTGAGACTTGCAGCGGTTGGGGTGACTGATCGTTCTCCAAAGCAGACGACGATCAATCAACAGAAAGAGTCGCCCTCCATCATTCTGGATACCGATCGAAGGCTCTTGATATTGCGCTCGTCAAGGTGTGCGATGGTTTGCACTCTCAGTTCTTTAGGAAGCTGGTCCCTGATGCAGAGTCCTGTGAGGCTAACGAATGGTCAGTCTGAACGTGTCATCAAGGCTGAACACGTACTTCGAGCACAATCCTACGAAACAGCTCAACGTGTACGCGTAAGGCCGTCTGCATTGCCGGGTGTGTCGGTATTGAGGGGTGAGCGAATAGGTCTTAGATGAGCGCGAGAGAGGCGAGGAGGACGAGAGGGGGAGTTGTCGTAAGATGTTTGTTGACGAAAGGGGCTGAAAGTAAAGGCGAAATGAATTATCTCGGACTTCAACACTTCGTGAGAATTGTGCGTAAGTTTATTGGAAGATCTCAGACTGGTAGGGCAGAGAGTAAAGGGGGAAGGGCAAAGAGCTGTCATGGACATGGGACGTTCATATTCGCTGTTTTGGGGCGCCTCTTGCAAAGGACACCAGCAATGATGATTAATGTGGTGAGATCGAGCATGTCATAGTTGTTATGGCCAAGCCACTCGTGCTTCGGACTGAGCACACATTGAATGAGTAGAAACCCACAACCGCACGACACTGTCGAGTGTCTCGTTCCGAAGCTTTGACATCTTGACCGACTTTCACGTCTTTCTTCTTCTCTTTTCTCGTGGCTGAACCGCAGACGCAACGAAGGCGAAACCTTTCTCTTTGACAGCTCTACATTGCATATGCACCACCCCAGGTAGCCCAGCACGCTTCCTATATCTCGCTACTGCGCTCGACGACAAATCATTCTCCTCCTATCTCTCCGCTCACATCCACCATCAACAGAAAGCGTACTCAGCATCATGGCTCATCTTCCTAACGAAGTGGTCAGGATGATTGCCAAGTACGTAGCAAAGGGGGATCTACCAAACTTCCGGCTCGTCAATAGCACATACCGTGCGCTCTCCGAAGACTGCTTTACCGACAAGTGCTTCGAGGATCTCGTTACATCTATCGACCGTGCTGCTCTCGACCACCTGCTCTCTGCAGTCTGTCACGCGCAGTTCGGTCCAGCTATTAAGACTCTCACAATCCAGATGAGCGGCATTCACGAGGAATACTGCGTCATCAGATTAGATATCATGGTCATCTTTGAAGTCTTGCGCGTCAGAAAACAACAGGTCGCCATCAAAGTTGTCTTCACGGCAATGAATCTTCCTGGACCTGGTTCAAAGTGGCACGAGCTCAACAGCGCCGACATCCTTCTAGTCATGTTCGGCAATGTCCAAGACCACTACGACCTGGACGTTTCTCCCAGAACCCTAGACTTCTCTCTGCCTTCGCCGGCCGCGCGCTCTGACATCTCTCCTGCGCGAACGAAGCTTGCCTCGACCATTGCACATATCTCTCTCTTCGATGTAACCCGCATCACCTACACCGATGCGCCTGGTTTCATTCTCTACGACCCGCAAACACAAACTCTCAAGATAGAGAAGCTGAAAGTCGAACACCTTCATGAGGTACTCCCTAGCTTCTTCAAACAGACCCCCATTCGCAAAATCAGTATCACCGCTACTGATATTGACGAATCTACCCTCTATGATCTCCTCTGGTTTGAGCAAGACCTTTTGGTGGAACTGGAGCTCAAAGACATCTCTTTGTTCCCTGCGATTCCAAAGAGTCGCCTTTTCTCACGCTATCACCTCGACGCCCACAGAAATGTCTCCTGGTACCGTATCATCGACATGATGCGCTGTTGCATCTTTCTGAATCGCCTGGATGTGAGCGAGCTGCGTGCAGATGGTGGTGTGGAGGTTGCGGCTATCTCGGCCGTCACCACGCCCAACGTCTTCGCCGCCATCCACAACGAGCTTCGCCGCCTCGAAGCTCTACGCAGATAAACGGCCACCGAAGCGCACAGTTGAAGCCAGTTGGGGAGATGATTTGATCCAAGAGAGAGATGATGGATCAATCCTTTTGGACAAGACGGTGGTAGTGAAAAGCAATGTGCATTCAGACACGTTACCTCAGGGGGATTTCACAGAAGGAAGGTGGGACACATGATCAAGTCTATAGCAGTCCAGTAACACAATCGGATGCATCTCTCAGCATAATGATTCATGGTAGAGAGCTTTCCTGTTCTTTTTTGGCTTTCTGTGCTTTCTAGAATAAAGGTGCAGGACGGGAAATCAATGTCGGAAGCCAAGTTGACCAAAGTCTTTGTCACAGTAAGGAGCACAAGTAAGACCAAAGAAACAAAGGTTTCAAGAGACAAGGCCATCGAATTTCAGCTAATTAGCGAATATGACAAAGAACAGGAAATCCGTCAAGGCAAAAGAGCCCCGAAAGCAAGCAACGCAGACGGAAACAAAGAAAATGCGCCATAAACGTCCTGACGAGACAGAGCAAGAGAGCAGCGGCGAAGCAAATTGCAAGACGAAGTTCGAGGAGCTTTGAGCTCAGTAGATCGTTGAGCGGGTTTACGATGGGTCATGATGCTAGCGTGAGAAAGTAGATTGTTCGACAAAGCCAATGGAACACATCATCTCGTCTACTTAAAGGCCGATAATTACTTGCGTATCTGTCATCTTTTGCGTACGAATAACCTGAGTGAGCCTGTGAGGCACTGGCACCACCGTCGATGCGGGCGGCGAGCTCGTCAAAACGCCTAGTCATCTTACTGTGATCTTTGTGACGGGGTGGCAGCTGCGTAGGCCAGAAGAAAGAGTCTCATCAGGTGAACGCTGGTGGTGCATCAGGGCGCTGGGATCGGCGAATTAGGACAAGGATGCATCGACGCTGAGATCGACGAGTCGAAGAGTCAAAGTTGGCGCTTGATGACCACGAGGCAGCGTTGAGTGTGAGATGAGTGGTCTAAGTTGTTGATTCGCGACTGGAGAGTAGGAATTTGAGGTCTGAGTCGCGTAGGCTATATAATCCTTCCACCCCCTCGATCAAAAGCTTCTCTCCAGACAACGACTTCAGAGAGATTCGAAGAAGTTGTGAAGATGCCTTTGACAGGAAGCTCACCTCAAACTGCTGTGTTGCAGATGCTCGTTGGTTTTGCAAAATGTGCGAGGTAGAGGAGGTAGAGGGGATGAAGTTATCAGGTCAACGAACCACCACACCCCTGGCTGTAATCTTCAGACGAGCGGTTTACTGATGGGTTGGGCGGGAGGCAGTAGCTTGGCTTCTGGACAATGGAGGCTGTATAAGAGAGATTAAGGAGGGTGAGGGGTGCAGGGGCCTGATGCCTCTCCTTGCCTTCGCTGTGTGCTGGTGTCTCTCAGGACGTTCCACGAAGAACGACTTCTTGTGGGTTCCTTGACACGTTTCCGGTGATCGAATATACGACCATCCGTCCATCTTGGTTGAGAGAGGTGGTGGTGGGTGGAGAGGGAGTTTATATAGGATATTGAATGGAGATTTGGGAGGAAGTGAGAAGGATAGTTGTTTTGGCCTGATAGTGACGAGGCGGTGTTGGCGATGGGAGGGTGGCGGTGAAGACCAATCTTCGCGGTGCTGGATAGAGGTAAATTGGCTGTAAGCACCTGGATCTCTTCCAGACGACAACTGTCCAGAGAGTCAGCACATAAAGCTGGAAAGATGCGAATACTTCATACATGCCTAAAATATATCACCAAAGAAGAAGACGAACCACAACTCGAGAGCCTTCGAAAGCCACTACATCCTCCAAGACGAATACAGCGCATGTATCAGCGACACGTCATTTCAAGTAAAGCTCACACATCCGAACAACAGTGAATCAGAAACATGAAGGAACAAGAACTTCATGCCTACGGAAGAAACCAAAAAAAAAACGGACCAAAGAATTAACCATTGCACCAGAGAAGAACCGAAAGAACAAACCACCGCACCAGAGAAGAACCAAAATGAATCAAAAGACCAAACTCCAAACTCCCAGAAAAGCTCGACCCGTGGGGAGCGTATAAAATTGAATGCCAGAAAGAAAAGAGAGTAAGACTGTGGAGACCCAAGACCGAGGAAGAGCTCTAACCCGTAGGGAGCGTGCAAAGACCAATGCCAGAAATCAGAAAACCAAAACGCCGGTCATGAGTTGTGGAAGAGTATGTATGGCGAGTGCTGCGGTGTATCGCTCATCACCCGTGATGGTACGTTGCTTGTTCTTGATGAAGCATGATCTTGTAGTTTTGTGATGTTCTTGTGTCTTTCTCGTCTTATGATGCTTCGTTCTGTTCGCGTTTTATGACTTTTTGTGCCTTGGTTGTGGTTTGTGTGAGGCCAGTAGAGGCAGGGGAAGTAAGGAGCAAGAAGCAAGAAGCAAGGAAGGCGGTGAGACGGTGCCGGACGGAAGGCGTAGTGGACGGAAGACGTGATGGGAAGGAGGCGCCCTCATCGATGAGACGGGAGTTGGAAGGACGCTGAGGCATCTCAATGAGCAGAAGTGATGTGCGGGTGCCAAAGAAGGAAGATGCAAAGACGATGTGCTGGTGCTGGCGAAACGAGAGACGAGAAAGGGGAAATAAGGCGACGCCAGCGATGGGCCCGATGAGCGCGGTGGGTAACTCCGGAGGAGGCTTGTGAAAACCAGGGGCGCTTGATGGCCCCAGGAGAGTGTTGTACATAGGAGAGGTCGTCTGGATGGTTTGACTAGTGCTTGCGCTACACTGGATGTGTTGATTTGGGGAAGGTACAAGGGGTGAGAGATGGGCGAGACTGGCGACGATAAAAGTGCCCGCTGAGCGGCCCCAAGTGATGGATGTGCTTCGTGAAGAAGAAGGCGCCGTAAAGTGCTTGCCAGAAGGGCAGAGCCTCTGAGACGAGGCGATGCAGGAAGGAAAGCAGTGGACGAAAGAAACCGCTATTTTGGTGATTGGGTTGTGGGGTGATTCAGGTGTTTTTGTTCTTTTGTGCTTGTGTTTGTGGTTTGAAACAGGGGTGACAGGAGCAGTCAAGGTAGGTGTACTTGATGCCTGATCCTCTACGGAAGGTAACATCGGTTGATGAGAACTTGGAACAATGCAGCAAGGTCTATTGCGGTCAGGAGCCGAGGGATAGCGGTCTTGTGGTCGTAGATCCGGGAGGAACCTTGGTCTCGCTGTCGATTGTTGGGAAGTGGTTGATTGCGAGCAGGCAAGGTTTTGTGGGCCTCTCAATACCCTAGACGGGATTCAAGCGTCTTGAAAGGGTTTGAAGACCTGCCTTAATTCTTTCATCGCCCTCGGCGACAAAGTCAACTTGGAATCCAACCCTGGTTGGTCTAACTCTTTTGTTGAGAAGCTCGACCATGACGTATGCATGGAGGCCCTTAATCTCAAGACGATCAAGAGTATCGCTAAAAATCGAGTGATCGTTTGTGAGGACCGAGTGAAGGAGGTGGCAACTAGTCAACACGAGTTCCTTAACATGATCACCATGTAAGATAGCTTCTATCTCCTTAAACTGATCAAATGACAGACCGTGAGCGTGAACACTCTGCTTACTACGGTAGAAGTGCACCCAGGCCTCGTGCTCCTTGTTCGGGATCACACGGTAGTAGCCAATACCCACATCAGAGGTAATTGGTGAGTCCTCAGCGCAGATGCTGACCATCCATCTCATCAGAGCGGCGTTTCTCGGAGCGGCATCGAAGTTAAGCTCGAGATAGAAGGTGTCGAGTACGAGCCCGGCCTCAGCGACCTTGGGAAGCATGAACTGGTGCGCGAACTTCTGCAAAGCGAGCATCTGGGAAGGGTGGTCCATATGGCCTCGCTGTGTCGTGAGTTGAATGTATTTCAGACTGATCGAGATTGTGTTCAAGCGTTCGTTGCGGTCGGCAAGATTTTTGATGTTGTGGAGACACTCTGCGAACATTGCCATGTCTTCGTAATAGTCTTCTTCCTCGAGAGAGTGTGTGCAGTCGATCTCAATGGTTAGGCAGTCCATAAGCTCGTTGGGTAGAGCCAAAGAAACAGACGACATGCTTGTGGTTTTTGCAGGCTCGCAGGTCAACATTGCGTAATTTTCGGTTGTGCTATGTCGTTGAGGGTAAGAGATGGTGATGTACGCGTGGAGAGGAGGTGGTGTACGCGTGAAGAGGAGGCGGTGTACGTGCGAAGAGGTGATGGGTGCGATGCGCGTGTGTTGATTGGAAATTTAGAAATCCTGAACCAGCCTCGACACAAATGACAGCCGAGACTTTAGGCAACGACACCACAACAAACGAGTAGACACTGCAGAAATCGCAATTGAGAATTCAAGACAGCATCCTATGCCTGGTCTCGCTACTTTGTTAATTATCAGAATAATCGATTCTGTCCACATCCACCGCGAAATCTTCTCCCTATTCCTTGGACACACATCGCTGTATCTTGAGTGCAGACCAGTGATCTAAACAGCTAGTGAGATGCAGAGATCTCTAACAGTTCCTTTGCATGTCCACTGAGAGCGATATATCCATTTGCTCTCTTGGATCTGTGTTTTCATGTCTCAAGTGCAGTCTGCCGACCTCACTGCCTGTCAAAATGCAGAACGCTTTGGCTGATCAATCACACGTCCGCCGAGAGCGATAGTTCTTTGTACTCTTCTAGCACGTCCCATCATTCCAAGGTAGTGACTCAAGTGCTCATCAAAATGCACGATGTTTTTGTAGATTAGTTGAACGGCCAGTGAGAGTAATGTTCCCGACTGCTTTCTCTGGACATGCACCGTATTCCAAAATCTATCTTGCCTTTTGATGGCGAGATTCATGGATCTGTCGGGACGATGAGAGGTCACTCCCTTAATGACTTCAAGTTCTCTCAGTGGACATTCACTCAATCTAAAAAAGCACCTTGCCTTTTGATGAGTAGGCAAGAGGTCCTGCAGGGGAGTGGGAGTTTCGATGTAGATGTCATCGCAACCGCTCTCTTTGGACCTGTCGCTGGTTGCGAAAACCGTCTTGCCTTTTCATGGTTTGGCTGTGAGATCCCGCACGGCAGAGGGAGTGTCGACACTATGTATTTCTCGCATATAGAATCTATAGCAACATCACGCAAGCGGGGAAGTTATACAAATGCATCTTGTATTGCGATTAAAGGGCTTGGCCTTTGGGGTATTGCTGTCTATCGTATGCTTCATTGAACCTTCTCCTGTATGGCTTGGGTCGCTCTCAGTCCCCTCGATGCCTTCACTGACGGTGCACTCGAGGTTCTGTAGTGTAGTTCGACGCCTATACGCCAGCTACTCGCTCTAGTAGACGCAAGTAGCGCCCTTGTCCTCACACCTTCCGCAGATGGGGATGGTCTTGTCGCATCCCTTCTTGTCCTTGCGACACTTCTTGCAACTGTGGTCGCTCTTCGTGGGGACCGACCGCTCCTCCTCTTCTTCTTCTTCTTCTTCTTCTTCTTCTTCTTCTTCTTCTTCTTCTTCTTCTTCTTCTTCCTCCTCTTCATCGGCAGCGGCGAGCTCGACAGCGACATGCTCATCACGGGGAGCCTCCAGTTCCTCATCCATTGCGTTGACTGGGTGGCGCATAAAGATTGCAGCATCCCGCCAGCCTGCAGCTAGATTCATCAAGGCGAGCTTAATAGTCTCCTTGCCTCTACAGCGAAGGTTGAGCCCTGCCCAGTGTTCGGGGGATGTCAAAGTAAAGCCGTCTCTCAGATCCTTTAGCTCGCATTCCTCAATAGCTCCCTGGTGTGCAAGAATAGGCAGCACGTTGTGCCAGTAGCCCGGGATCTTAGGCCACGGCTTCGTTGGATCCAGGAGTACAGGGGTCTGGTACAGCGAGACGTTGTTGATGCTCAATCTACTGAGCGTAACGCTAGTGATGTGTGAGAATGTGTTCGCGCGAAACTCGCAGTTTGCGAGCACGAGGGCTTGAAGGGCAATGCCCCCGTTAAACACGTCGAACAGATGCATACAGAGGTCGAAATAGGAGAGCGTCAGTCCGAGAGCCACTAGGGCCTGCTTAGTGGGGTGGTAGTCCATACGGACGTTGTAGTTGGCTTGCACATCCTCGTATCTGATGTAGTAACCGTGGGGGAGTGCCATGTTGGCGGAATTTGAAATCTTGATGGCGTTAACGAACTCTGACATTCTCTGGTAGATCTGTGCTGGTGCCATGGTAGATTTAGTTGGTAGGTGTGTGATTGTTTGAGAGGGTCGAAGAGTTGACGTCTGGTGTGCTAGAAACAAAAGTGGTGTTGATAAATTTGAGCGAAAAGTGTCTTGAGTGCTTCGTTCTCACAGCCGAACGTTCACTTCCTCCATGAATTCACACGTTCTCGGGTGAAGCTGTACCTGGCCTTCATCTACACAGCGATGACAAGACAAGAAGCAATGTCTATCCGCGCCCTACTACAGGTAGTTGTGTCTCTTACACTGTGGCACTCCGGAGTTACATTGGTTAGTGGCTATCAACCTATCGAAACCTCAGGAAGCTCTACAGACGGTCTCTACACTCGCAAGGTTGAACGCAGTAACATGGCTTATCGCTTAGGCATCTACCTTAGCAAGGGCATGTATTCATCTAGATAGACAAACCAAGCAATTACAGGATGAGAAATGCACGCCAATAACAATGGCGGAATGACCGGCACGAAATCTTCTGATGACTTGCTTCACTTCCCCTCAAAGGTCGTATACAATCGATTGTCTCAAGAAGCATGACGTAAGACTGGGAGAAGTCACATCTCCGTGGATAGCCTGATCTCCATTCCAAGAGCATACTACATAGTTCTGTGCTACAGGAGCGGAACAGGGAAGAGCAAGAATGCTACAAACCGCGAAAAGAGAGGCCATCAGCCAATCCAGGCTTGCTCCTCCTGTTGGAAGTTCAATTGCTGCAGTGTGGCTATGACCGAAAGGAGTCTCATTGGAACTATATGAGAGTCTATGCAGCTCCTGCGAGAACTCGTGGTAACGGCGGTAACTTCAACATCACCCAAGCCGCTGGCAGGAGGACTGCTATCGTAAGTGTGTCTGGTTTTGCTTTCTTGGACTTCCAGCTTCCTCCAATCTTTCAACAGCCTAGTGTAGACGCATCCAAAGGACGGCATCTCCTCAAGAGCCACAACTCTACTACAGGATCGTAGCAATGCAACAAAATGTTCAGGTGTTGGGCTCCGCTCTCTTGTGCGTCCATCGTGTCTTCTTGTTCTTGGGTGGCTTCTTGGGAGGCTTGACGGATCCGGTAGAGATGGCGCTTGGTTTCCTGAATGCTGGCCCCGGTCTGACGCGAGGGTTATCATGGGTTCCAAAACTGGAATTTGGAAAGCATTTCATGGACCTCTTGAGCACCAGATTCCCCCCAGGTCGGTCCTGTAATCACTGCACTTTCGCCATTGATGAGGCAACTCAGACGACACTGCGAGACGGTGGACATGTGCTGGGAAACGGCCTGATGAAACAAATCCAGTTATGGCTGCCTTCTGCGTTTCGATGGTTGCGATTGGGCCAAGTATGCGAATGTCTGAACGGGCCGATAGAATGTCTGACGTAGGTCATGCCGAGACTATCGAGGAACTGAGTGTCGAAGAGTCTGATGTAGGTGTTGTGCTCGATCTCGCAGTCGGACAGCGTGGTACTCCAACCCCTCGCATGCTAGAGACCCATGCTCCCATCCGCACTTCGAGGCTCAAGGATGATTCGAGTCGTGTCGGCGACTATAGATCATGAACGCTGATTTACGTGTGCCCTTGGTATTCTTGTCGACAATACTGTCGTGTGATCCGCATCTGGCCTCCTGATGATATCGTGGAGCACCTCAGTAGGCCTATTCAGGAGCGCGGTCATGGTGATGGTGATGGTTGTGTGTGACGTGTGCAAAATGCCAACGACTGAGGATCGAGGAATACGTAGCGTGGTTGATGGGTCGGGGAGATGTAGGAGGATAACCGAGAGAGAGCTTGTGGGAAAGGACTGCGGGCGGAAGCTTGACGACACACTTGAGCGCACGACGCGGTGTTCTCGACCGAAAAAGGTGGACTTTTGAACGATCATGTTTGACCACATCTATCTAGTGCTATGTCTGCAGTCTCCCTTGCCGTTGACATTAATTATCCAGAGAAACAGTAGAACAGCAGTGAGTGTTGCTCGATCATCACGGTGACCATAGCTGCGTGCTTCAGAGGTCTCCATTCGTACACCAAATTACTCGGCCGAGGGGCTGAACCCGCAGAGTTGTCAACGTTCATCTGATGAACCCCTTGATTTCTATCTGACTGTATAGTACCATGCGTTCGGTTCAACGAACTTGTCAGAACCCAGGGATAGTCTCATGTCTGGAAGACCGCGTCCGCGTGTTCAAGAAGGCTACCGGCTTCCTCGCATCCTAGCCAACTCATTGCTTGTTCTTTGTGCTGTTCGACTGTTTCTCTCCCAGACCTGGTTCTTCTCTTGATGGCTCCTTCTCACTGACCACCTCCTTCTCCCTCTCCTTCTGTATCTCCACCTCCTTGACAACGGTCTTGTCCTGGACTAGAAAGTCTAGGGAGGGCTGTTGGCGGCTAAAAAGCTGCCCCAACATCTTGCCGACCATCTCATGTCCTTGAGCCTCATAGGTGTGCTCGACATATTGCTCTTTGGCACCAATCCAGAGTTGCCCGAGGCGTAGATGCTGGAGATCGGGAAGCCTTCTCGCGAGGCTGAAAATCCGGATCCAGGCACTGCGGGTGCACGACTCCATTTGGCGGTTCCAAGCGTCAGGATTGCCGGTTTTGTGGTCCTTGTATTGGTGTGTGTTGACGACTGTCAAGCTGCGGAGTGGATTGGATACGAGAGTGTAGAGGAAGTGTAGGGCATCGAGGTCGCAGTTTCGGAAGCTGAGGGATTTGATTTGGCGATTGTGTAGCCATCGCGCCAATATGTCATGATGGTAGACTGATGTATTGAGGAGAGCGAGAGTCTCGTGTTGTTGTGAGAGCTTCGCAGTTGGACACTCCGAGAGAAGTTGTTCCTGAGACACAAAGCGGACGACGATGTCAAAGTGTTTAGGTACGACTGTAGGAAGTTCCCAGAGGCTCTCAGCAGCCTCGATTTCTTCTCTATGCGAGCTTGGGGTGATGGCTTGCTTTAGCTGACAAGTCAAGGGGCGATCTGAGCCGTTCTGATCCCTGGGTACTACGAAGTCGTAGATAATGCTCTCGAGGGGCAGTCTTGCCTTGCTTGTAGCTGGGATCATGCGGGCAACTAGATATTCCCTCATGATGGCGTAGGACCTCTTGGAGATGACAAAATGCTGTTGGTGGGCAATAGACTGATCACGACGGACGCCGATGGATGACAGCTTGCCGTACTTACCGAAGTTTCTGAACACGCGGTCAAGCAGGGTCAGATATTTGGCGGTTGGCTTTGACTTGATCTTGAAGCGGATTATGATGGTCTTGACGTGGCGGGCATGAGGATGGACGCTTAGTGCGTAAAGCTGCTTAAAGCCTCTACTTGACAGCTCGAAATGTCGTTCAGAGAAGAAGATGCGGTACAAGGCATCTGTCGTCAAAGAGTTCATGCGTCTGTCTGTGAGTTGTAGGTTGAGAACGTCCTCGCCTTGGAGGTATGCGGTGACCATGAGCATAATCTCAGGGGGCAGGTCTGAAATGGTTGCCATAACGAGAGATCTGTAACGAGATGCTGAATGTAAGGTGTTGATGCTGTTGATTCGTGTGAAAAGCTTGCGTCGTCGTTTCTGTGGTCTCCGATGGTCACCTGGAGCCCAAGATAAACGAAACCAACCCCGTATCAAGCAAAGTCTCCGACTAACCCCATCGAAACGCAAGAACAAACAAATAACCGTGTTTGCACCCGAGGAATATCATCTTACATTCGAATCAACATCACTGCCACCATCATCAACAACACCAACAAGACCACCTTCGCCAAAATCGTCACCCACATCACGACCATCAAAATGCTTTCATGGCACCACCTCCTCAAGGCTCCTGTCTTCCTCTCCGGCCTCATCGTCAACGCCATATTGGCCTTCTTCCTGCTTTGGGCCGTGAGGACTGGCCATGACGCACGTGTCTGGTTGCCCCTTGTCATCTCAATGGTGATCATCGGTATCATCCAGGGCGCCTCAGGTAGATAACGCCCAGTCCTTACTCTCAGCCTCGCTGACCTCTCGACAACAGTCATGGCATTTCTGTGCCTCGAGCCAGAGCCAGAGCCAGAGCCAGAGCCAGAGCCAGACGTCAATCGTGCCCTGGATGATATCAATGCCATCCCAATGTTTGAGTTAGAGCTCGCCAGCTCCTCCGAATCCGAAGAAGACGACTAGAGGTATGGAGGGAGGCAGGAGGACGTGTGGGCCTGTGGACCGGGCAAGAGAAAGAGTGTGATAGTAGTCATCGTCGTCAGAAATTGATCAGCTTCCTCGCCTCGCATCCCAGTCTATTTCTGTGAATATGCACGATGAATTTGCCATCTATGCACGTGTCCAAGGAATTCAGGCATAGCAGTATCTCTCAGTGGACAGTCACGTTTGAACCAATACTATCATGCATTTTGATAGAGGCGAACGGACCAAGCATCACGAAGGAGATGTATCAGGAATCTCGCAGACGTTAGCAGACAAAGATGCTGTGGTAAGATCACAGCGCCTGCAAAATGAAACATTGTCATACCATACAGGTGGTTAAGCATCTTGTACTCGCACACGAATAGATGGCTACTACGAAATGAGATATTTTCCCTGTCTGATTCGTTTTTCTATCGATTTTTGCGCGCACTGCTGTTCCAGCATGTCAACTTCTCCAGGTTTGGAGATTTTCTAGTTCTTCTGCCGACAACACCATAACATCGTTCGTGCCAGTTACAAAGACCACATTTCCTCTCCCCTTCCCTGTCATCAAGTCATCCCGCCGAGCATCCAGGACCAAGAGGTAAGCGCCTATCGGTTTCTATAGTCGAGAGTCGCACTAACAGTCATCTAGCTCCTCGAGCCATACCCATAAATACCATCAAGGTCGTTCAGATCTTCATCAACGCCTCGTTCGCCATCAAAATGGCCCACACCGACTCTCCCGCCGCCATCAAGGAAGCCATCACCGCCATGATGCAGCTCGGCATCTCCTCCGCCGACGAGCTCAAGACCAGCAACCCTGGCAACCAATCTTCCACCGCCGCCGACCCCGAGCGCTTCTCGTTCAGCGCCCTCGTCTCGGTCGAGACCAAGCCACTCCCTCCTGCCGCCGCCTCCGACCTGCCTCAGCTCTCTCACGAAGAGTTTGAAAGTGTCTGGGCCAGATGGAGGGACTTGGCCTTTGGTGACGACCATGATGCCCCTGACCCGATGGTCCAGGCCCAGGTCATTGGCCCTAACCGCGAGGTCGACCGTGACTGGGTCAACATCTTTGGACCCGAGTAGAGTAGAGGCACGATGCGGAGGGCTTGTTTGTAGCGCTGCCGCCGAAAGACACGAATGAAACGATTGTGTACCACCCCAATTAGGCTTTTCTGCCAACTTTTCACAAGTAGATAAGTGTGAAGCTGCAGTGACAATGAACGGACATAGAAATCGGTGGCAGGAGTTTTGAGCGTACTATGTCTCATTGGACAAAGTGGCCGTGACGAAACCGATGATGCATTTTTACAGGCTGTATATGGGGGCAACACAGCCGTCGGAGCAGTATGCGCAAAAGTACCTTGGATGAGATGGCCTCGAAAGAGAAAGCAGGCCTGTTATCTTACGTATTATCCTCAGAATGGCTGCTAATTCCATGACCATGACCTCAATCTCACGGTCGCACAGTGACAACGAAAACATCGAAAGAGGAGTCAACATTCCGGAAAAGCAGGAATATATGTTTTCATACCGAGCATATGCACGGAAAGACTGGTGACAGGCGTTTGTATCATTCTTGGTCAACAGTGTCACTCGCAGGTCGGCAGGAGATGAAGTCAAGAAACGGTGACTAGATTTAGAGGGCGATCATTCCCGAGGTTGAACCTTCTTGAACTCGACGACGTCAACTGCCGCTTGACGAACCAACCCAAGCCTCCATCTCTTCCAGACAAACACAAATCGTTTTTTGCTTTGTTCCAATCCAAAGTGGCGGCAAATCTCATCAAAACTGTTTTGAGAAGAGCGGTGCGACAAAGACCAATTGTGACCCTAGATATCATGACCGACCAGCCAACCGACGCCCGCGAGCGTCTACGACAAAACTTCCTCGACCATGACCCGCAACAGCATCCAAACCGATGGGAGCATCTCTGGCAACAAGATGACCTGCCTTGGGACAAAGGCTTCGCTTCGCCTGCTCTAGCCGATGTTCTGGCGGACAGAAAGGACTTGCTTCCAGTAACATCTTCCGACCGCCGTCCTCGCGCTTTGGTGCCCGGATGCGGCAAAGGGTATGATGTGCTCTTGCTTGCCAGCTGGGGTTATCATGCCGTCGGTGTTGAGGCCGCTGCTACAGCTGTCAAGGCTGCCAATGCCGAGTCCAAGGGCTGGGAGGACAAGCCTGAGTATGCCGTCAAGGATGAAGCCAAAGGCCGCGGAAGTGCCAGATTTGTTTTTGGTGACTTTTTCGAGAAGGACTGGGAGAAGGAGGCGCTCGGCGAGGATGGCTCGAAGGAAGGGCAGTGGGATCTGATCTATGATTACACTGTAAGTTGATATCAAACACACGTGTCGCAGCGGACGAGAACTGATGACGATAAGTTTTTGTGTGCTTTGCCACCGGCCTTGAGGCCCAAGTGGGCAGCTCGCCAGTCATCTCTGTTGTCGCCATCTGGTCGTCTGATCTGTCTCGAGTTCCCTACTTACAAGCCTCCGTCTACTGGCGGTCCGCCATGGGCCCTCCGTCCGGAGACCTATCTTGCACACTTGAACCAGCCAGGTAAGGATGTCGAGTATGATGAGGAAGGGCTTGCTGTTTGGAAGGAAGGTCAGGTGCCTGGAGATGGCGCCTTGGAGAGAATTGCGCACTGGAAGCCAGAGAAAACCCACAAGATTGGTGAGGGTACTGACAATGTCAGCGTCTGGAAGAGGAGATGAGAAACGATCAAAGGGCCTAGACTGATGAAGTCGCGAATGTCTCATTGCTGCGCACATCATAGAGTAGTTGGAACAGGTTCAGTACTTCCTGTACTATCTCTGCTGCACTACTTTTCTTTCTTCACCTTCGATAGATCCAGAGAAGGACCCGAGTTGCAACTGGTTCCACACTTCTCTCTGTGGGCCTTCTGAGCATATCACTTTCGCTTCTGCATTTTTACAGGGCTTTTCTTGCATGCTCTCATTCCATAGAGAATTCGTAGAAGAATGGTTTGTGAAGGATATGGTAGGCCTCTCTCACTCCAATTGCGAAGGAGGATATGCACGCCAAAATGCAAGGGCAAATTCGAATTCGGTTAAAGGTCCAAAGAGAGCTTGGTACATATGAAGCTCAATCAGGCTCTCAGTGGCAGTTGTAGTGCAAGCGAATTGGCTTGTGCAATCTGACAGTTGTATTGCAGGCAATCGCTCGTGATGGAAGGAGTACTTGGATGAACAAGTTGGAAACCCATGGATTGCGTTCTCCTACGCCTTGCATGAGTCTTTACGACGCTGTTACAGTGCAACAAGTACTTTGCGAATGCCTGTACCTCCAATGAGAGCACAGTTGTCCAACAGTTCCAGAGGTGCTGAGAGCTCAGACACCAGGCTGGTCTATCTTCTCAAGTAGCCAGGAGGAGCAGTGATCATGTGCAATGATTTCTGAGTCCGGCGACATCAGAGCTGAGAATTCTTTGTCATTGACTAGAAAGGTCTTGAGTTGCTGTAGACAGCCCGAGGGCCCGGAGGAGGCGTTGTCTCGAGGGTAGTATGCCTGTGTGTGGTCGATCTTCATGCTTTCTTGACAGCGTAGGTTTGGATGGTGATCCCAGTGCTCTGCTACGACGGCGTGGAAGGTGGTGATGTGATGTTGCCAGTCATCAGGGTGGGCGCGGATAGTATCGGTGTCGATGAATGCGCCACCCAACTCGGAAATGTATTGGGCGTATTCGCACCCTCGTACGGGGTTCATGTCCTCGGGCATCACGCAGCTTTCTCTGTGAACATGTCAGTATCATTCTGTTCTGTGTCGAATGGTCATCTGCAACCTACGTGTCAATCGATACGATACGGATGTTGGGGCCATTTGGGGGCCACACCGACCTTGGTGGGCCCGTCTCCTCTAGACTATTGAGACCATGAACTTCTGCAGCGTCCTCGAGAAGTTTTACAGTTAGGAGGACTGTGCTGGTCGCGTCGTCTACAGCACAATGCTGTACAGGTACCCGGTCGTCGCGAGGTGTGTCACCTGGGTATCTCGCCTGGAGCTCTCGCTGAGTCGTCATGCGCAGGCCGAACTCCTCGGATGCCTCGATGAGCTTGTATTGACCTCCTGTACCCTTCCCTGCCACCTTGCCTTTTGGTCGTAGCTGCTTGGCCATTGGCTGCACATCAAAAGTTTTCGAGAAGACTGCATCACAGTCTAAGCCTAGGCTCACCAGCGCCTCCCTGTCCCCGTGGGCGTTGAAGAACGTTGCGATGCACGGTATGCGGTCCTGTGAGCGGTGTAGTCTAGAAGATGTTTCGCTTGACACAGCGGAAGAGAGGTCGTGCACACAGCTTGAGGTGGTCTTGCCTCGATCAGGGGCGCCAGAGGCGATGAGGTTGTCGTTAGTGGTCATAATGTCGCTGTGAGTATGTTGTGCCTTGCGAGAAATGTGCTGGATAAGAAGGGAAGCGGGGTGGTCTATTTCGAAGGGTTTTGGGATAATGGATAAAAAGAAGCAAGGGTCCGGAACAAGATCAAGCTTGAAGCGTCCAGCAACCACACCGACCCCGAACTTTTTGACGGAGATGACAAAAGCGACCCCGTAGCGTGCTATTCGTGGGAATCTTGACGGTCAAGCTGGCAAGAGGGCAGCCTCCACGGGCACATCGACCAATCCTCCCCTGATTGTTCATTTCACACAACCCGGTCCGTAGCGGTCGAAGGACCACCAAACTTGTCTTGCATAGTCATGTATAGAACTGTATCATTATATAGCTATCTGGCCTACTCCGATCACCCCATTCCCGCTAACCATATGTTCTCCTTTGATTATGTGTTGCCTTATTACCATTCAGTCTCCTCTCATCAGATCCTGCGTGACCGACGCCACTACATCGACTGCTGGTCATAAACGATGTAGAGAGAATATTTCATGGAGTCTAGAAGTAAACAACGCTGATTACATGTGGTACATGCGTTGCTTGTAGGGAAGCAGCGGGTCAACGAGCAAGTGATGAGCAAACGGGTGTCGAATTTGCTGTGCGGCGTACCAGCTACACGCTATCTTGACCTCAACACATCCACTTTGGAAGCTTTCTGAGATCCGCCACAAGCATTCACTGGCGCTTTCAAGCAAATTGCTCATAGACCTTACTTCTTTGATTACTAGACACTGCACAACTACATAACTCCATCCTAGCTTCAAGGACGCGTGGATCGTTAGACCAAACCAACGACAACCGTCCAGACCCCTCGTTCAGCCTTCACTGACGTTTCCACGCAAACCACTTCTCTTCTTTGCTTCAGAGAACCGCAGAACTACGCACACCAACGCAAAACACCCTCAACTCCATATATTCGTACGCCATGGATCCTCTGATCTCATCATTGCGTGAGCAAGCAATGCTGAAGAAGCGTACAACGATTAGCAACAACAGCACTCCACTCCTCCGTATGCCAAACGAGATCTTGGTTATGATTGCAGAACGAGCTGATAGACCTACCCTGCGACTGATGCGTCTCGTCTGCAAGAAGCTGAACAACTACTCTACTGAGACGTTTGGCAGGACGCAGCTCCACACTCGCCGCTTTGTCTTCTCAGAGTATGGCATCCGCGGATTCCACGACCTTGTGTTCCATCCTGTCCTTGGTCATTTCCTTCGCAGCGCACAGTTCAGCACATTCAGACTGGACCTTAGCATGAATGCCGTGGTCAAACTCGGAAGAAGATGTGTTGCCAGAAAGATCGGAAAGAGCGTTGACAAGGGAGTAATCGACGAAAACTTCAAGTGCACTGAGTTGCTGAAGGCTTCGAGAATTCACACGTATACCTCGGATGAGGCTGCCGGTGCTCGCAAGCGAAGAATCACACCATTGATTGAGGATCTTCTTCACCGCGCATTCAAACGCCTCTACCACATCAACATCAAGGCCAGTACATTCAGCATCGGCGTCTACGATGACTTCGCGAAGGTGGATCTTCACAACGTGTGCTACAAGACGTTTACCGGAGCTGCATACGAAACCTGGCCAACAGCCCACCAGAAAGGGTATGGTTGGAACAGGTTGTACGACAACCTGCCGTGCCAAACTTGGCAGTACCGACCCGACATCCCCCTCCGCTATATCAAGCGGGCGCTCGCTGGTTGTGGCTGGAATCCATCGATAACATTCTCACTACAGGCTTTGCCAGGAGAACTCTGGGCACCAGACCGCTTCCACAAGCAAAGAAACGCCAGTCATCACGTTGCACAAACTGACCTCATCAACCACTTGATTGTAAGGGGAATAGACACCCTCTGGGGTCCCCTTTGGGACAGACAAGACGTCTGTGTAAAGGATCCTCTCAGGATGATCAAGCTTCATGGCAAAACTGCTTGCCTCGAGTTTCGCGGAATTTTCGTGGGTGCTGGAAAGGTCTCGCTATTGGAAGTCCCCATCTTTCCCGACTGCAATGCATGGGGCGGGTTCCGCGGCGTGCTGCTAGACCACCGCCTTGAAGAATTGCGCATCTCCTGTTGCGCCATGCGCATCATCGACCTGATATCCATCATTTGCCACCAAGCCCTCGACCTCAAGAAGATCATAATCAGCAACACAACCCTGATTTTTGACCACGACCCTCACTACTTGAAGCCCATTACCCATTGGTATGTCATGCCTCGTCTGTTTGATCTGATCCAAGACCTCCATCAGCTGAAAGCATTTTCGTTCGACCACGTTGGCTTGGCTGATGCGGATAAAGATTTCAAGATGATCTTTGGCTACGATGTCTACGAGGAGATCTGGGAAGGCCGCGAGATGATCTGTGATAGAGCTGCAGCCTGTGCCACTGCTCTTCGCGAGGAATTCAACGCCATCGAGGACTTTAATATGGAGCGCATGATCCGCGTGCAAAGACCCACGACCCCTGCTTTCCTCTCAAGCTGGACTGAGAAGGGAGAGCAGACCGAGCCCCCGACATTCTATGACTGCTCTGGTAAGCCCGTTCGCAAAGGGTTTGCCGAGGCCGAGGGCAGGTGGTGAGACAGGAGCTTCAAGAGACGTCGGGTGGCTCACGAGGGCGGGTATGAGGGGGCTGACAGTCGCCGACTCTGATCTCGACTTGGAGCTACTGGAAAGAGAGGAATGAGAGGAAGAGACACTTGTATTGTGCCGCGAGCGCACGACAAAAGGTAGATGGATTGGTCGTAGGGGAGGAATGATAGATGGGCTTTAGTCAGGAGAAAGAGATGCTCCAACAGAAAGACTCATCTAATCGTCCGTCTACGACTGTCTGATAGACAGAGCAAAAGACGAACGACACAGTCCATAGAACAGAAATATTCAATCCCCATTCGAAAACACTAAATCAGGTGACTTTTGTGACAAGCCGTGCTCGTTGCTACGACATCATAAGGACCAAGCAGACCTTGCAAGTGAATACCACCGTCAACAACGCGTGGCAATTACGCTATCACACAACTCCGTGTTTGCATCTTGCCATCAAACCTCAACTATAAACATCTCGTTACCACTAAATCTCTACAACCACCAAAGCACCTCACACGACGTTCTTTCCACCATCTTCATTCCCACCCATCAACAACACAAACCACAACATGTCTTCCATCTTCTTGTCGCGTGTCTTCTTCATCGCCGTTGTCATCGATCTCGCCACTTTGGCCGTTGTCATCTGGCTGATGGCCTCAGGTCACGGCCCTGATGTTTGGCTCGTGGCTCTCGCTGCCTTTTTCCTGTGCACCATCTTCATTGGTGCCTACGGTAAGTCTGGATATCGATGCATCCCCCTGAACTCCACTGACCATGCTCAAGTCCGCTACAACAAACCCAAGACCGCCGACGTCGAGGGTCGTGGTGGCATCCCCATGAACCGCTTGCGCTCGTACTACCACCGTGACGGCTCGGTCAGCAGCGACAGCAGCAACGACAGCGACGGTATCGACCGCTCCAGTCTGCGCTCGATTGAGGGCCCTTACGCTCGTACTCCTGCTCGCATGCTCGGCGTTACTCCTGATGGTGGTTTCTCTGACAGTGCTGCCACCTTGGTCAACCCTCCTGGTACTGGCGCCCGCATCTCCCCTGGTAGATCTCGCTTCTCAAGTGCTTCCACCCTTGCACCTCCTCAGGCAACTCACACCCGTACTGCTCGCACCCACCACGGTCACTCTGGCGCTGCTTCTAGCACCAGCCTTCATGCTCAGCCTCAGACTCCCATCATCCGTCCCCAGATGGCTCACACCCGCCCCGCAACTCCTTTGTTCCGTTGGTGACCTGATCATCTGTGAGTATTTGACCCTTCGCACGAGCTCGACCGAGCCTTTGCTAATGACTACAAGGAGCGACAATGGCCTGCCTGTATATCATAACATGGAACAGCGCCCGTACGATGACATGATTCATGAGCTGCATTGGGAGGAGTTCAAGGGAGTGGAAGGCCATCACAAATAAAGATGAGTGCTACCACGCATGAGATTCCATTTCATCACTCTACATCAAGAGCGCCTAGCAAAACCGAGATTGGAGGTGGTTTCACCAGCAAGGCAAAGCACACTATATGACGAGCAGAAAAGGCACAAAAACAAGAATGAATACGACTGCCTACTACTCAAATGAAATACTGTCCTTCCGTCCAAACTTCCTTTCCGTTTTCAAATCACTCTGGAATATCTCCAGCATCGCTGTACTTCCTGATCGTGTAGAAGCGCTCAGAGGGACTGTTCATAGCAGATGCCGTACGTCTTTTCGATCTTGTGAATGGCAGCGGCGATGTCTGAGATCTCGTCTGGATTTTCTTGGTCGGCCAGATAGTTGTGGGCTCACCAAATCTGGGCTCACCAAACTTGGGCAGAGTTTCCGAGGGCTCACCAAATTTGGGCAGAGTTTTGGAGGGCTCACCAGACTCGGGTAGGGGTCTCGAGGACTCACCAAACTTGGGTAGAGTTCTTGGTTTTTGAATCAGGCGGTATTTCCGCTTCTCAGGACCATAAGCCCTGACAGCAATGGCGAGTCCCGCAAGAGGTCCGTTCTCTGCATCCTCGTGCCATTGTTCCAGTTCTGTTCCGCTGATGCCGAAAGGCCTTCTGAGGGTCAGAGAGTAACCTTCTGGTACGGGATAGAAGGTATAGTTGTCTTTTGGATGATACCAGCCAAGAGACTTGAATGCTGCATCCCAAGATCTTGGCTTGGTGAGCCGCTTACCGTCAGGCGAGGCGGGCATAGGCGTGCGGCTGATGCATTTGGGGAAACCTCTTGGGTCGGTGTCGTTGACCAAAGCAAGCTTCTGTTTACGCCTCTCCGAGACTACTTCGTGTGGTATGTATATACAGGGATCCGTGATATCCTTTTCTGAGATCTGAGACCTGTGAGCGTCAAGGTTGAACGGTATGTGGGTCTTCACTGGCAATTTGCAAATTTTGTTGGCACTCCAGCAGTGCACAATGACGATTGGTAGCTTCACTGTCCCGATGTTCCCGGATTTATCCTTGTAGACAGCATAGTCTGGAGGAGTATGCGTTATAGAGTTGACTTTGAGTAGGGCCTCCCATTCCTTGAGGACCTTAGCTGGCGGCAGTATATGGAAGGATTCTGTTAATCCTCCATCTGGTCCGATGAACCACCTTCTGTAGATACTGAGCTTCTCGTCGTAGAACCAGACACGGTCATTTCGAAGATAATCGGGCGAACCTCCATCATATCCGAATGTCTTGGGCGCTTCTGGAGCAAAAGGTTTCCCGGCGAAACGCTTTCGTGACTCCCGCTCCAAATTCGGCTTCTTATTCTGCACAGGCTTGATAATCTTTGCTGGCTGTTTGTGAGATTTCTTCACCGCGGCGGATTTAATTGGGTCTTTGACCGGGATAGTTGACACAGCAGGTGCAGGCAACTTGATATCGAAGATGCTGCGAAAAGGTTGAGCCTTAGTGATTTTAGCCTCTATCTTCTTCTGCGGGACTGGGTGGTCTACCTCTTCCGCTGCGAATGCAAGACGAGCGGATCGACGAGTTTTGGGAGTAACAGAAGCCTTTAGCTTGTTCTTGTTTCCCTTGCCCCCTCTGGCGTGTTTCTTGATGCTCTTCGGCGCAGCAGCAGCCTTTATCTTGGTCTTTCCGACCTTCTTGGACTTTTGCTTCTTGGATGCCATGATGAGACTTGCGTGGATGGAATTATTCTAGTAGCGAGAGCGTTTGGGTCAGGATAGGTTTTTAATTCGTGGAGCACAAAGCGATCTTGTAAAAAGTTGAATATCGCCGGATCCGGCGATACGTGGTGTAACTTGACGACTACCACAAAGGAAATGATTGGAGCTTTGTTCACCAGGCTGTAGGTCTCGAAGATGATTAGATGGCTAATACGTATCTGCCCATGTAGGTAGATCGACATCCGACCGCCTGCCATCTGCCCCTGTTCTTGCTAGCGGCGCAAGCCAGGCCCTTCAACGATGGAAAGTATCGGATTGCCGATATTAAACGCAGACTTACGTTCTAGCCTTTTCTCTTGATGTAGATAGATTATCTGGACTATCGTATTGGGCTCTTTCTTTATGTCTACCAAAGACAGGTAAGGAAAGATCAGACAACGCGACGTGAGGGTGAGAAGGAGCGGCAAGTCTCCGGGATTTGTTGGTGGGGCAGGACCGATCATCAGGCTTCCATTCTCTTTGTTCTTCAATGTCACACTCTATCTTACTATGGAGACCATGCAAACCTCTCAGGAGGAGGCACCAACACCACGTTGGGACTGGATACAGGGCCAATCCAATCCGCACAACGTACCAGTCGGACTCTCCTATCCGGGACCCAGCACAGCTGTGGTACATCCTTAGTACGAGGGTCGGGCGCCCCCTCCCTTTTTTGCCTTTTTTTCTTTTTTCGCTTTTGCAACTATATATCGCCAGATGCTCTCGTTTGACCGCCCCATCTCGATTGCTGTGGACGTTTTGTCTCAATCTAGTAGATTCTCTGTTCGATGCCTTCTTGATGCCTGCGAAATGATTGTCAGGCGAGTCACGCAGAATGACGGTATAGCCAATCTCTGCTCAATCCTCGATTCTCGCATGGAGATATATGGAGCTAGAAGTCATATTTGCACCTCACCTACAGTGTGACTGGACTTGGTACCTAAAGCTACCTGCAGGGGCCAGACAATATTCCATTCATTTCAAAATGCTTGCTAAATTGATCGTCAGTGTTCTCACCCTAGGCACTCGTAGAGAGAAGATCTCGATGTTGATCGTAACATCGGAGAGAAAGAAAGGCATCAGGTCTGTGAGATTCCCCCCATCCTCGCTTGGTATATGAAATCATTTCTACTTGTCTCAGGAATGGAAGGTCTCAGCAAGAAATCGCTGACCTCCCTTCCTCATCCCCCTCTGTACGTTTCAACCAATCGGACTGCTCTGCAGAAGCTGAAGCATCAGGAACTCAATACTGAGTAGTCTGGCCAATGCTGTGGGCTAGGTTATTGCACAATGACACAAGCATCTATCTCTAAGCGACGAAGAACTCGAGCGACATGTGTGTTTGTTAGGAGAGTCAAGGCTTCGAGCATTATACATCCATGATCATCTAGTCACATTGCTTGTGAGCGATGCTAGTAATGACTTCCGGAAACCAAGAACACATGAACGTTTTACGCGGACAGTCAAGACTCGGGCTGTAGTCTCCACTATTGCCACTTTCTAGATATGGGTGAACCAAATCCGTTTCTATTGTACATGGGTTGCAAGATGACAGTCAGGCACATCTCTTCCTAATGGCTACCATCTTAATCATGAACAATTCAATTTTGGAGCAGTGCCTCTCGCTTTAGAACTAGTTACCGAATTGAACTGAGAAGCTCAATGATGCCCTCATTAATGGACAGCCCTTGCATACCTTGTGTCCAAAAAAATTCAAAGGTAAGAGTAGATGGCAATCAGGTCTGTGGCTCCTTTCCCGGCTCGTCCTTCTCACATATTATCTACTTACCTACCAAGGATGTAGAATACTTTTCTTAGGACAGTAGATGTGATATTGGACATCACTAACCCGATCAACCTCCTCTCCTGTGCCCTGCTGCTGACCCGGCTAACAGATTGCTGAACCTGAAGGGGATTGGTGTCACCATGACGGTAGTCGAGTTCCATTCTTAGATGCTGGCGGCTGCTCGAGGAGGCCGTTTGATCATTTTCGCTCGAAGAAAATGGGTTGTCTTATAGCTAGTCAATATATGTGAAATGTCAATTGACGCATCAAGACTTGTTCGTTTTGAAGGTAGACTCACAATCTGCACGGACTCCGAATGCTTTTGATCAAGTTTGCTTAGATTAATAGCGTAACTTTATAGCCAAAATAGGCATCGAATCATATCCTTCAGCATTGCAGCAAGGTTTAGCGAGGCTGAATCGATATCACTTCTAGGAATGTGCAGTGGCATGTATATGGAACATGGACAATTGTGTACCTTCCGCCTTTATATCATCTTCTTTTGTACATCAGGCAAAGGTACATAAGCACAACTCTAAAAGTCATCATGCAAGATCACTTCGCTTATCTCGCCATAACATATCGAGTACAACCACCAAAATTTGACTCGTTTCTTCCTATGGATCTCCTGAATCCGTACTTTCTTGGACAATCAAGATCGCGCGGTGCTTACAGGACCGAAGCCATTGTGAGTGGAGAAGATGGGTACGTTATACGGAATTATCGCCCACACACAATTTCGCTGTGGAGTCGGGTGGGGGAGGGGATGAAGAGTGATCAGGTCCATGATCCTTCTATCTCTGCTTGCTCTCCACTCCGACATCTTTCTGTGGCAAGAATTTTTGAACAGCAAATTCAAGACCTCACCATCTGAGAACGAGGGGACTAGTTGCAGTATCACTGACCTGGACAAGTCATTTGTGTGCTTGCTGGTTCTTCTACAAATCGCAGGACTTCTTGAGAATGAAAGGCTGCACTGGTACGATGAGCAATAGATGTGATCCGCTGATTTACTGACAGTGGCAAGGAGGCTTTTGTAGTCAAGATCAAAAGCCATACAGCATTGGTAAAATGGCACGCTTAGAGTGGACTCCAACCGGGCAATTATGACAGCAGCAAGAAGATAACACGGACCGTCGAAGCCGGGAAACTTGTATCCAATTCCTCAACTTTGCTATCATTCAAGATCAGACGACTCTATTGCTAGATATGCAAACCTCTTCTTGATGGTCTCGTGAAGAGAAGACTCTTTCAATTCTCGAAGTTCCTTGCTAAGGGGCCCACCCTGATTCTGCCGGACCCTGGAAAAGCACAAGCCAAGTCTTGCCGTCATAGCCGTATTTCGGGGAGAGAAGTGCGGAACCTTACCGCGAGAACATCTCGACATTCATTCACAACGACAAGCAGATTACGATCAAAAGGAAGCACGAAAGAGTGCTAAAGACAGTCGACTGCCTCGTGAAAGAAGCGAATAATACATTTATCCGCCATTGGATCGATTGCAATAAAAGAAACCATACCAGGAGGAGAGATCTACAACAACTTGTCAAGCAAAGGGAGCACAGCACATAACCAAAAACGCCCGTCGGGAAGCGGGCCGGGAAAGTCGTTTTCTCCTTCGGGCAAAGAGTTTCATCCACCCTCGTGGGAGAGCTGAGGTGGTTTTCGTGACTCTTTTTGATTTTTACTTCTGACTCAACTTCTCACCCGATCTGCGTTGTTTTGCATTGCTGCTTCTGTTTATCTGTGCAGTTGTTTCCGTTGGATTGCTGGCTTTCTCGTTTACTATATTACAGTATTGGGCTTCGATCGTGTTTGGACGGGCTGGACTGCTTTGCGACACGACTTTACGGAACTCCGACATCGCGACGACGCCCTGGGATATCGATCGGACTTGTTACCAGGAACTATCAGTGAAGACGAGGATATAAGACGGTGTATTTGGACCGGAATTGAAGATTGAATATCAGAGATTCGGAGAAGAGATATTACAAAGACGGCAGTCACGCACGCGATCGACTCGACCGACACACGCACGGGAAAGAGCAGTCAACATCCCCGCAGAGAGACTTGCATAACCACGGCTATTACATGACAATCAGTCGCATACGAATAGAAGAGAGGCTACAAAAGCAGGCATAAAGAACATACCACACATCCACAAAGCCATCACGATGGTAGAAGAACAGGAAAAGCCGTTTCCGAATGGCTCAACACCATCCACACAATCAAATACCTCGGACACGGACTCGATACACGAAACCCAGTCCATACGTCAGAATGATCAAGACAATCACCCCAATCGCTTGCACTTGGTCCGCAGTTATGCTTCTGGATACTCAGGGTTCGCACCGCAAACTGAATATGCAGATATCAATTTGAAGCATACCACGACCGGAGCCACCTTAGGCTCAACAACCACAGCAAATGACCCAGCCTTTGAAGTAGATTGGGAAGACAACGACCCGGAGAATCCCAGGAATTGGTCCATGGCGTACAAGAGTTTCGTCGTCTTCGCCATGAGTTACAGCACCACCGTCACAGTCCTCTTCTCCACCTCCTACACCGTCACCATAGCATCCTTGGAACGCGTCTTCGATGTAGGCCATCTCACTGCTCTCCTAGGCTTAACAACCTATCTCATCGGCATGGCCGCCGGCTCCACCGTCCTCGCCCCCCTCAGCGAAATGTACGGTCGCCGTCCCGTTTACATCTTCTCCACCGCCATTTTCGTCCTCTTGATTCTGCCTTGCGCGTTGGCCAAGAATATCGAATCGCTGTTGATCCCGAGATTTTTTGGCGCTTTTGCCGCCGCGAGTTTGGTGTCCAATGCGCCGGGTAGTATTAATGATATTGTGGTTGAAGAGTATAGAGCGTTGGCGTTCAGTATTTGGGCTATTGGGCCTTTGAATGGGCCTGTGGTGGGGCCGATTATCGGCGGCTTCACATATCAATATCTGGGATGGCGATGGTGAGTGTTTGTTTCCTTTGTTCGAGAGTACTCATGAAGAAGGAGGTTTGCTGACAAGAAGTGTGTCTTAGGACTAATTGGCTAGTCATGATTCTAGCCGGTGTCGCATTCGCTTTCGTTGCTATCGTCAAAGAAACATATGGACCCACGTTATTGAGAAAAAGAGCCGCGAAGAAGAGAAAAGAAACAGGAGATCCGCGATGGTGGTCCCGCTTCGACGAAAAGAAGGCTTTCCTTCCCCTCCTAAAAGTAAACCTATCCAGACCTTTTGTATTGATGGTCACGGAACCGATCTGGTAAGCTTCGCTTCCCACTCTCTACCTTTTCCCATCTCATGGAAATGGAGGAATGGCAATTGATGATGGTATCCGCTAACATCATTCTTTCCCACAGCATCTTCTGGGACGTCTACGTGGCAATCGTCTACGGCACCCTATACCTCTCCTTCGTCGCCTACCCGATAGTATTCCAGCAACAACGCGGCTGGTCACCCGGCCTAGGCGGCCTAGCCTTCTGCGGCATAGGAATAGGAAACCTCCTAACCATCCTGCTGGAACCCGCCTGCCGCCGCCTGATAAACTCCCACGCAAAAGACCCAGAAACCGGAGATATACCCCCAGAAGCCATGGTCAGTGTAATATGCATCGCGGCCGTCAGTCTCGCGGCAGGGGAATTATGGTTCGCGTGGACCTGCACACCCAATATCCATTGGATCGTGCCGATATTGGCGGGAGTGCCATTCGGCGCGGGTAATGCCGGTGTGTTTATTTACAGCAACAACTACCTCGTCCACAGTTATTCAGTCTACGCCGCCTCCGCACTCGCCGGCAACGCCGTCCTGCGCAGTATAATGGGGGCAGTCCTCCCCCTCGCCGGTCCCGCCATGTACGCCTCCCTAGGCAGCAATTGGGCCGGCTGCACGCTCGGTCTCATCGAAATGGCATGCGTGCCAATCCCTGTAGTCTTTTACTTGTACGGCAAGAAAATTCGGGCCAAAAGCTCACTCATCAAGCAATTGCAAGAGGACAAACGCAGAGCGGATGAGAAGAAAGAACGCTTCCTCAGGAAAATGGAAAGGGAAGCTATCAAAAGGGGGGATGCGGAGGCCAGTGTGGGTGGAGTGGCGAAAACTGGAGCTGCGGTGGCGGAAGAGAGGGATGTTGAAAAGGGTGCTTAATAGAAGAACGACATGGCGCTGTGCTGTGTGGTCTAGAGGTGTGTGGATCTAGATTCGACAAAAGGCGTGAGCATCATCTACAAAACTGTACATCACATTTTCTCCCTCCCACCTTCTATCTCACCCTTTTTCTAAAGGATTTCGATAAAGCCAGGGTGAGCCCCTCGACCATTTCTCAAAAGCTCGTCGACCAAATCATGAAGGTGATTTGGCGGTTTCACTTCTCTGCTGGGTAGCGCCATCTTGTTAAAATCCAGGAATACTTATGTCACTGTCTGAGTGTTACAGGGCTGGCAAGGGTCGTCGTCGATGATTTTGGAGAAACGCCGAGGATTTCGGTATAATCATGTCTGAATGCATACCCAACATCAAAGAAGAACGAGCGAGTCAAGGGAGCGAGCGAATCAAATCAGGTGTCAAGTAATTTCAATAGAAGGTGAATTTTCTAGGTATCGAATATAGGCAAACCTCCAAAGCTGGCAACCGCTGTGTTGCATCAACTTTCAGTAATACCCTGAACCCTCTGCGGGTCTTGTTCTCATATGTATAAAAGTGGATCCAAGGCATGCTTTCTCAAACCCTTGAATATGTAGGTTGCTTCTCGTCCTCCTCTCTTTATGCCATGGGCGTGCTACCCTCTTCTTCTCGTGTGATTACATCTCGTGTTTCATCAATCGTCGCTGGTCGGGCACTTCGTGGATGATGTATCGAACATCTTCATGACGCTCAATGCTGGGCGGTGGCCTTCTGATAAGTCTCCCAAGGAGTCAAGGCGCCGACTGCACGACGCTGGTGAGCATCGAGCAGAGCAACACCATAGACGTAACTGGCATTGACCCATCCGAATCTGCGAGTTGTTAGCAATCTTGTTTATAGTTTTTGAGAGACAATTCGACTCACCCTTCCTTTGCAACACCCTTGAAGTCACTTCCTTGGTTACCGTACTCTGCAGCAACCTTGTGAGGATGCTGAGGGTGGCAGACATCGTACTTTTCAACAACGACACCGTTGAAGTCAACGAAAGCCTTGGTGACCATGTACACCCAGCGGTAAGCCAATCTCTTGGCTTCATCCTCGTAGCCGAATCTGACAAGACCGGTCCAGGCGAGGATCTGCTGAGGTGCCCATCCGAAGGGATAATCCCATTGACGGTTGGGGCGGCTGAGACCAACCTTACCACGGGATCTCTCAGTTCCAGCAGCAAGACCACCGAGCTCTTCGAATAGAGGGAGAGCCTTCTCAACAAGCATGGCAGCTTGACGAGGAGTGCAAGCACCTGCCCACATGGCCCAGAAGGTTGTGGCGGACTCGTATCCGGTGTGCTGATTCTTGACAATATCGTAATCAAAGAACATGCCCTTCTCCTCATCCCACATGAGCTTGTCCATGGTCTGCTTGCGACGCTTGGCACGGCGGTCCCAGGTGGCTGACGTCTCGACATGGCCAGGCTTCTGGTCACCAACGCAGAACTCGGCAGGAACAGCCAGGCTGTCACCAAAGTAGTTGCGGATAGTACGAGCAATATCAGTCTCGTACTTGTAAAGCAAAGAGTTGAGATCGACGGTTGCGAGATGGGCGGCGTTGCCTTCGAGACGGTAAGAAGTGTCGTGACCAGACTCACGAACAGCGCGATCGTGAAGGAAGTACTGGTCAAGTTCGGGCTCGTAGACATGGCCGTAGTTATAAGCGTGGACAAACTCCTTGAACTCCATGTTGTGCTTCTTGCAGTAAGGCTCAAGGACATGGACGAAGTGAGTGGCTTCAGTCTCGGGTGGAACACCAAGACCACCAGGTCTGTAGCATGAAAGACCAGTCTTCTGGTCGAAACGAGGAGCGGCAGTCCAGACACTGTGGTACTCCTTGATGGCGGCAAGGATTGAGATCTTGAGGAACTCACGTGCGTCTGGCTGCTCCTTGATACGGTCGTAGACGCGAAGAGCCATGTCGGTCAGGAAAGGAGGCTGAGTGCGGCAAAGGTAGTAGGATCTGTTTGCGTTGAGGATCTTGCCGTAGTGCTTGATCTCAAAGCAGAAGTGCTTGACCATGTTCTTGGCGAGATCTTCACGGTCGTGGATGAGCAGACCGAGAGCAGTCATGTAACTGTCCCATCCGTAAAGCTCGTTGAAGCGGCCACCGGGAACGATGAAAGGCAAACCCTTGAAGTCAGGCTCGCCAGAAGGAGTGTCTGCAACTCTTTCCATCTCGAGAGCCAAGAGACCGGGAGCCTCGTTCAGGTCACGGACGTACTCCTCGTTGTCGGGGTGTTGAGGAAGCCACACGACGTCCAAGTTCATATCAGGATGTTCGCGGGCGATGCGGCTGTAGTACTGGTGTTGTTCGGGAGCGCCAAGAGGGACGTAGATACGAGGGCGAGGGTTGTCGGTCCAGTCCTTGGCATCCTTGCCGACTTGAGCAATGTTCGAGCCATCAATACGACGGGTCAGATTGGGCCAGAAGAAGTCCTTGATAAGGCGGCTCAACCTGCTGACAGGGTTCTCGCTGAGACGGGCCTCGTCCAGAACAATCTGCTTACGACCGTGCTCCTTGGCCAAGGTGAGTTCTTGCAGCAGGTTGGAAAGCATGTATGTGCCACGAATGTCAAAGCTCTTGTAACCTCCTGATCCAGCAGTTCCCAATTGAATTGTCTTGGGACCGACATCCTCAACAGTAATTTGCTGGTTGTTGTCCGAGTCTTCACGGTGCAGAAGAGCTTCAAGGGTATCGGCGACGTTGATGAGGTAGCGGCGGGGCTGGTCTCCTTGCTCGTCTGTTGTGTGTGATCAGCCTTGGAAATCATTGGTCAATTGGAGGTTGAATTACTCACCGTGACTCAAGCGGCGAGGGGCCACATTTGCCATTTGCTGAGCAATGTTTGCGCGAGCTCCGGGGTCGACCTGTCATGGATTACACGTCAGCTTCTCACTCGAGTCCCGAGAAAAGGTACATGTAGCAAACTCACAGCCGAGTAGGTGCGGGCCTTGGCCACATTTCTCTTGTTGTGCGAGGCACCATAGTAGATGTGCGAAGCCGAATAAGGGTCGAGATCTGCTGCGGCGCCCGACGACTTGCGCGGAGGGTGGATTGGCAGCTCCTTTGAACCTGTCGAGCCAGTCTGAACCGTCGGTGCCTTCATGCTATGTTGGCTCAGAGACTCGGCGTTGACAGCGGCAAGCGAGCCGACGCGCTGTCTGGTTGAAGCATCGCCATTGCCTTCGGCTGCAGGCTTCTCGGTGCCGTGGGCTGGTGTCAAGCTCATTGACGTAGCTGTGTGAGATTGTCGTGTGTGTTGTTGATGTTGTGTCGAGGTGACAGGTGAGTGATGGGTTGAAGTAATACGCAGCTGTCGAGGGCCAGATGCGGGATGGGATGATAGGGCTGTCTAAGGTTATCGGCGCTGCAAAGCGACAAGTGAATTAGGTCAGCCGAGTCTCGGAGATGATAAAGAGACCAGTGATTGCAATGGATTGCGGTGAGATGCCGGTTGGAAAGAGGCAGGCGAGATGGAAAAAGGCTTCAAGACTTGGAAGGTACCCACCTATATACGTATTGAGAAGATCTCACAGCTCAGCGCTTTCAAAGCAGGAAGCCTTGACGTGACCAAATCCAACGTGAATTGTCCCCGTCGACTTTTCTGGGGAAGCTGCGAAGAACAAGACGTCACTTGAAGGGTGAAAGGCCTGAGGCTGGTCAAAGCTGCAAGTCCGACTCCGCCGTCTAAGATGTCCTGGAAGCTATCTGAAGCCTTCAGACACTGAGATAAGCAAGTCTCTATTAACTCCATTGTTCGTCTGGTGTAGGTAGAATCCCCGTCTATCCTCACCGCTGCTCTCTCGCGTGACCAGTCGATTGTAGTTTGCTTTTGCTCCCGCATTCTCGTACAAGCTTCCATTCGGTTCTCTTGTGAGATGTCCGCTGCCCATGTTTTACACCACTGCGCAATCTCGCAAGTCGAGCACATGGCAAACAAATCAAGCCCTAGATCCAGATATCGGTAGCCAGAGGAACGATTCTGCAGGGTCCAAGGATGCGACCATGTTGGTGGGATTCAAAGGCACCGTTTTTGTTTTGCATGCAGTCAGGGTCGCGCAGGGGACTATATAAACATCCATGTTGACCACGAGGTCGAGAGCAGATCTTGCTCACGAGGTCTATGGTTACACCTATGTCTGGATGTATAGCTGAGTGCCTACCCCGCACCTTTGATTGTTTGCGCTGTAGCATAAATGCACGGCGGATGCTTGCTTGTATACCGCGGTACAGGATAGTAAGCCTCGTTTCAGCCCCACGCTGGGCGGCCGGGTGAAGTGTGTCTTTGTACATGGCAAACATCAATTCAATATCCTATCCTGGTATCTCTATCGAATCTTTCATAAACATAACTGGAATCTCCAAAATGCCATTTACAGCTTGGCTTGAAGGACAGCCTTCATGCGCTTCTCAACGGCGTCGAGGTATGCACCGGTGGTGACATAGTCATCCTTGCCCTTCTTGCCGCATGCAAGAGCAAGATCCTTGGTCATGATGCCTTGCTCGTTGACAACGTGAACACAAGCCTCCTCGAGCGACTCGGCAAACTTGACGACCTCGGGGGTGTTGTCAAGCTCACCACGCTTGGCAAGACCACGGGTCCAGGCGAAGATGGAGGCAATGGGGTTGGTAGAAGTGGCGTTACCCTTCTGGTGCTCACGGAAGTGACGGGTGACGGTACCGTGGGCCGCCTCGGACTCGAAGGTCTTGCCGTCGGGGGTGATGAGGACCGAAGTCATCAGACCCAGACTGCCGAAACCTTGGGCGACAATGTCGGACTGGACATCACCGTCGTAGTCTGCTTATTGTCAGTATTGCGATCGGAATCTTGAAGCGGGCAAGACTACTCACTCTTCAGGGCCATGATGTAGCCACCCTCACTCTTGATCATCTGGGCGACCATGTCGTCAATCAGACGGTGCTCGTACCAGATGCCGTTCTTCTCAAAGTCGGCCTTGTACTCAGCCTGGTAGATCTCCTCGAAAATGTCCTTGAATCTTCCGTCATACTTCTTGAGGATGGTGTTCTTTGTGCTCATGTACAGAGGGAGCTTCTTGTCAATGGCGAGCTTGAAACTGGCATGTGCGAAACCAGCAATGCTCTCGGCAGTGTTGTATTGGGTCTGAGCGACACCACCCTCGTGGTGCTTCTGGAAGTTGAAGACCTCAATCTCCTCGGGCTCACCACCCTTGGGGGTGAAGACCATCTTGAGGGTACCCTCACCCTTGATGACGAGGTCCTTTGCGCGGTACTGGTCACCGAAAGCGTGACGGCCGATGATGATTGGCTTCTTCCAGCCGGGCACGAGACGGGGAATGCGAGGAATGACGATGGGCTCACGGAAGACGGTTCCGCCGAGAGCGTTTCTGATGGTGCCGTTGGGAGACAGCCACACTGTATCTTGTCAGACTGTGCTACTTTCCCAAGTTCATACAGCTACTCACTCTTCTTCAGGTTGAACTCCTTGACACGGGCCTCGTCAGGAGTAATGGTCGCGCACTTGACACCGACTGAGTACTTCTTGATGGCCTCTGCAGCGTCGATGGTGACCTGGTCGTTGGTCTCATCTCTGTAGGGCAGACCGAGATCGTAGTACTTGAGGTCGATGTCGAGGTAAGGGTGAATGAACTTGTCCTTGATGTCTTGCCAGATGATGCGGGTCATCTCATCGCCGTCCAGCTCGACAACAGGGTTCTTGACCTTGATCTTGTTGAATGCAGCCATCCTTCGTCTCTGCTCAATTGCAGCAAATGCGGGTCTGGAAATGAATTGAGGGCGCACAGCGGCGGAGGAGGATTGTTGGAAAAGGCTACGGGCAGCCGCAGGACGGAAAGAGGCGCTCATGGTCGCTGATACGGAAAGGGAAGGAAAGCAAAAAAGATACCTCGGGAAAAGGGAGATGCAAGTGCAAGCTTGTGAGAGAGGGACTAAGAGAGTCGACTCCTCTTCTTGTGTCTTGAAATAAAATCACCAGTCATCGCTCTCCAACCCCGCAGATTTCAGAAACAGGCCGATGCCGGCTGATAACAGGGAAATCTGTGTCATTGCCGTCACGTCTTTGCTTCATGCTCGGTCAAATTGTGGTAGGATAGCATGTGAAGCGTAGCCGTGTACGTTACTTTCTTCCGCCGGCTGAATTGCGACGGGCCCTGCTATGGGTTGCCGGTCTTGACAGGAACCGACAGGATGGGTGGGATTTACATGACGGCGAGCAATTAGACACAACTTCCTTTCCCGGCGAACGCGACCGTGCGCCGACATGACGCGGGCGGGTGCGAACACGGCGTTTAGTCGGGTTATCCCCGCCCGAATCTACCGCGGCAGGAGCGAGCCTGCTGGTCAATCTTGATGTTACGCGCATTCTGGCAGGACCAAGAGCTCGTTCTTTCCCGACCTCTGTTAGAAAAGAATTGCACAGAAGATGGCGACTCCCAATCCTCTCGCCGACTCATCGTCGGACCCTACACCCGTTTCGTCGAAGACATACACAATCGCTGGCGTACACACAACAGTCTACGGACTGGACGAACTAGCATCATCAGCAAAGGAAGTCGCAGTACTATGGCTGCTTCACCCTCGACTCCAGGTCCAATCGATCATGGCACCAATTGCCGCTGCTTCGATCCATGATTGGAACGGCCGATCCGCATCAAAGTCAAAGGGCTTGTTCGCTGTCTCGTTCGACCAGCGCAACCACGGCACACGAGAGGTCAATCCTCTAGCCAATGAGAGCTGGAAGAAGAACAATCCCACACATGCTCAGGATATGTTCTCCATCTTCCGTATGTCTTCTGCTATCTTTTCTCTTGTCGCAACACTAATGTCAACATGAACAGACGGCACAGCTCAAGACACTTCCATGTTAATCGACTTCCTTTCCTCGTACGTCTTCCCTGACTCGTCGCGAACCATCATAAAACATCTCGTTCTCGGCATCTCACTCGGCGGTCACTCAACATGGCAATGCATCCTCCACGATCCTCGCATCACCACTGCCGTCGTAGTCATCGGCTGCCCAGACTACAAGTTCCTCATGGCCGACCGCGCGAAGAAGTCCAAGCTCTCCACATGGACATCGTCCGAAGGTAAGGACTTCCTTGGCTCGACAGACTATCCCAAGGGCTTGTGCGATGCCACGGACAAGTGGGATCCCAAGTCTTTCTTGGTGGGAGACAAACTCCAGCCCACCGAAGACCAGAAGAAGACACTGCGACCATTACTCAAGGAAAAGCTGGGAGGTAAGCACATCATGTGTCTCTCGGGTGGAAAGGACAAGCTCGTGCCCTATACTTGCAGTGCGCCATTCCTTGACTGGTTGAAGACTGGTCTCGACAAAGAGGGTGGCTGGTTCAACGACCAAGGCATTGTCCTTGAGGATATTGTTGATGAGACTGCGGGTCATGAGTACAGCGCAAAGATGAAGGTCGAAGCTGTTCGATTCATCTCGGAGAACCTCGCTGGCGAGGGCAGTCTGAAGGCTGGTACTAGAACCTCCAAGATTTGAAATCAACATGCAGCACATATCTGTATATACTAATGCCTATTATGATTTGCAAATCCTCTAGACTGGGAATGCCGTTCAATATTTGCACTTGAACACGACAATCTCGATGGTGAATCTTCCTCAGACATTAACGGCTGCAATGCGATGTTTCGCGACCGGCATCTTCTGAGGGTGGCCGAAGCAGCTCCGAAAGATACTCGTGGATGAGTCAAAGCATTACACGGAAACAGGAGATGGTTTCGGTACTTGACCGAGCAGACGTTGGCACGAGAGACAGCCTCGGCCATGAACGTGCCAGGGTCGGCAATCTGCTTAGAAAACAGCGACATCTTCACAAAGAACGGCCACACTGCGCAAGTCTCAATGCACCGATGTTCCAAGAATATCTCCTCCGATTGCTCTCTTGAGCAGACCATGTTCTGCCGGCACGAGAGCGACATCTAGAAGTCTTCGCACATGAGTATCGCATGCGACGTAATCAAGAAGTGCAATTGCTTCACGAATTCAAATCATGAGATGTTCGAGATGGTCGATTATTGCTCGGACAACGTTCGGCAACGCGTTCCCCGGAATGTCGATGACTTTCATGTGCTTTTCCCCAGACGCTTGGCCTGGCCCTTTTCACTTTCTCCAAAGCCTCGGATGAAGGGAGTCAACGTCAAGTCACAACCGCTCGGCGCATCGTCATGGGCAAAACCGCTGACAAGGAGCTCTCACCGAGGTCCAAGAGCTTCGTTTTTGCTGCGAACCTCTGAGTCTACCATTGCAGCCACTGATCCGATTGGCTCCGGCCATGTTTCTGATTCGTTCGTGACGCTGCTTGTTCGAACGAGTACCGGTAAGTCAAACTGAACTCTCGAGCTGTCTAAGACGTATATATGAGGTCTTGTCTCCCCGCTCTTGTGCCCGCTCTATTATTTCCAAGTTCTGTTTAAGTTCGAGTACTTTGTGTCCTACCTGAACAACATCCTGTGATTGAATTGTCGACCTCGTCTGTACGACCACTCATCTCATCAAACACACCACCGCCAAGCTGGCAGAAAGACTCAAGACTATCTTGGGCCACGTCAAAGAGGTTCTACCAAACATGTCTTCTTCCCTCGACGCCGAAGAGCAACAGTTCCAGGATGAAGTTGCTGCCATCAAGCAATGGTGGTCTTCTCCTCGCTGGAGATACACAAAGCGTCCTTTTACCGCTGAGCAGATTGCCAACAAGCGTGGAAACTTGACAATCCAACATCCTGGCAATGTTCTTTCCAAGAAGCTTTGGGATATTGTAGAGAAGAGATTCGCCGTAAGTTGAGCTTGGAAAGGTATCATCAGGCTCAATGCTGACACACATCAACAGGAAAAAGATGCTAGTTTCACTTACGGCTGTCTCGATCCTGTAATGGTCACCCAAATGGCCAAGTACCTCGACACTGTCTACGTGTCAGGCTGGCAAAGTTCCTCGACTGCATCATCAACCGATGAGCCCGGTCCCGATCTTGCAGACTACCCATACACCACCGTCCCCGACAAGGTACAACATCTCTTCATGGCACAACTCTTCCACGACCGCAAGCAACGCCATGAAAGACTCTCCACCCCTGCCTCGGAGCGCAAGAACCTCGCAAACACCGACTTCCTCCGTCCGATCGTCGCCGATGCCGACACTGGTCATGGTGGTCTCACAGCAATCATGAAGCTCACAAAACTGTTCGTTGAGAAGGGTGCTGCTGGTATCCATATCGAGGACCAAGCTCCTGGAACGAAGAAGTGCGGACATATGGCTGGCAAAGTCCTCGTCCCCATCAGCGAACACATCAACCGTCTCGTCGCCATTCGAGCACAGGCCGATATCATGGGCAGCGACCTCCTCGCCGTCGCTCGTACAGACTCCGAAGCCGCCACTCTCATCACCTCGACCATCGACCCCCGCGACCACGCCTTCATCGTCGGCGCAACAAACCCCGCCCTCCAACCCCTCAGCGAACTCATGGGTGCCGCCGAAGCGGCAGGAAAATCCGGTGACGAGTTGCAAGCTATCGAAGATACCTGGACCGAGCAAGCACATCTCAAACTCTTCTCCGAAGCCGTCGTCGACACCATCAACGCCGGCGTCCACGTCAACAAGGTCGAACTAATCAGCCAATTCGAACAACAAGCCAAGGGCAAGAGCAACGCAGAATCCCGCGCTATCGCCAAAGCTCTCACCGGCGTCGACGTCCACTTCGACTGGGAATCCGCCCGCACACGCGAAGGCTACTACCGCTACCGCGGCGGCTGCCAATGCGCCGTCAACCGCGCCATCGCTTACGCTCCTTACTGCGATATGATCTGGATGGAGTCGAAGCTCCCCGACTTCTCCCAAGCCGAAGAATTCGCCACCGGTGTTCATGCCGTGTGGCCCGAGCAGAAGCTCGCTTACAACTTGTCCCCCTCGTTCAACTGGAAGACCGCCATGAGCACTTCCGAGCAAGAAACTTATATCCAGCGATTGGCGAAACTGGGATATTGTTGGCAGTTCATCACATTGGCAGGTTTGCACCAGACCGCATTGATTTCGGACTCATTCTCCAAGGATTATGCTGCCAGAGGTATGCGTGCGTATGGAGAGACTATCCAAAGTAAAGAACAAGAGGTAAGCATTCATCCCCGACCCCCCACCCTTTCTTTTATTGGTTTACTAACGAGATGCACAGAATGGCGTAGAAGTCCTCAAACATCAGAAATGGTCTGGAGCCAATTACGTTGATGAATTGCTCAAAATGGTCTCGGGTGGTGTGTCCAGTACCGCTGCTATGGGTAAAGGTGTCACGGAAGATCAATTCAAGGCTGTAGACAGGCCTGGAGAGAGTGGGTATAAAGCTGAGGAGAAGCATTGATGTTGCTGATTGAAGACAAAAATGTAGTCGCAATCTGTGAATGATATGGCTTTTTTACTTTCTGGTTTTCGCTTTTGTGTTTTGTTGTGGTGGTGAGTGCACGAGGCTTGAGATCATGTCGGTTGAGTATCTTGCGAAATGTGTTTCGTCAAGCTGGGTATGAATACCTATGATAACCTCAAATGTCCAATAAAGGCTTCTCCATGTAGCATGGCAACTAGCCAACGCTCTTCCGTCTCGCGTTTCTGGAGTCCTCTGTATCAACCGTTTTCCAAATTATCGCAAAAAGTGGAAACAAAGAGGGTAAGAAGGCGATCAGATAAACGAAACCCTTCTATCCTTCCTTCTTTCCATCGTTCGTCTTGTATTTTGTAGATACAGCTTGAGTCCATGTCTTGTCGGGGTTATTCTGTTTCTGAAGGCTTCATGGACCTGTGTTTCTTGCTTTCCTTCCCCTCCTATTTCCTAGCTTTTGATATCTGGTGTTTTGTAGAGTGACGAGAGATCTCAATCGAGTGAGGTATTCCACATTCTCCTCAGGAAACCACATATTTTCAGCACGAGCAGCGTTGACATGAAAGTGTAATTGAATAGTTAGATAGTGCTCTCATAGCTATATCCGGAGAGTAAGATATTAGAACGGATATAGATAATGAAGATGGAGTAAGCAAGGAAGGATATCATGGAATCACGGTTTACGGTTCTACATCGACGCGCTGTTATAGTAACAAAAAAGAGAACAGCTATTCAAGTAGGCAAAGAAAAACTTTCAACATTACAACATCGCAAAGGACATATTGGAAGAGTAGTAGGAAAATTGCAAATGCGTGCTTTCCGTGCATCTGCTGTATTATCCAAGAGTATTGTCGCAATGGAATCTAGAAGACGGGGTTTTCTAGACGATCTACACTCTGTAGTCTCTGTCGTCGAACGGTTTACTTTGACTTTGTATATAAACTCTTGCTTCTTGCTAACAGTTGCAGACATCGCTCGCCCACAACTTCCATGGAGTCCTGACGTCTGAACTGCTGAGCACTACACTTTGTCTTGCAAGACAAATTTCTCTGTGTTTAGCGAGTAAGGGGATAAGAGAGCTTGATCGGGCCAGTGAACCTCGGTTTCTAAAGCATCTCTGTACCTTGGCTTCCTATCGTGATTTTTCTGGCAAAAATAGGTGTGTGATAATACGGGCGGGAACTAGAAGCCTTGGATGGTATTACAGACCTACCTTCCTCCCTCCCTTCCTTGCTTCTTAGTCAATCCTTCGTTTATATCGCGCCAGATGGTATGGAAGTTCGGTGGTCGAATTGGACAACGTTGACTCTAGTTACGTTAGGCGCTCAGTATTCTGCGTATATCTAAAGAAAATAAGAAAGACGAGCTTGTTTATATAGAGAGAGATGCGGTGGTCGGTATATTTTCTGGCGGTCTGTGAATTATTGCATATAGGTCGGGTAGGCGTGCAGATCTGTACCACACATTTCGGTGATCCCGTAAGGGTGACTTTGAACTTGAACTGCGACCAACTCAAGATTGCCACTCTGAGGCGTGAGCAAGGAGTGGACGGATGCCATCTTAACTACCAATAGCTGTATACAAAAGCTTCGCAGATTTGCGACATTCGCTTCCCGTATTACAAGCAGAAAATGCTTTGGTGTTAGACTAGGTGTCACCAAAACTTTCGGAGTGTGTTGAGTCGTCTTCGATACTTTTTGCATTTAGATTCTCGGGATCGAGTGTAGGAAGATGCTTAGGTCTGTGAACCGTGAACACTCTCGTATCTTCGTTAGTGCTTACAAGAACATTGCTTTGGTGTCTTGTGATTCAAATAGAAGTTTGGCCGAGTCAATGGCATGTTGACCAGATTCATGGACCTGTGATTCTGCCTTCCCCTCCCGTGTTATTGTGTCAGGCGAAACAGATAAATTGATGAGAGCATAGCTTCTCCTAGGTCAAGCTGCTGGTGGTTGTCTCTAAACAGTGGATGATGTATCAATTATGCAAACAAGGATGAATCTCTCCAGATTGGCTTTATAGCCACAGATGAAAATTCAGGCGGTTGATTGGGCTACATGTCTTTTCGAGCGTACAGGGAAAAGATGCGTGATTGCTTTGTGCAAGATTTCAATTCGAAACCTTGCCTAGAATTGCCATGACCACACTGAATGTATGCCAAAGGTATGAGATGACCATCAGAGTTGGTGTATTGGTCAGACGCCAGCGATTGCTTGGACGTGTAGACTGTACCAGCATTACTGAGATCGGTAAGTTCCCAATTTCCTTCCTGCAATCGAGCCTGGACAACGATGCAACTACTAGAGTTCTTTGAAGGGAATCCAAAGCACCACCAATATTCCAGTTGCCCGCGTATTCTATCAACCAAAGAAGGACTCCGCAACAGCCGTCATTGCTTCTTGTCGATCGTCGTCTTTTCCAGGGCGAGAGAGGAGAGGACTAATCGGGTCTGTGAACCAGATTCTTCACGGGGTATCCCCATCACTCATCTCGCGCTTCTCTCGTAGCTTCGTCTCCACCCAGAGGCTCAGTCGGCTGTATCGAGCCCATGGACCCGTGTTCCTCCCTTGTCTTTCTGTGCCTTCCATTACATCTGACTATGGACCTTCCACAAAGCTCTACAAGTCTTCCAATTCCCTCAGCTCTTCTTCACTTGATATGAAGGAGTCATTGCGGATGAAAAGAGAGAACTTGTACTGACGAAGATGGTCTTATATACTTTTGAGCAGAGCGTAGAGTGGTATCGCAAGTCAGATTTGATGTAATGTATGCTCTAAATCGCGTGATCTTGAAAATGGCCAAGTGTTGTTGCGAATATCACCGTGCTTTCGTACTGGTTAGTATTTGAAGATGTGGAACAGCGAAGAAGAATGTATGCTATGTCAGAATGACAGCCGGATGACTCGCGGGTGGAGAGGTTTATGCCGTGATAATGATCGAAAGCCGGCCATCACGACAGCGATGAAAGCAGGCATAGAGTTTGATTTACCTCTTGAAGTCTTGAGTGTTTCACCAACCGGCTTGTTCGTCTACGAAGACTGGAGCTTGAGCTCATTTGCTAGGAATTTTTTCACCTACAAGAGCATCGACAAGCTTTAGATGTTCTGGTCTTCCGCTTGAAGTTCCTGCAGTTGTCCGTGCGAGATGTGTCTAGCACACCCGAAGCGGATTGGAATGATTGTGGTGCTGCTGTTCAAGATCTTCAACATACATAGACGGACACATGGAAGAAGAATGGCAGACAGGTCTGTGATACCTCAAGTTCTCTTCGCTTCTTCGTCCTTGCCTACTCCAGAAGCCGTCAACTAAACAGTGATCCGATACCTGCACAGGGTGTGAGCAGTTAGATAATCACTGACCTGAGAGCTTTCCTTTGTTGCCCTCCCCTGCTTCCATGGTCAAATCAGCCTCGTCACAACACGAAATTTGACAAAGCATACCTAGCCCTGCTTGTGCTTGTACGGTTTCTGTCACTCTGAGAAGTACTGTTGCTTGTTTGTGAGAAGAAAACGTTCGGAGGAGAAATGTTTTATACTTCGGCCATGGCAAGTAAGAATGAGACGGTTGGAAGTACAGATGCACAAGTTCGTATGGGAGAAGTGAGCGTGTACTCCCTGCTCCTCATATATCATCGAGCGAACCTTCGTGCGGTGACGACCGAGTGTGAAAACCAGAGTACAGATGTCAGACGGAACATTGTATTCGGTCTCATTTTACCGAGAGCAAGGAGGGGACAGCTTGGTTTTAGGTATGAAGGCGAGTGAGGGTGCCATATTATCTAAATCTCAAAGCATTCAGGATGCTGGAATTGCCTCTTGTTTCTCCGGTCCACGGCTGGCTCATGTGTTCTTGTGGTATTGGTTCGATGGTCCCGGTGTGAAGAAAGCAAGACGTGGAGCGGAACGCGAAGAAGAACATCAGGGCTCTGACGGCTCAACTTTGAAAAGGATTCCACGGTGCCGGCCGTGCCCTGGAGTCGATGTTTCACTCTCGGAGGCGAGGGTAAGACTCGAGATACATATCGTAAGTGTTCACAGACCTGGCTCGTGCTCCAGTGATGCCCGGTCTGAGCGATGCTCAAACGAAATCGCATGATGAGAGGAAGAATAGATTGCGGGGAATTTCCAGTAGACGCCCTGACTGCTTTGCCTCATGAGCTTTGGCTGAGTATGGTTTCCTTCATCACTCTAGCTCCAAGGAGCCGAAGCGGTGATCGAGAGTCCTGGAATAACGCAGGGCCTGGTAAGATGGTTCACGACTCGTAGAACAGGCGTGATTTCTATCTGCGACTTGAGGTACCAGTCTCCGAAAACTCTGTAGTTTTGTCCAGGGTATCTTCTGCTCGAAGTCTGAATCCCTTCTCCTTGTAGCTCCTAGTTCCTGGCTTCAGTGTTTTGTTAAACCATGTCGACGCTGTGATCGTTGGAGGCGCTGATGACACGGGATGGAAGGTCGCAAGCAGATCTGTGATCCTCCCTGAGATGGTGACTGCTATGGCCATGCCAGATAGAGGTGATCTGAGATCGGTTTAAGAGGGGAAATTGGTAGGGAGACAAAACGGTTGACGGGATCATGAACGTGGCGGTGGTCTGCACCAAATGATATTCAGCAAGTAATAAGATGGAGCGCAAAAAGCTGCCCAGAAAGAGCATGAACAAGGATATCCGATCATTGTACTATGACATATCAGCGAGACATGGTACCTAGTAACAAGATAACGACAAGACACTGAAGAATGGGACGTTGAGTAAGTCTGTCGTTTCTGTCTTCGCCTCCTCCTCCTACCATAGTAGCTGACATATGGATTGAGTAAAGTGTGTCCATCTTGGGTCGGGATTACAGTCGTGTTTGATATGTGGCATATCCAGCAGTGCTTCCTTTTCTTCTAAAGATTTCCCTCGAGAGGGACATCCGACATGATCTATGTTTGCCTTGAGTCCATCCTGAGATTGTGGTCGGCGGCAAAGTTGCCAAATCCGTCAAGCTTCAACGGCGACTTGGCCAACGTCACCAAGATTGACCACCACAACGATGTCTTCTCAAATCCCGCCGTCCTCGGAGCGACCATCAACTGTTGTGCATTCGACAGAACTGGTATGGCTGGGCTGTCGGTTTGAAGACTCCGAGCCATGACAGAGGTGGAGATGAAACAGGCACCGTGTGAGGGACTCTACCGCAGATCTGGTCGCTGAGCGAATCCCATCTCCCCGCCGGAGCCCCACAATTAAGTATCTCCTGGGTTGATCAACTGCTGATCAAGTACCGCCTTCATTCTGATCGTTCAAATTCTTCTCTTTGTTGCACAAGATCTTCTGTTCGTCAACCAAGATTTGCCGCTTTCCTGAATCATACAAGCAGTGCTGTTGGATTCCTCCATATTCAACGCTTGCATGAACTCGAAGCAGTCAACGCACGTTCTACATTCACAGCAGAACAGTCAAGATCTTCATTGCTGAACGTTGTTACATGCAATGATAGACAACTGCACAGCCTTGAGGTAACATTGTGAGATGCCCTCCATGATCTTGCAATGGTTTATAACAAGACTTGAATCCTCACAATATCGTCTCCATTCACATTCTCACTGATATTCAAACACGACTATTCCTACATCCACCACAAATACTTCTCTCCATTTACAACTTCTATTACTACCAAACGATCCAACTTCACCATGGTTCAAATCACCTACCTTTTGACCGCTGCTCTCGCCAGCGTCTCGCTCGCAGCACCTCTTGAGAACCGCCAATCCACCGATGATGCTGCAAGCAACCTCGCTTGTGGTGCCCTCCTCCAGCCTCTCGCCGGTTTCCTCGACTACCAATCTGGAAACGTCGGTGGCAATGTTCAAAACATCCTAGCTGCTGCCAACAACATTCTTTCCCAAGCACAGCTCCCCGACGACGTCTCAACCATCATCTCAAGTGTCACCGGTGGCATTGTTGGATCCCTCACCAACGGTGTCAGCAATGTTCTTTACGGACTCTCTACAGGTGCCGACAACGTCGACCCCGAGTGCCGCCAAAACGCTGCTTACTGCACAAACGAGGTTTCCGCTGCTACTGCCGCTTGCTCTGCTGGCCAGCTCACTCAGGCTCAAGATGCTTGCCTGCAGGCCAAGTACACATGTGCTCGCAACAACATCCTCACATCCGACCAGGTGAACGGCATTGCACCTTGCTGCGCTCAGTTCACTGGCTCAGCTGCTACTCAATAAGAGGTCGCATGATGTATGCTTTGACTTTCCCATCGCTTTGTACGATTCTTATGGGCTGGTTCCATCATTGCCGAATTCGGTCTCCTTCAAGCCGCATTGCCCGGCAACCCATTGTATGACTAAACATTTTTTACGAATTCAAAACTTTCCACAACTACTCTAACATACCTCGAACTGCCTGTGAATCTCGATTTTTGAACATCGTGATGTCTGCGACCAAGCGCCCTCCATTATGATACATAAAGATATCTAATAATACAAACAAAGCCAAGGAAAGATCTCTAGCGGTCCTGACAATGCTACTCATGATGAGCAGCAACATCACTCTCATCAAGTACATCAGCGCAACGCCATTCCAGACTCATGACACGCGCCAACAAAAACCTGGCATGTGAGTCTGCAGTCGGCCCTTGAGACTCTTGGACTAGAATCAATTTTCGTATTCTCAAAGCTGCCATGCAAGTTGACCTCCAGTGAAACAAGCTGTCGAGACTGGTGTAGTTAGTGCAATAACACGACTGTCGCAGGAGTGACCCTGTCACGAGTGGCAATACCAGCACTAGAATCAACTCTGGTAGAGCATGGTCATGAGTCTGACGGCTTTTCTGCCCATTGAACGAGGTTTTGATGATTGGGCTTTGGGAGCTAAGACGATGTAGTTGTTACAGAACGTGATGAGAGATGTTGAAGATCAATCTGAAGACGGGCCTTCTGTGGAAGAAGTTGAAGTTGACCTGGTAAGAAGCATACTAGATGACATGCACCACACTGCACTATTGGTTCGAGTTTCAAAATTTTGCCTGCCGAGACCGTCGACTGCCTTGCTCATAGGAAAGATCGAGCAAAAGCGTCCTTAAGGTTAGCAGAACATTCGAATCCTCCCTTTATCTCTTACACATAGCCGGAGCCAGACCCATTGTCACTGCGCTAGTCATATTTACTTTCAAGAAGTTCGGACATACATTCCCCTTAAGTTGGGTCATTCGCAATCGAGTCCCTTTCAAGCATCTTTGCCATATCATATGGGGGTACCACCGACCCGTTGCAACTTCAATGGCCATGTAAGGACTCATGCCCGGGAAGTCTCCAGCGGGGCTCTTAGGGCCGTTGGCGAGCTATTTCCATGTCAGCTCGTGTCATCAAGGCTATATAAAAACATGTACTTCAGGAGTTGCAGGCTGCATTGCCATGTCTTCGTTGTTAACCTTGGGCTTCTTGGATGTGGGACCCTAGGAAGGGGGTGACGTTTCTCTTCTCAGGAAGAAGCAGAGAAGGCCCAAGAGCCTTAGGTCTGCCACTAGGGTGCCTGCCGTCGTACTTACACCGGCGTCGATGGTGCTGCTAATCTGGTCGTACGTACCCTACTCCTGCCTTCGATCCCAATCTCCCACCCTATCTTCTGCATGCCGACACTGACTTTCTATTAAAACCACATCAGTGAGGACCACGTCGGTCACGACGATGATGGATCCTTTCCGCTGTGGAGTTTCTGAGCTTGAAAGTCTGACCTTGATGGTCTAGAGGGTGTTAGCAAGAAGCTTCTCGTGCGGTGTTAGGTCCATAAGTCCTCGAGTAACCATAATGGTTGTGATCGGTTATGGGCGGTAACTAGTGATCGTGAATGGGCGGACGGTGTGTCGGGTACATTGAAGGCTACGGAGCCTGCGAGTGTAGTTGAGATTGTCCGTACATGGATTGAGCGTAAGGATGATAAGGAGTCAGGGTTTGCTCTTCGGTTGACATCTCAATAACATCAACTTCTGAACCTTTGAGCCCTCCACCACCATTCTCTCCGCACCTTTCAAGAGAAAACGCCAACGATAGGCACAAACCCCTTGAGCTTAGGTGCATGTCTGTGAATCAGCTGAGCAACCTTCTGAGCTCTGTGCTGACTGTACGCAATGATTAGTACAGATATTACAATAGACAGGATCGTAAGAATGCTTACAGAGTTCCAGGACCGCCGATATCCTTGACTTTAGTGACGCAAAGGTACGTAAGACGAGGGAAGATGGCGGTGGGCATTAACTGAAGACTTGTTGTATGCAGGCGAACCTTCTTCTTATGCCTTTCTACTCACATACTTGAGGCTTGGATGAGACGATGGCACTCATGGTCGATGCCCCAAGAAGAGGAATGACCGAAGGCTTGCTGTATGCACCCGAGCCTTCTTCTTGTGCCTGCTTGCTAACATACTTGTACTTCCATGAAGTCTCTTCGACTAGTGTCTCACGAGAGACGACAGGTGCGGCGAGGGTTGGCGACAGATGAGTTAGGGATGTACGCATCCTGTCTAAGAGGTGTGTTGTGGGCCGCAAGACTGCCTCAAGCAGTCCTCACAAAGTTCCACGACGAAATGATCAGGGCTTACCTACGACAACTCAAATGTGTCTATAACGTAGACAGGGTCGTCTTGCTTGCGCTCACTCCTACTGAAGCAGACGAGAGGGAGTGTGTCGCAGTGCAGACACTGTCGAGCGTTTTGGGACGTGTCATTGAAGCAGAGTTTCACAAGCTCAAACACAGATGCTTTGTAGAAGCGATTGTTGGCGACGAGGTCAAGCTGTGTGTTAAACACCACTCCTTCAAACCCATCGACTCTGGCTGCGGTGGATGCGGTAACGGCTTGACGAGCGTGCTGGACCAACCGTCCGAGAACGGGCTCGGGGCTTCGCTGCCCATTGTGAAGCCTGAGAAGCGCAATGAGAGAGTGCATGAGCATGTGACCGGTGTCAAGTGACTTGTGCGGCTGCTCTCCTTATAACCCCAGATCTGCCTTTTCACACTTCGGCCCAAGAAGTAGCGTCGTTGATTTGGCCATGAGGCAAAGAGCTGCATTCTTACGCTGTCCTTTGACACCAGAACCGTCTTACGGGATCGAGAAACTCGGTCAGAAATCTGTCCGGAACCACGGCAGTACAGCTGGAGATGAAGAGCTGGACAATTTTACCCCACTGATTCATCAACTCAACTATGGTTTCGAGATCAAAATGGATCTCTCCATGCAAGCAAGTCAAGGCACTTTAAGGTTGCACATGCTTCGACGAGAGCGCAAATGGCCATGAGCGACTGGTGATGGGTGAAGGTGTTGAATGGTTCCTGCTCGCGGGCTGAGACAAATGTGTTCGCGACGGGTTGGCTCCTGTCCTGAGTTACCAAGACGTCACTGTTGGAGCGAGAACGTAAGTCTCGCTCGGTTGATAGGGTAAGATTGGTATTTCAGCACACACTCTGGATCAGAGATGGACCATGCAGCACTGATCAGCTTGCTGGCTCGAGTTCCGGCCTTCTCGCGCTGTTTTCTGGTGCCTGGGACGGCTGCGATAGGGCCGACAAGGTCAACATGGATATAGCTAATGACAGTACGGACCACAAACTTGAGCCGTCCAGTTTGCCTGCTGGCTTGAGGGATTAGCTAGCACTAAATGAAACCGGTGTTTCAAGCGCAAAGGTCCTGGTTTCTAGTCATGGCTGCTGTGCTAGCTGATTACCGCACAAGGGGGAATGGCCCTTATCCCTGTCTATGGCTGCTACGCGGGCTGATAAGCGCGCGTGGGGAAGTGGTATGGTGTGGGCAGTGGCGATGCTAGCAATAGTACCTGGGCTCTGACTTCTTCTTGAGATAGTCAAGACCCTAGACAGGGTGCGGCAGGCCGTTCTAAGCACCAATACCTTCTGACTTCTTGGAATGTGCATATATATAGCATCCATCACTGACCGATTGCGACGTCGTTCTCCTTTACGTAGCTTCGAAGATGCTAAACAAGGGCTGACTATGGTGAAGCCAGGTCTGTTCCAGGAGTCTCGGGCTCCACTGAGAAGCCGCAGTGATTAAACAGTGTCTTTCCAAACCGTGGTAGAGTAACAATTGGCGCGCCAAGAGCATCCTGTGGTTCCTTACTATCCGAGCATTAGCGGCTGCAACGCGGATGCGCTTTTTGATGATAAGAGGTAACTCCTTGGAGGTAGTAGTGCGCTTGTTGGTGGTCATGTTGATGCTATAATGAGGTATAGAAAGCCAAGAGGAAGGTTGAAGTTTGCGTGTGAAGCTGCAACACGACTAAAGACCGGATGAGGTGTGGGAGGCTTATAAACACTTCACTGGCGCTCTAGAAGGATTCACCTGGTGACATATATGGTGAACGACATGCCTTTCGAACAGTTGCTAAAGCCATCGAAGGTCGCCCAGTGTCCTCTACGACTGACAGCCTAGCAACTGTGTTGCACAGCTTGCTCCTGCAATACTCATCGAGGCAGACTCTGCTTGCTAGTCTTTTCGTTCACTTCAGTTTAGTCGAGCGTTCGTCTCGCTTTTCGCTAACAGCCTAGTTGCTGGAGACTCCATCAGGGGAACCCTCAATGCTGACATCGCCTGGTGCCTCCAGGGTTTCCAGTTGTCCCTGAAGAGAGCCATACAGATGGTAGACCTCCTCGGGTCTGGCGAAGACCTGCTGCTCCTGGCCTCCGGTGGTGTTGTCGTGAAGGAGAGGGGGGAGTTACCAGAAGGCAGTAGGGCCAGCGGCGGATGGAAGGTCGCGCTGAGGAGCAGTGCCGTGAACCACACACGGCGTCACTAGTGGATTTCACGGCCAGAGCCTGAGCCTGCGTGTTATCAGCGCCCAATCGCTCAGGTTAGATAATGTCTTGAGCACCTCGAGCGCCGATGAGAGAAAGCGCGCCAAAGATAGACATACTAGCTTCGGTGGTGACCTTTGTGCGGTTGTGAACGGAGCGAGCATCTTTCACAGCACCACCTTCAAAGTCGATGGTGACGTATGTAGGACAGTTTTTTGTGCCGAGCACACCTGGGGAGGAACCTCCGACAAAGAGCAGCAACATTTGGATCATGTCGAGCACAGTGATATAAGCATCGTTTCCGGCGTTGTGGAATTGATGACATTGTATGAGGTAGTCGAGACCGCACGCCCATTGTGACACCATGCTCGATGGACATGGCGTCAAATTAGAGATGGAGGGAACAGCATCAAAACAACATCTGTATAAGCCATCAGGGCCTGCTTGGCCGGGTTATAATCCATATGGATATCGTAGTTAGCTTAAGGATCTTCGTATCTGACTAAGTTGTCGCGGGGGAGAACTGTGTTGGCGGAACTTGAACTCTTGATGCCCATGACGAACTCGGACATTCTCTGGTAGATGTGTGCTGGTGCCATGGTAGATGTAGTTGGTAGGAGTGCGATTGCGTGCGGGAGTCATCGCACAGTCATCCTCGCGGATAGTGAACTTGACCTTGAACCTTAGCGATTGGTGTTTCTCTGCTGTCCCACTTGCATGCACATTCTTCGATGCCACAGTTAGGTTATGGAGCAAGCCCATTCGTCTCTCCCTTGAACTCAACATCGGGTTTTGAGATCTGCGTGTCCGCTACAATTATTGTCATGGCTTGGGGGAGGACTGGGGAGCGTGGGCGGAAGGTACACCGGCGATCCGGCTGCCGGGACCAGCGTTATATAAGTTGATATATGAGTTGTCCAGAAAAGTCGCCTGAAAATTGCCCTTAGCATCTCCTCTTTTGCAGGCTGGGGTATCTTAATCTGTAGAGATGAGAAGCAAAATCTTTCCTTCTCCTTCTCATGTTTCTAGGATGTGGCGCTGAGTGGGATGCAGAAAAATCAGGTGAGAAGCACTTCTTGGTGGTGTAAGCGCTCTTGGTGAATGGAACAGTAGTGCTGTTTGGCAGTAGTGCTCTACTATGCCGAACAAGAAATCGTCAAGTCCGGTAGGCGTAAGGCCGTGCTGTGGGATCCGTGCTATATAGGTACCGATCATGGCGTCCTCAGCATTATTACCGGCCGCTTTGCCTTTCTTGTTCGGTCTTACTTTGCGGCCAGTGGTAATTGGGGACTGATGCAGGTCAAAGGTGCCAAGTAAGTCTAACTCTCGTAGCATTGGAGGGCGAGATTCAAGATGTGAAGCTTGTCAAGACTGATGTTTTGCTCAGGGAATACCAAGCCGCAGTTGTCGTCGTCACAGCGGTCGTGGACCTGGCCCAAGGGCAAGGTGAGGCTTAGAATGTTGTCTGATCCAACAGCGATGGTGTTGTCGGAGATTCCTGCCTTGCAGAAAGCGCTAACCAAGGACATGAGGCCCAAGTTGGCGCGGCCGGGGTTTGTGACTTTGAAAGCATGCTCGTGTCTAGAGAACGATTGCTTTAGGCTTGTCAAAGCCCGCAGAGAAGTGAAAGTTGCGGCTATGACGTTGTTTTGGACTTCGGGGGCGAAGGAGACGCAGAGGTGTTCCAAGTTCTTGTCTTGCAAGGCGTTAACGATGTTAGCAACGTGGCGTTCGTGGTTCTCGGCTCCAACCTCGATAGCTTTGCTAGGATCTTGAAAACGCTGTCATTGTCGTAGTGTAGACACACTTTGAGCGGATCGGTGACGTGCAAGGATAGGGACGTTTTGTGAGAACATCTTGTGCTGAGAAACTTGCAGGAAGCGGTGTCTGCGAAGTTGAGCAGCTTCACGAGCCCCGACTCAGGTGGCAGGGGCAAACATGCGGAGGCTTATGGATGATATATTCTTCATCAGCTTCTTCACCGAAGCTTTCGAATCCTGCCAATAGCCGTAGGTTCAAGGAAACCTAGTGTCTCAGTCTGAGGATCGTCTTCGTCTGGAAAAACTTTTGAGCCAAGTCCAAATTTCGAGAGTAGTAAGTCGGCGACGCACAGTGTCAATCGGGGTGTCGTCGTCGGCAGGAGGAAGCAGATCACTTTGTGACGCAGGCCAATACGAATTTGTCCTTCGCCGTGCACCATGATCTTGTTCTGCAAGAGCGTATATAATGCACTTATCGGCTGTGGTGAGGACGACGGCACGGAGGGCGTGATCGGTCTTCTCGATTGGCGGCTCTGTCGCTCTGTCTGTAAACGGCATCCCCTTCTTCGCAGCGTTCCCGACCTTGTCCGTCGGTAAATTTAAGGAGATGAGCACACGCACTGTGGTGAGAGGCGCTAGCGAAGCGGGGCTTGGAGCGCTTACCGTCTGTTGAGCCCTCTCTCCCTGATCTCCACCATGAGCAGCGTAACCCTCAGCACCCGATTGAAGAAACCTCAACTGCTCCACAGCAGCATCGTTGTACCCCTCTATACACTCCCTGGCCTCCCGTCTGTTGAGCCTCCTCTCCCTGATCTCCGCCATGAGCAGCGTAGCCCTTAGCACCCGACTGAAGAAACCTTAACTGCTCTACAGCAGCACCGCCGTACCCCTCTATACACTCTCTCGCCTCCCGCCTGTTTGCCCCCCTCTCTTTAATCTCCGCCATGAGCAGCGTAACCCTCTCTTCCACCCTAGCGGCGGAAAAGACGAGTCTCTGCACAAAGGTGCCGAAGACCTCGTGCGAGAGCAACGAGACTACGCCCTCTAGTGCCTCTGCAGCCCCCGTTGCAGGATCGGGGACGAGCGTCAGGAGCATGCTGCTGTAGACGACGTCTCATCTCCGCCTTTTCCCTGTAGGGGCCGGACGGTACAGCCGGTCCAGCGGCAGATTTTGACTCAGACTGTGCACCCCAGCCCAGATGGCGGTAGGCAGGCTCTGGAGATTGGAGATCTTGCCCCTAGCATCTCACGGCTCATCGGGGGTCATCAAGCCTCCAGAAAATGTCAGGAAAGAGAGTAGTGATGGCGTTTGAGCGTTTACCACTGAAAATACCCACCATGAACTTGAAAATCCCGTACTAGGGGCCGGCAAGCCGGGTTGGTCTTGATCATCGGAAGCAGGTAGAAGAAGAGTCCACCAAAGTAGGCATATCTATAACCATACCATTGCCTGGACGCTCGGGTATACTGAGGGAGCAAGGAGCGATATCCATCACAAGCTTGTGACTCCGTTCAGCAACGATCTGAGCAATGAAGTGAGACCTGGTCGACGGAAAGATGGATAGCTTCGCGGTTGCAGATTGAGAAAATTTCGCTAGGTATATATAGCATGGTTAAGAATGATGCGAATTGGCGCATGGGTCCATTGAGCCATAATATCGTTCCGGCAGGCATGTTCGTGTTTGATCATTGAGACCCTCAGTGGAAGCTCAAGAAGGGCTGGTAATTGCCCACGGCAAACCTGGGGCCACTCAAGACAGGCACCTTCTCGATGTTGATGCGTCTTGGCCCGAATTGCACTTCGCCTTCCATCAGGTGCTCCAACGCCTTCAATCCTCCTTTTAGTACACCAATCCAGGCTCGGCGCAGTTCTTGATAGTCGAGAGGATGAACGACATGCGAGACTTGACATGTCGTATGCGTATATATATCAGAAGAATGGAAAGTTAGAACAAAGTTGGACGGAGTAGACGCTGAAACGGTCAGGCTTCGTTGTTTCCGACGAGTTAAGTAGTCTAGTGACCGGTCGGAACGGGCTCAGTATTGAATCCTTCAAAAGGGTCGAGGTTGGAAGTGTAGACTAGGTCCATGTTGAATGTCGAGAGGGTTTGTTGTGTGAATTGAGGAGGGGCTAAGGATTGCAGTTTGTCGCTATCTTCGAAATGCACGCGTTAAAGGCTGTGCGGTTAATCGAAGTGATTGACGTTGTTATAGTGAAGACGAACCAAGAAGAGCATCCCTTCCAGACCGCGGATAGTGCTCCGAGAACTGCCTCTGCTCCTCGGTCATAATATCCTCGGATGGCAAGATGTTCTTATTGCTGTCGAATCTAAATAACCGTGACATTGCGTGAGCCGATCTTGATGACTTGCTCAATCGGGCGGGCGGTACGCATCGACGAACTTTGCAAACACAAAAGGTGTTTGCGAATCTGAACGTGATCTGCCCCCAGAGCCATACCACAATTTTCGTCCTGATTAGCGTGCAGACTCTGGTGGTGCTGAGCTGCTTGGGCTTGAAGTTTTCCATCTTGTAATCATTCTGGCGCTGTAAGATGGTACGTCTGCGTAACTTGCGACGCTCGTCAACGCTGATGATTCTTTTCGACGTTGACAACGCGGTTTTTGGCAGCATCGATGTTTGCAGAATTCGTAGGCAGGGCTGCAGAAACCACTTCCCAAAGCAAGATGCTCTATCCGGTTATGTGTCTCGTCAGCGCAACGCCTACAACTGTTGTTTTCATGGTTATGTCTACGTCTACGGTGTGAGAAGACGGTATGCCGATGCATGATGTCATGTCTGCAGCTCTGCACCTGTACAAGTAGAATCGAGATGTGCAGAACTCCACGCTCTAACGTCACAATACTGTGCAGGGCTTCTAGCCGGGTTCCGAGCAATGCACAATAGGCCGGTAGGAGTCGGGACCCAAAGTGGAAGGTAAGAATCAGCCGGAGTGCTTCTGAATCACGAAGCGGACACTACGTGCCGAACGAGGCTCGTTACGAGAGCGGCGAGTGGGGGTATTAGTGTTGGTGAAGGGCGACAGAGAGCAGCCGGAATGGCGGCGACGGGACGACAAGCCAAAGTCGGGCTAGCGGAGGCCCGAGGGAGTGGACAAAATGTCCTCCCTGACACGACGGAGGCGAGCATCCGAAGCGACAAGGGTGCCGTCCGAGACGAGTGTACCGACACGGACTTGCTGCGCGGGAGGTACTGGCAATGTCGTGTCGGGTAGCAAACTCGAGTATGGGTATAATGCGATGGCTATGTTTGGCTGTCGGTGTGTCTGCCAGGTTGGTGGGGGTCGGCGGTATGCACAAGTCGAGATTTCGAGGTCTGACTTGATTGACTCTCATTTGTATTACAAGATTCTGTGTAACAAAAGCATGATGCGCGAACACTTGCCTGGGAAGTAAACGGTCCATCATTGTTGCCCAAACAAGGGAGAGCAAATCCAGTCTTTCTCGTGAGCGGGGCAAGGGTTCCGAAAGCGCTCTTTTCTTTGTTGGTGTCCTTAGCGGTACCGAAGACCTAGAGGGTAGCAGGACCGAACTACCAGGTGTGGTCACAGGAAGAATACAGCGCGTGAGAAATGTCCATGTGTCATGGCAAATCCAGGACATGTCGCATTCCAGAGAGACGAAGAAAGCGTTTGCTGTGAGCTCACCATACCGTACAAGTCATCTCCAGGAATAGGAAAGCGTGCTTCAGAAGGAAGAGTTGCTTGAGGGGAGGATGCGAGAACAGTATGTCCGTTGCAGCAAACGGGCGCCATCACCTCAAGATAGGCTGAATCGAAGTTTCTCGCGGGACTCCGTAGACCTGAGCCAAGAACAAGGTGAGGAACCGGAGCCTTTTGCTGACTCACAAGCGTCGTCATTGCAAGAGACAACCTTGTCGCGGGTCTTGAGAACACACTCACGAAGCATGTACTGGTGGTCGGCCACCGACTGCAAGTGCTCGATGATTGCACCGTGGCGTAGAGGACACCGTCCTGTTTATGTAAACTCACAAGGGACACAATGCCAATGTTGGTTTGGCTAGAGATAATTGGTCTGAACGCATGCTCGTGTCTAGAGAACGACATCAGTTGCGCTGAGATAGTAGATTAAAAGACGATAGTCAAAGCAACAATCGACATGAGACATAGAGCAAGAGCGGCCACGGATGTTGTGATCTGTTCGTGCAGATTCTGCGTGTCAGCTGGCGGTCTGCACCAAAAGGCCAGATTGAACCTGGACGCGCATACATGTGTACTCGCCAACCATATCTCCAGCTGCTAGGTTTGCATTGCATTCTTCATCCGGACGCTCCTGGATGTAGCTGACGGCGGCTTGATGTCCGGGGGAGCTGCGGTGGGATCTCTCTCCATCAACCACCAGCGTACGGTCTTGCTTCTTCACGATTACTCTGTACTGCGGGATGTGCAATCCGGCGGTGAGATGAATTCCCTACCTCTTCCAGCAGAGTAGTATGAGTGTTATATAGCGGAGTGCTGGAGATTTCGGTGCCAACATGATCGAGCATCCAGCGGATATCTGAGCATCACTTCAATGGATCCGTGGAATTCTAAGCGACATGCATGGTACGGGTAGCCAATCCATGCAAATTGTTGTGAACATGCACCTGACGGCTCGAGCCATGATAGATAATTACATGGCCCAAACCACCAGCCTCACCGACGATGCGGATGATGCTCGTCTCGAGGTCGAAGAAGAAGGGGTCGGGGACGGCGTTGAGCCACTCCAGGGATGCCGGAAGCCTGGAGTCCGGACTGCTTTAACTTCCCAAGGCTGGTCTGGGTATCATACGGCGAAAAGGATTGTCCTTGGTAACATCATCATCAAGCATTCGGCGTATATACTACGGTGCTTGGAATGAAATATAACTTTCGTAAATTTTAGGAGGTGAGCTCTTTCTTCGTGCCACTAGGCCCTGGCGTGTTGGCCTCGGTCGATGCGAGGCGGTGGGTTTCAGGGGTATTCATCTTCGTAGTCAAGTTGGAGTGGCTGCTCGTCTTAAGGTAGATATTAGGACGGGTGCCAGCATGTTTCTGACGTGTTAGACTCCGTTGCAAAAGTAGCGAGTGAGTCTTCTGAACCTGTATATATGAACACTCGATGGGATGATGCTGAGGCGACGGACTAACGAAGTTTGAGGGAGTAGCGACAACGGTAGGACGTAACAAGGAGGTGTGGTGAAGAAACCGCCGTTCCTTCTAGTCGAGCAGTCCCAGGAATTGTAGGTAGGCGGCTTCTCTGAAATTGCTTGTAGGCAAGTTAGAGAGACGCCTGCATTCTGTGATCCAAGCGATGCGGTTTATGAGAAGGATGCCTCGATGAGCTTGTATTGGCCTCCTTTCCCCTTCCCTGCCACCTTGCTTTTTAGTCGTAGCTGTTTAGCCATTGGCTGGACGTCGAAAGTTCTCCAGAAGACTGCATCACAGTCGAAACCTAGGCTCTGCAGCGCCTCCCTGTCCCCATGCGCGTTGAAAAGCGTTGCGATGATTGGTATACGCTGCCAAAGTGTTACTCCAGAGATCTTAGTCACCATCTTAGCTCTGCCAGTCCCTGCGGAGATCTTGCATGAACGACTTTGGAACCACAAGATCATCACTTTATGGCAGCCTGAAGCCCTACCTCCAGTAGTGTTGAGCAATGCCTCAGTCAACATCTTGAGCTCAGCCGGATGTTTCATGGGGTGGAAGTCTGTAGCCTTCTATAGATCCAGCGCAGTAAGCTCGCCACCTGGGTTTGTCTTGATGAGCTGTGAAAGCGGGTGCGAAGTCTCTGACGATTAGACTGCCTTGTAGAGACAGTCGTAGATAGTAGCATGTTTTGGCAGATCTGCGTCTTTCCAAATATCAGGGCATATATTGAAACGTAGCTCTTGCGGGAGATAAGTCCAGTCTAGGATCCGAAGTATGGAGAAGGAACGTTGGAGGCCATAGATTATTGCATCAATCAACTGCTGGCAATCGTTGAGCATCAGGTGGAACAGTTTGGATGCAGCGCGGCCAGCGCCGTGGTTGAAGCTGAGGGTCATGCCACGAAGCTTGTCGAAGGGCTTGACAAAGGCGACTCGGATGAGGTTCACATTGATAGGAGTGATTGAGCGAGTCAGGGTCTACTTAACGATCCCATACTCGAGCCACATGGGCCGCGGCGATATGATACGTAACGGTGCCCAGATACTCGGCAATTCTCATGACTGGGATGGGCTCCAGTATGGTCTTTCTGATGTCAGGTCCGAACTCCGAAGTCATCGTTTTCGAGCAGGTGTAGTAGTCCAAACATCACCAGCAGCGACAAGTTTTTCTTCTGTCAAACGGTAGTTGCTGATAGGGATATGGGGTTCCGACTCTTCGCTCGTAAGCTCGATGGCTGGTCAATGGAGAGCGGCGGGTACGAACCTGCACCAAACGTAGAGTGAAAGCGGTTATGGAGTCGTTTTGCGCAAGTCTGTTGAGAAAAGCATATTTTCGAGGCTGAGAAATTTTTGCGGTTGACGTAGAGTATCCAAGAAAAGAAGACCTGTTGTGCTTGCTGCGAAGCGTAGGGCGGATGAGAGTGGTTGGTCCAAGACGCCACCAGTTGTCAAAGTGTGCGCCAGGTCCCTGGCTACAGTCTTACGCTCGATCAGTAGAAGTGTGGTGGTATTGGGCATGACAAAATCAGGAACATCAAGGTCTTGAGCGACATGCCGGGCAGATGGAAGGGGTCTCTAGAAGCTCCCTCTTTGCACCGATGGTGCGTAAGACTTGGGATTGACGCGAACACCCTTGGAGTCTTTGACTTCCTCGTGCCAACAGGCGGCAAAGTGATGCACTTTGTAGACCTGCATGGTTGGACGTGGATAGAGTAATAGGAGACGAGAGAGTTTGTGAGAGTTGTCGTGGAGGTCCTCCTCCTGCTGCGCAAATTTCGAAGCCTTTTTGTGACAATTTGGAACTTTTCATCGCGGAAGTCTTGGACCTTCTGTTGAGTGGGGTTCCAGAGATATGTATATAGGTTCGTCCTGTCATGAAGAGGCTGTGATGTCTCGGACCTAGATTTTCTGATGCGGAAGGCTTGGAATGGTAGAAGCAGTGGCCTCATACTGGACACCAGTCTCAGGCTCAAGATTGCGTCTCCAGAAACCCAGATCAAGCTTGGGGGGTGATTCTGCAAATGATCACTCATCGTAGGCGCATCAATACTGGAGAGACTTGTGGTTTTTGATGTTCCGCAACTTCTGCGTCTTCGATCAGACGAGCATGCTCGACATCCTCGACAAATCCGTCGTCTTCGAGTTCGCGTAGTCGTTAAGTAGCGATAGCCGACGCGAACCCCAGAACTTGCGAGAGGTCGATACACACAACTATAATACCAGTAGCGGTTGCAAATCCGCGGTTAGAGTGACAGATATCTGAAAACCTGGAAGGCGACCGTGCTGTTGTTTCGCTTACGTTCTGCTCCACTCCCGCGTCATCGAGTGCGAGAGCCATAATGTGTAGTGTGAAGGGACGACTTGTGTAGCGTTTGGCACTGATCTTGTTCCGATGGTGTTTGCGGGACTTCGGTAGTGCTGAGCTGCTCGGCCCTGGATATGTGCACCCTATATTCGTTCTGGCGCTGTATCATGCCATGTCTTCGATTCAAATCCCTTGACGAGGAACAATCGGAGGGCAAGTCTGGTGCCAGCAGCCGCGGTAATGTCAGCTCCAATAGCGTATATTAAAGTTGTTATTGGGAACCGTCGCGTGACCTTGTCCATCTTGTTCGTGCTTGCATTCCATTGTGACCTGTGCGTGTGGGAGACGAGGATTTTACTGTCTTCCACCGCGACGGCGCCACTCAAAGTATGAAGGTGGCTCTTGATCTTCGTCACCGTCATCGTCGAGTTCGACAACACGTTCGACAACGACGGCGCGATTGGCGCGCGCGTTCATCTCAGCCTCCTCCATGTCGGCAGATCCAGTGGAAAGTAGGTGGCCGTAAATCATGTTCCGGACCTCGGGTGGAAGTACAAAAAGCGTGTTTTGCTTCCGACTGCTAGGCGAGAAGGGTTGCCGATGACGGGGGAGGCTGGCACTGGTCAGTATAGGCGGATTTTGCTCTTAGTAATCCTTACTATCACGAGAGCCGATTTTCTGGTTCGGTGGCAGAGGTGGGACTGGATATATATACATTTGGATGAGTAGATGATTCGGCCGTTGGGAATTTTGTTGACGGATCCATTAAGAGCACGTAAGTGTAGATCATGTTGCGATCGGAGCCTTCTTGTTGCCCAGCGCTTGATTTGAGGCCCCTTGTATATACTGGTGCCCTTTCTAGGTCGACGACGTCTGCAGGTGGCGATTGATGGCATGGTGGTGATTCTTATGCCTACCATGCCTCTGGTGATTCGTTGAGCGTTCATTGCTTTGGCTAGGGCCGATACTCTAGTAGGGCATTGTTTGTCTTTCACTCACGGGAAAAGGTATTCGGTGACTCTTGTTGTATCTTCTGATCCATGGTAAAGGTAGTGCGCTTTCTGAGGGTGTTCTCCTTGATATGATTGGGCTTGTTGAGAGTGCTGACCTGATCTCTCCGATGTTGATTGCGAATCCCAGTGTGTGCAGAGATTACCTTTTTCTCTGCTCCACGACCATGGCGTAGAGATCGGCGACTTTGGCGTTTCGGTAATCACCGTGAACCAACAGATTTATAAGAAATCTCATGAGACGGGGCTCTTGCATGATGTTTGTTGACGACTGCAAGCGGCCAAGCAAGGAAATAAGGTTCCGTCTGTTTATATAAGCTGTTTCGTCCGTATTTCCCATGGAAGCTACCGACACGGAGGCTGGAGTTGGAATGAGTTATAGGAGTAACGCGTTAGGTGAGAGTGTCGGAAAGACGAGTAAACTTCTTACGGGGGGGAAATGATCTTGACTACTGGGTCTGCCACGAGCCATGATGAGAGTGCTGTCTGATCAGGGATCGTGGCTGACGATACCGGTCAATCGGGATTACCTTCTCAGTGATATCTCTCAGGGTTGTCTTGTAACTTGCCGCACTGGTTCGGAAGCCTTTGTCGTCTACCGCGACATGATCCTGTGCTGCGATGTTACACATCTGCTTTTTGAAGCGCACGAGATTCTACAACACCAGTGATCTGAGCTTCTCGAGGCTGTCAGATCTTGCTATGGCGATGCTAGCCACGCCCAGGTCGATGTGAAGGGCGATGATAGCGTTGGAAGAGCCAATGATTGGACATCGTGATAGTTCTCCATGTTGCAGCCCACAGCCGAATTATCGCGGACATAATCACGGATGATGTCCACCATGGCGCGAGGTTCCGCAATGATGACCCTTGCTCGTGGTACAATAGGCCAACGTCGAATTGTTCTGAGTCCGAGGATGAGTCCTCTCGATACATCATGCGGAAGTTGTGAAGGTTCTCGCAGTGCGATCAAAGTCAACCTGACAGGCATCCAGGCAACACCGCTGGAGAACTCGTGAGGCTAACGACTCAGCATGGTCGACATCACCAGCAATATGGCCAACACTGAGCAAACTGTTTGAGAATTCTGCAAACGCCGCGGAAAAAAAACAATCTCATCCTTGTAAGTAGTAGTTCTGTTCGGAGGAGGGGACCGGGGTTGAGGTAATCGTTACAGAAGAGTCGCTTGAGGAAAATTTGCTCGAGGAAGACTCGCTTGAGAGAAAATAGCTTGAGAAAGAGTCGCCTGGACTCGTTTTGGATTCTTCTTGCGCACACACTTGGCATGCATCGCATTCCAGCCTCAATGACACCTGTGTAATGAAACAGCACCGCAAAGCTGACCCAGAAACTGGCACTGTGCTCACTCGCTTTCCTGTTGCTCTCCCCACTTGTGCACAGAGCCAATGGCAGTGCGAGTGTGAGTTCCTTATGATTCCAAGTGTCACGAACGTCTGTGCATGGCTGTATGTTTCCTCCTTCGCCGTCGAACCAGGCCCTTGATTCTTGCCTATGAACAAGTGCTCATGTAACCAGTAGGAGGTGCGGTAGGGTACGAACACGAGAAATGTGCAGGTGTATCTCTCGCATCCCCCTCAGATTGATCGCAACGGACACCGATGGACGACAACTTGCCGTACTTGGCGGAATTTCCGAATGCGCGGCCAAGCAGGGTCAAGTATCTCGCGGTTAGTTCCGACTTGATCTTGACGCGAATTATGACGGTCTCGAGTCAAGGCCGTCATAATCCAGCTCTCCGATGCAGCCTGTATCGAAGAGCTCGCTCAGCATATCCTTGGCATGTTCTGATGATCACCACTTTGTTCGTTTCACCTCTTCTATCACTCGGTCTCGGACGCCAGGTCAGCAATCCAGGCTCATCTGCAGAGTCTCAAGGGCAGTGATTCGATCTCCATGCTGTAGTAGGTGGAGGCTAACTCTGTCTTCTAACCTCTTCTCGAGAGAGACCGCATGATGATCCTGTTGTTGTAGATGAAGGCCACTTCGAACGAGAGCAACAGCAACAACATGATAGGTGAGTTGGTTCACACAGTCCCACTCCGTCCTGAGAGCTCAAGCTCTGGTTGGCTTTTATGACCATCAGAGTGGCAGTCTTCCAGTTTACAACCACTGGGACGGAAGTCGAAGGTTAAAGCCTGGCTCACGATGTGAGGAGCGGAGAGAAGGATACACATGATGTGTACTACTGGCCGCATGCTGTAAAGACAGTGCAAAGCCAAAAGAGGTGTATTGACAGTAGTAGCGCGATACTGACAGAACTTCCAAAGAGCAAAAGACACTTTCTTGAGATCGTGAAGAAAGTTGTATAGCGACTGATGATACGGACAGTCAGGGGTGTAGAGTCCTTCGCGACCACGTCGAGATGGTGATGTTGGCCCATCTGAGGTTCCTGGAACTTGACGGTGCAGGGGACTACTTTTCGCGAGTGCGGTTTGCTCAAACTCCTCGCTGCACTCCCTGAACCTTGCACGGATGTCAGGTGAAAGATCCATGGTGGTCTTGTTGTACTGTCGTAGTCCAGTTCACACAGGCTAAATGGTAACCCAGCTGATGTGCACAAGAACGTCGGATGTAGATTGACCAATATCCACCAACCGCAGTATAGTCAACACGATGTCTGTAGCACGACTAGAACTGCCTTGAGTAGTCAAGACCACTTTCTTAACGTCATCTTCTTCTGTTTCCAGAGCCACGTCTTCTTCTTGACAAACATGACCGTTGCCATACTCCACGCCGTCAATACAGACAGAAGCTAACGCTCTGGACATATATACCAAGGTTTGCATGAGCGGCGAGGTCGAGGAAGGCTGCATACTGTGCTTGGAGCAGAGAAAGCGTAGGTGAGCGAGGCGTTTATTGCCGAAGACCTTGAAGTATGCAACATTGAAAGCTTTACACACGGACGAGAGCAGTCCCGCTGCGTCTCTGGGTTTGGCAGTAGGTGCGGCTTCGATGTCTGTATATCGTCTCTCATCATCGAAGTGCGGTGTTGTGCTGAACTGGGAGTGTGCAAGTGATGACTTTGTCTCCCAGATGGCAGTTCATGTCAAAGGCAGACCGTGATTCCTGAAAGTTGGACACGATACACAGGAATAGTGGACTCAGCAACTGGTTCTGAGCTTTCAGCGACAGGCTCAAAGGATATAGCTGCTGCAGCACCAGGACTCCCTTGAAGATCTGCAGCTCTCGCTATCCATTCATCTCAAGGATCTACTTTTGCTCCAAGAACTGAAGCAGGATGCACAAGCTGCAGGCGACACTCGACTCTTAGCAAGACATGTTGGATCAGCATGCGTGGATTGAGACAGAGCAGTTTGTGCATGTCCAGGTATGAGACCATATCAAAATGATATCAGGCCACCGTATCGCGTTTGGTGGACTCATGAGATTGGCAGCGTAGTCGCTTCAGTCGAACTTCGAGTTAATCTTAGTCCTGGGGAGGAAAAGACGAAAAATGCAACAAAAAGTGAGTCTGTGCTTGCTGGTGCCATCACACCTTTGTTGACGAAATATCTCTGACGTGAATCCCTCCGCGGAGACCCACAGGGACACAATATCTGAGTCCACGTCTGTTGCCGGAGAACATAGAGTCCATGATGGCAAAAGCGAGACACGGTATCGAGTGGTGCGTAAGAGAGCCGTCCTATATCGAAAGTGGAGGTCTGGCAATATGAGGATGTCGTGAAGCAGTGTTATGGTTTGGGAATTCCGAACCATCATTTGTTCTCCATGTCCCTGGTAGTTGCTTATATAGTTAGACGGATGCGGTCTTGGTTGGCCGGTTTGTTGCATTCCAGCAGAAAGCCTCAGACAAGACACGAGTAGGCCTTTGGGCTGCTAGGAGCAGGTTGAGGCTTTCGAGACTGAGAGTGTTTGCGCAAGTGTCAGTCTTTCCGCGTCTGACGCAGCCATCGTACATGCCAGTGAGTCTGCCGCACTTGGCTTCCAATGGTACACAGTTAGAACAAGCTTTGTTTCTGAAGGCCTAAGGCTTGGTGCGCTTAGTGCGCTTAGTGCTCTTGGAATTAGGTAGCTGTGTCATCTTCCTGACTCCTGAGCTGCTCGCGGCGCCTTGCTCTGAATTGGGAGAGTGTCTGGTCTGAACGTCTGCAGGCGAGCGCGTGACAAGGATTGCTGTCAACAACGAAGCTGACGTCTCCCACGTTGATGAGACTGTGTGAGTGACGATGATGGGGAAGACGATAGTGTGGAAGAATCAAAAGCCGAGGATGAAAGCTGGTAGCGGACAAAGGCCACCAGGGGTAGTATTTCCGGGTCTTGGGTCGTTTGTCAAATGGTGTCTTGACTGGCTCACTGGCTGAGCTGTGGAGTTACGTAGCAGCCGCTGATGTTGCCGTTTGAGACTACATCAACCTGGAGCTGGATCCCGAGTATGGCGGCCAACGAATCTGGCTCGTTTCTCTTGTCTATGGTCGGCAGTCTCACTCGAGATCGAGATGCCTCTGATCTGCGTATTCGGGTAGGAGAGTCAACGGTCCATACGAGATAGGCGAAGTCATGTCTCTGTTGGTGTAAACGATCTTCACGACAAGGAGATCGCGAGGCGATCGAAGCGAATGATTGATGACATCGAGTAAGACATAGGTACAGTGACAATGATGTTCGAATTTCGACCGATGTGGCCTTTGCTCTTTCGACAGTCGGCAGCTTCACTCAGAGCTGGATGGGTCTCCAGTGAGAAGTCTGGAGATGATTTGAAACTAGTGATGGGCCTGACGGCGGAGGAACAAGGGGACGCCTGCGAAATCCATGCGTCTGGTGAAGATAGGGTGACCAGTTGTCGAGCAAGCACATGGCGAAGAGCATCAGGGTGAAGGTGCAGCCTAGCACATGGCTTTGGTCGGGGACTCGGGACGTAGAGCTGCCTTCCAGGTATATAGCGAAAGTGATAAGGGCGAAAAACCGATTCACCGCGAACGGGCTTGGGCATTTCGTCGACGAAGGCGTATATAGCGTAGTGACCTTGCGGTTGATGGCTTTTTTGGAGCGACCCAAGGAGGGTGGTGAAGCTCGGGTGTGTAGGTCTTTGGTCGAACCGAAGGCGGAACCGGTAGCACCGCGAGAGCTAAGGGATCAGTGATTCCGGTAAGAAGACATATTTGCGACGACCGGTTCCAAATCCAGAACATGTCCCGTTGGCGTAGCGGTGCCAATGATGTTGGCGCCGCGAACATTGGACGTGGGTCCATACTGCTGGAGTGGAGTTTGGTATCGCGTTACCAGCCGAGTATATAACAGTGATGACGATGACGGACGTTGCTTCGCTCTTGCGGTGTACGGTTCAATTGTAGAGTTGCCAGGCAGATACAAACTGTAAATGAGGAAGATGAAGTGGCGATGGGAAACTCAAGCAGGCGAGAGAAGCGCTTATATATCCAGACGCTCCAGATGTCGAAAGCGCCGGAAGCTTGTTGGAAGTTTTTCAGAAGCTTGTCAAGAGTTTGCTGATTGGACCGGCCATCCTTCAGCTAACAAAGAAAGCTTTAATGGAACATTGGAGATCTTGCCGGTAGTTTGCTGTTAAGGAAGGTAGCTTCGATGCGAGAGAAAGGAAGCAAGCATCATCGCTCGGCGACGTGCTATAATCACCCGAAGTTCCTCCCTGTAGCAATCGGACCTTGTCTGATATGCTGGCTTGATCATGGTGACGTCAAAAAGTATAGCTGAGCACAGCACAGTAGATGCTGTGCATTCATTCAGGGGATGGTCGCACGTGAGAAGGAGGGTAAGATTAGTGATGAAGCAATATGCGGAAGTATGAATTTCTGGTATGAGTGGAGTTGAAGAGAATGGGAAGAAGACAAGTAACAACCACAGACAGAGAGGTATCTCAGCGATGCAAAGTGAAGTCAGAGCGAACGATGCAGGAACAATTCGGCCGTACAAACATAACGACAGTAACAAGATCCAGATGATGTGATAAAAACAATCCAAAAAGGATAAAGACTGCACAACGATAATCAAAAGACGAAGAGCGGCAAAAAATCCAAAGGTCCAAAAGGGCAAGACGCTTGAAAAACAGGGACTGAACAAAGGAGATCAGTGACGGCTCAACCCCGTCACTTCATGGACGAGAAGAGCAAGCGCTATTGCTCTCTCTGCGGCAAAGGCGTGGGTGGAGGGTGCTGTTTATCCGGCGCTCGTGGTGGTCGATCATGAGGATACTCGGCCGCAGGATACCTCTGATCGGGCGGTTGGTCTTGTTGATCATAGCCATCATCGTATCCATCATCCTCGTATTCCTCCTGCCTGCCATCTCCCTCCAACGGCGTGTTCTCATCAGGGTAGTTCTGGCCTGCCCCGTTCTGCGGTTGCTGTGGCGCCTGCTTGCCCTTGGCCATGTTCTTCTTTCCCTTGCGGTTCTTTTGTTTTGCCTTTTCCAGCAATCTGCGTCGCTCTTCTGCTTTTTGTCTCTCTTTGCGATCCTTGATTTCGTACTGGCGGATCAGGGCTTCAGGACGTTCGCCCCAGATATCTTCGTACTCGCAGAACTCGCAGATCCACATGTCGTCTTTTGCGGGGCGAGAGTGGTAGTTTGTGTATTCCTGTTGGAGGCGACGTTGGCGTTCTTGCATGGCGAACTCCTTGGAAGGGCGGCGAGGACGAGTCTTTTTAGGTGGCGCAGATTGAGGCGGTTGTTGGGGTGGTGGAGGGGGGTTTGCGTAAGTGGGTTGCTGTTGTTGGCGAGTGGCAGAGTGGTTGGCCAGGGGTGAGCGAGGAGCGGGAGGTGGGTGTTGCGGCCAGAGCATTTTGGTGGACGAGTCGGATTCGCAGGTGAAGGTAAATTGCGTCTGCGGTGTCGAGGTCTGGGTGGGACTGCGGGCGAGAAGACTCTCAGTGTTCTGCTTGATCGGGGTTGTTGGTGCTTCCTGGTCTTGGTCTTGGTGGGCGTTGGCGATTGCTTGCGAGATGATGCCGTTCTCGGACGACGGGGTAGGAGTCGCTTGCTCTGCGGAATACGTGTAAGTCTCTGCTGTGTAACCACGACCATGACTGCGTAGTCTCTTACTCGTGCGTGTTCCATCACCCTTCCAGTTGCCTCCACGAGACTTTGCCGACAAGGATGAAGCATAGGCGTTGTGTTGTCTGAATCTACCGCGACCACTGCCCGACAATTGCCTCGAATCTTGCTGCTGATCCTCTCGTGAAGAGATGCCCATGTTTGCCAACTCTTGCGACAGACTAGACTGGTGTGCACTGCCTCCACCCGACAGTGGAATCTTGCGCTTCTTCTTGTTGCTTGTGTTTTCGAAAGATTCGTATCCGTCTGCTGAAGAGGCTGTTGATGCGGGTGCTGGGGGGACCTTTGCGGCCATCAGCTTTCTCTGGACACTGTCGACTCTTGAACCGTCGTTCACGGGCGACGACCAGCGGTAGCTCGGGTGATCGTATGCAATCAGCTCTTCGTCGTCTTCACTCTCGTCAACGTGGTGGTCTCCGTTGCAAGTGCAGTGGCTGTGCGACTCGTGGTGGTTGAGGGCGCGGGGATCGATCTTTTCCACGACTCCGTAGGGGAAGCTGAAGAGGGGTGAGGTAGACGGAGGTTCGGGTGGATAGGTAATCTGCTTCTGCTGTTCGGGCGACAGCTGTTCTCGGAGTCGGTTCTTGGGTAACGGTCTGATAGGCCGGTCGGGATAGACTGGTGATAAAGTATCCGGTGATCTGGTTATTGATGACCTTCGCGGCCACACATATTCTGGAAGGATATTATGTCAGTCGTGCTGTTCCGTAAACAAGAGTCTATGACCGCTTGAGTGTCCTTCTTAGTCTGAGTCTTGAGTCTTGAGGCAGCTGCGGGGGGTCGTCGCTGCGCTTGCACACGACACATTCTCGAGTCTGCCCCGTCACTGCCGACTGAGATTCTACCAGACACTCCGGACAAGTCTCCCTAACTGGAAGGAGCGAATCAACTCACCTGCGGCCGCCATGGTGATAACATGCGGTGGTGGGGGCAAAAGGTCAAATGTCCTCACTCTCCAATCCGACTGCCCAATCTGCCAAGCCCGCTGTTTTTGTAATCCCGACGATCTTCCGTTGACTTTGAACACGAGTCAGTCGTTCTTTTCTATCTCCCTAGAAATGTTATTGCTGTGTCTAGTGAATCTTAAGATGCTCTTCTCTTCTCTCGCAAAGAGATACAGACTTTTCACCTCTAGCTAGCCATTTGTGCCACCTGTTTTTCCAGCCTCTGAAAAGACGTTGATTGCACCTTTAGTCATCCATAGTCCGTGCCCTTCACCTCCGAACCTCCGAGCCCGATTGCTCTTCCGAATACTCCCTGATGGAGCCTCTCTTGTAATATATCGTCGATTCAACCATCATGGAATATGTTTTCACGAGTCACAATTGATGCATAGAGCGTGGAATATGTCAATATGGTAACAATGGATCAACCAGGATAAATACGTTACTATGTGCTGCACTGCTACGAGTTATCAAAGAGGGGAGGGGTGAAGCTTACCTTGACAGAACTTCAGCTTCTCTACCACAATCTCCATTCGTTCGGCATCACGACGCTCTATTCTCTCCCTCCAAACATTACCGAATGGTGAGTAGAAGTCAGTCGACGCTGGAGCATCCTTGTGAATCATACCACGGATAGCCTGACCAAGTGTTGGGCCGGTCTGGATGTTCTTCTGAAGTGTAGCTTCAATGATCAGGTGCTCAAGCTGGGGAGCCAGCTCCTCCAGTCTCTTGTTCTCAGTTGGTAGGTCGATTTCGCTGGGCAAGCATACGGCAGCCAGTTCGGGCATTGGTAAGCATGCGGCTGCACAATCAAGTGAAATGCGCATGGCCATGATACAAGACATGACCGACTCTGCAAAAGCAACGCATACCTCGAAGAAATACAGAGGTACGTGCTGATGTAAGAAGGTGTTCGCGCAAAGGACCCAGCCATCGGCGCGCTGAAGAGCAACCTCGAATTCTGCTTCGTCGATCGTGCTGTGTCCGTGGTTCTCAGTGGCCAAAATTGAGTTGTAGCTGTTGACCATGTTGAGAGCATTTTGACCTTCCGAAAAGAGTCTTGATCTCAGTGTCATCAAAGTCTCGTAGTGAGCCACTGTGTATTGTTGAGCTTCGCGAGCGCCGCGGATGGTGCCGACCGCTCTGCACTGTGCCTTGCTGCAACATCCGTAGCTGAACAGAGGAATGACTTGTTGGCCTTCAGGGAACATGTTTGCAAACTTCCAGTCGTAAAGACAAGGCTCCGGAATGTGGTCAACGATTGTTGTATGATGGCAGACGTGAAATATTATATACTTGGGCATGATGATGGGGATAAGGACTTGCCTTCTGTTGGTTTGTGTTTTGCTTGGGTGTGATTTCTGATAGATGTGGAAAGCTCTGAACTCGAAAGACATTGGAGAGTAAGGTAAGCTTGAGTTATACTTCGAACATGAAGGCCAGAAAGAAAAGGCAATGCATTGTTGTGAATGTTGGCAACAAAGACAGGAAGATGAAAGAGAAACGAGAGGCAAAGGAAATTGACAAGGCAATTGAAGATATGTTATGTCAAACAAGGGATTGAAGAAAGACAGAATATAGCACTAGCCGATTGCGTCTGCTATGCTGCGCTGCCGCAGTGACTTACTCGATCACAGTGGTTAGAAGTGTGGCACGGAAGCCTGGCAGCCGCTCCTGGCTCAGCGTACTTAGTACCAGAAAGCAGATACCAAAGAAAAGTGACTACCCGCAATGGATGTTGTTCATGCTGTTTTGCCGCCATCTTGACAGTGCTTTCGACATGCTGGGGCCGTCGGTCGCAAAAACTGCAGGTCGTTCGGAGGTGGGCGAGGTCCTGCAGCTGACTGTGTATTGTTGTACGAGCTACGATCGGTGCTTTCGGCCAGGGAAATTGATATGACAATCTCGGCGATGGAATACTTGATGCAATGGCTTGCGACCATGATGACCGACCGGTAGACAGGTTTCTCGTGTTGTCGAAAAAAGATTCAGCCAAGTCGATCAGTGACCCTGGCCGAGATCGGCGAACAGCATCATCGATGGCCCGTGCAGAGAAGACTTGACTTCAGCTTGTCTTTTTCCCCTTATTCTTGCGTCCTTGAGACACGACCAGGAACAAGTTCGGTCATTCCAAGCTTGTTGGACGAGGTTCGCATAGTCGATTGTTGAGACCGTTCCAACAGGATTCTGTCAGCTGTCCAGGCAAACACCCGGGCAAAACACATGGGGAGGAGCGGGAGCGGGAGTGTACCTAACAAACGCAGCGAGACATGGTCATTCCTTCGAAATTGATCAGTTCCAACTCACAAGTACACGGGTGGATGCTTTGATTGGTCGTCATGACCTATTGTAGGGGACCTCGGTGACGAGCGGTTTGAGCTGGAAACATGGACAGAAAGCGCTGGTAGGTAAACAAAGTCACCGGCGCCAATAAGACTTGGTAGCACGTGGAGTCTCAAAAAGTGGTAAGCTTCCAAGGAAATGTAAGGTAGAGTAAGTCTCGGACACTGTGTCGTCAGTCAGAGTCGGTGTCGCACCTTCCTCAAAGCACTATCATCGCAAATTCTAGAAAGCCATCTGCAGCTAGCTGCTTTCCTGTCTTGAAGCCTCTGTCTCGCAAGCAACTCGCCATCCAGTCGGAAACTTGCGCGTCATCGCAATAGCACCTTCACTTCTTCATCAACCATCCCATCTCCGTTCCAACTTCACCTTCTCATCGCCTTTTCTTTTCTCAACCCACCCACCAACCATTCTGCGCGCAAGCAACAATGAATCGCTACTCTGTCGTCGTCAGCGACACCGGCTGGGCTGAGTCTCTCAAGCTACTGGTACCTTTCCAGTCGTCGGCCACATCCGGCGCTCTCGTCGGTGAGGTTGTCAAGCGCGCATCTCGCTATGGCAAGACGCTCAATGCCGCCCATTGCACTCTACGCCTCGAAAGCCCTGACGGCCCCATCCTCGACCCCCAGGACACCTTGTCAGATCTGGTCGTCGACGAACAGCTGTTTGCTGTCTTCAGTACTATCCAAAATGGCACACCATTCGAGGTATGCTGGGAATCTGTCTTTTGTTGCCTCCACTCTCTAACATCAAGCAGACTGTGGATACCGACATGGTTGGAGCGCAGGGCGAGGCCAAAGGCTCTCATCCTTCTCTTACCGTGCGCAGCGCCATCTCCGTCCGCATCATCACCCCAGCCATCGCGAAGCTGATGACCAAAGACTCGAACGCTTTGCCCGCCCCAGCTTTCAACCTGCCGGCCTCGGCCAAGCTCCAGCAGCTGCACGACAACGCTGTCCGCCATCTCAGCAACAATGCTCCCGACTGGCTGGACGCCACCTCTCTCTTGGATCTCCACATGCACGAGCTGCCCATTGTCTCGTCATGTTTCGACTCTACACTTGACGAGACGGGCCTCGCTGAATCTCTCAAAGACGGCGTTCTGACCATCTACGCCGTCGCACGTCCTGCCTCGACTGCTCGCTCTGCTCAACCTCCGGGCCGAGTTGGCAAGAACGATCTTTATGCCGCTGGTCCTCACTGGCAGCCCGAGGTTCCACAATCAAATCGCGGTGTCGCCATGTTCCTGTCTTCTCTCAGAGTCTTCACACATGTGTTGAAGAGCAATGCCATTACCGACGAGCACAGAGAAAGAGTCGTTCACGTCTTCGACCTTCTGTCCTTCTTCCCACCTGCCGTTCGCGCTCTCCATCTGCTGATCCAAGGAAGCACCATCTCTCATTCAGCCAGCACTGCTCTCAGCCAAGCCTTCTTCTGCATTCTCAAGGACTTGGGTCACAGGAAGCTCATCAAGAACGATGATGCCAGACTTTTCGAGGGCGCCCGCCTTCTCTTTGGTCTCATCATTGAAAAGGCTAACCAGCTCAAGTCTGTCGAGTCGTTCGTGCCAGTCTACTCATCGCACATCCACACTGTGCAATTGCAATCGATGGCAGCTTTATCTGCGCAACCTCTCATGCCTGTCAACGGAGGCCCTTCTCGCCCTGCCGCCTCATCATCTGCACAATCTGAAATCAACGCAGGATATCTGAAACTAGACCTTGTTTCCGAGTCCAAGCAGAGCGTTGTCATCTTCAGTCCCCCTCAAGACATCTTCACACGTGCGCAAACTCCGCAAGAAGTTATTAGTCCTGGCGACCTTCGCAACTTGCATCAACTCGCCAGCCTCTGCGGCAAGGCTTCTCTCTCAGTTGTGAGACCCTCTTTGTTATCTTCAGTTGCCCCAGAGCACTTGACTTTCGACGAGCAAGGACATGTTGCCGTCTACACCGGAAAAGCTGGGTGTGCGGGTCCTGGCGAAGACACTGTCATCTTTCGTCCTATGCATGGCGAAGAGACCCCAAACATGGGCCAGGTCGAGCAACGGCTTACTCCCATCCTGCAAGCCTACGAAGAAGACGGCACTAACGTCTTCGACATCCTTGGATCCTCCGCCACTCGTTCTCTGGACGAGCCCGACGAGATTGTCATGTTTTGTGTGGATTGCAGTGCGAGTATGGACAGCTCCACTGATTTGATGGGCATCGATGCCGACTCCGGGCCTCCCAGAACCTCTGACACTCCTCAAATTTCTCCGCAAGTTTACAATCGCATGCTTCTTGATGATACCAAGAAGGCTCTTACCGAACACGAAGTCTATGATGACGTTCTTGGCTGTGTGGCCGAGTGTGCCCACACCGCCAGATCGACTGTTGCAGCCAAAATGCTCACTCTGGTCTTCGATCTGACCACCGAGGAGATCGAGAAGAAACGCAGTTTAGCCATGTACAGTTGGTATGAGCGCAATGCCGTCAACCTTAGGCTGGAGAAGCTTGAAAATCTTGCCGCAGGTCTCAAACGCTTCGAGCAAGAGCTTGTTGATATGATAATCCTTCGTACCATGGCCATGTCTCCTCACAAGTGGACCTGGAACATTGGTGAGAGGCTTCCCGGATATCAGCAGATGGAACCCCTTCCTGATGAAATCACCATGATTCCTGTGGCCCTCAGATGTCCCATCAAGCTTGATCTTATCGAGGATCCCGTCGTGGCTGCTGACGGCCAGACTTATGGTCGTCAAGCTATGGTCAAGTGGATGTCGATCAGAAGATCCTCCCCCCTGACCGGTCTGATGCTTGAGAACACCGAACTGCGCCCGCAACTTGGACTGGCTGAACAAGCAGACAAATGGCTGCAGGGTGAAGATCTTGTCGAACCCGAGGACCGTCCAGTCAACAAGCGCCGTCGCACCTCGCTCCGCACCAACGCTGTCACATTCTCCAGCACTTCGCACCACTTTTCTCGTGCCCTCTCGCCAGCTACCACTCTCCTTGACTTGTACAAGATCGCATATCGTGGAATGAGAGGCCATCACAAGCTCTTCCAGCTGTCCTTCAATGGCATCCTCACTCCATCTTCGGAAGCCATCTCCAATTCCGGCATCGTCGGAGGCAGCGTCATCAGCATCGTCATCGCTGACAACGTGAGCGCTGTGCAGGACGGTGACTCGGCTTTGTGTCTGATCAAGGCATACTCCAGCAACAGCAGACCCGATTTCTGCTACTGGGTTCCTGAAGAGACTGAAAAGTCAATGGCCTCTATCTTGGCAAAGTACTGGCGCTTCCAATGGACGAGACGCCCCTGGCTTGATTACGAGAAACACGAAGTCTGGACCGATCTCAAGTCGTATGGTGACAACCGCTTCCAAGGTCACATAGCTAGTAACTCCGACTATCTTATGGACTACCTGACTCCTTATCACGCTACTGGTGTGCTCCAAGCTGAACCTATCCACTCACCGCTGTCTGAATCCCCCTCCGAAGATTCATCAGAAAGCGATGAAGAAGGAGGCACTCCCAAGGTTTTGGTTCTGAAGGTTAAGATCTCTGCAGCTGCCGTTTATCAGAAAAGCTCTCGTGGCTTGTCTCGTTTGGAAGTCCTGAAGCAAATGTTTGAGGCTATGGTCAACCGTATGATCGCCTACTCCTACAAGACGCACATCGGCTTGATAACCTTCAATTCCACCGCAACGGTTTCTCAGTCAATCACTCACGTCATCGAAAACTTCAGACGAAGCGTCGAAAGCATGAACGCTCAAGGTGACACTGCTCTTTGGGATGGCCTCAAGCTCGCTCAGACTCAGATCATGAAGTATGCAGAGAAGTATCCCAAGGCACAGCGTCGCATCATCTGCCTCTCTGACGGAAACGACAACAAGTCTACAGCCGGGCCTGCGGACCTCTGCTGGCAATTGCGTGCGAGCAAGATCTTGGTTGATTCTGTCTGCATCGGGGATGACGACAACAAGGATCTCAAGGCTCTTTCTGGCTGGCTCAAGTCTTATTGCTTCTATCCCAAGGATCTCACCACTGCATTGGCCATCTGTGAGATGGAGCCCGTTCTTTCCCAGACTGAACGTCCTGCACCTCCCGCTGATGTGGGACCCATGCAACGAACCTCTGGTCTGCAGAGTTTCTTCACTATGCGCGCCCGTGCTGCCTTCACTACAGTCACGCAGGATGTGTATCCCAAACGCAAAGAGCACCCTCGCCTGGAAGATACGTTTGTGCAGTTGGCCAATTGTGTTCGCACGAACACTGCCAGCAGCTTCAGCTTGCCTACTCTTAGAGTGTCTCGTCTCCTCGTGGAGATGCGCGAAATGGCTGCTAACCCTCATCCCAAGTATGACTGCTACGTGTCCGAGGCCGACATGTTCTTCTGGAAGGTCGTCATTGAAGGCGTAAGTTTGACATGTACTGAATGTCTTTTCGTAGACTTGGCTGACACATGTGGAATAGCCTCCCGAGACTCCATACGAGAACAGCAGCTTCCTGCTCTACCTCGAGATGCCTGAGAACTTCCCTGCTTTCCCACCCAAGGGCCGCTTCGTGACTCCACTGTTCCATCCCAACATCAACCGTCACGGCCGCATCTGCCATAGCATCTTTGACCGTGAGTGTATCACTCCTCCGCTTTTTAGCTCCGGATTCTGACGACTTACAGGTGACTGGACCACGGATACTACTCTCAAGAGTGTTCTCGATACCGTCTATGGCCTCTTGCTCCAGGCTGAAGCTGGCGATGCTGTGTACGTCCTATTCTGATTCCATGAGGTCAACAATTGCTGACCACAGTCAAAGGCACACTACCGTCACCCTCGGCTTCCACCATGATGAAGTCGCATTCGCCGAGGAAGCCCGCCGCCACGCCAGAAAGCATGGCTACAAGACTCGCCAGGACTGGAAGATCGAGCTGCTTGATCTTGGAGAGGAGGACGAAGGTGAGGTCTACTAGGAGGAGATATGATTGAACAAAGAGGAGGAGTACCGCGATTGGGAAAAGACCCTCCTATTCGGACCACACCAAGCTCCCGTAGCCTTGCTGTACACTGAGACTTTGCGTCTCATTCGCTGCATACACGATAGCTTCATTAAAAACGATTTGCCTGTTGCGTTTAGAAACTTTCCCTCGCCGCTGTCTCCTGCGGCAGCCTCTTTGTGTCGATTTAGGTCTCAAAACGCACAAAATCCTTTATATCGGGACAGTCGTGCACAGAGAAACGATTGATGCTGTGCTCTCAGTCAAAACCACTGGTGATTTTGCAAGAAGAAAATCATCCTTCTGCAACAATAGGATTGGAAGGCACGGACACGTGGACGGGAATGTAGCACGAGTGGGAGAGCAGCCTAAACATCTGTTTTTTTTCTGGTTGGACGACGACATTATGGTCTACATAGACGATATTGGGGGGAATTTGAGGTGGAGGGATGATTTGGAAGAGTGGTGGAAAGAGTGGTGGAAAGAGTGGTGGGAGGCAGAAGTGAAAGCATATGTGAAAGGAGAGACAGATTCAGAAGCTCGTTCAAAGGTGGAATGAGAGGTGCAATTTGAGGTGGATGTGAAAGTGTGGTGGTGTGGGATGGAAAGTAATGCCAGGGTCAGACTGTTAGCCACCAACTCGGACATACAAGCACACGGACACACCTTTTCTTGAGTTTGATAATCTCCTCCATTACTATGTGACCTTCGATAGTAGATATAAAGATACCTCAGATGTTGAGGTAGGACGCATGTTTGCTTCTTGGAGAATTTGCAAAGGTCTTTGTGTTTTCACTGATTCAAGCTTTTGGGAGTTGCCACGATCAATCCAGTTCTTTAGAGATCTAGGACATGCGTATGAGAATGGAGTGATCATGTAGAGCACATGCATAAACTCAAAGAGAAGATGATAGTCCAAGAGAAAAACGCCAAGGCCCTTTAATTTCCTCAAGACTTTATATCCACAAAACGCTGAATTAATCCAAAGCAAAAAAGGAGGGTTGGCGCAATGGGAAAAGCGTCAAGATGTTAGGTGCCAGAACGGACAATACCCTTCTGAGGCAAACCATCCCCAGATCGAGCTAGCATGGTTCTCCTGCTAAGGTAGACCTGTAAATGAAAAGGCGAGAGAGAGTTCTTCTTTTTTGCTGTTTTGGATGAAAGGGGAGGGTTTTCATTTCGCAAGGGAGATGTACTGGGTAGAGAGGGTGTGAGAGGTGTGTTTTGGTTTGGAAGAAGTGTGTTGGACTTGTCATTGCGGTGGGTGATTTGAGGGTGTGGGTTCGATTCTGGGAAGCGGTTTCTTTTTTTGTGTCGAGGCTGGATATTGCATTTTAGTCGGATTGAGATGGGTCAGGAGGTCAGCAGTTGGAAGAATATGGACAGATGTTTTCGAAATTGGATTGATCTGGGTTAAAGACAGATTTATATGCAAAGCAGATAAAGACACAAGTGGGATGAGGTGGATGAGAATTTATTCGACACAAGTAAAATGGAATGAAGCGGAGAAGTTGATTGATTACGGTTTCAGCAAAAATAGTCGTAAGAGGAATGTTCTAAGAGGGCCAGCCTTCAATCAGTGACGAGGATGATACACGGGAACCAGCAAATCACCAAACGACAGCACGCCAGGTAATCTCATCAGTATCCGAGGAATCAGCCTCGCCATCGTTTTCAACGATCTCCCTCTCGATTTCCTCCAGCCCATTCCAAACACTCCAAGCCATAACTTCTAACTCCTTACAGATATTCTCCGAACCCATGCTTTCGGGATCCCTCAACCTATCATGAAACATTCTCATCTCAAACTGCATGTTCCTCAGTTCCTCCGCATCAACCATGTTGATATTACCAGCTTCAGTAGCAACACGAATGGCAGTGGTGGCCTCAACGATAGATTCAAGATGGGCTTGAGCATCAGTCAAAGCCTTTGCAACCAACCTCTCCAAATTGTGAAAAGAGGTTATCAGAGGCCGGGAAGAAGAAGCTAGACAGCGTGAACGCATGTCAGAGATGTCGATGTTAGACGAGATGTAGGACTCGATGGTCTCGTACCATTCGCAAACGGCTTCTATGTGGGCGGCGGTAGTGTGGATGGTGTTTTCTTCTGCCTCTGCATCTGATCTATCAGGGATCGGGTTGTTAGCAATAGCGATGTCGAATTTGAGCAAATCAACACTTTGAGTAAGCGTAGGAGTCTGAGGTAAAGAGGGATCAGAAGCAATGTCAACGTGGCTCAGCCACGTATAACAGGATTGACAGTCCTTGCAGTAATTTGAGAGTTCGAAATCTTCGAGAACAGCGCAGGAGTACATCCACCAGGTTTTGGCAGTCAGAGCGGGATGACAGCGACCACTGAGGAGAATTGTTTGGTTGTAGAAGCCGCAGTGGGGGCAGGTGTTTTGAACTGAATCGCCCCAGCACATTTTGATGATGATCTGTTGGAATCTGTTAGTGGAAGGGGAAACGACTTACCGAACTTCTCGGATGTGCTGGTGAACTGGGTGAGATGTAGTCTTAGAAGAGGACCTTAGTGTTCTTATAGCGGTTTCGATGTCGCATATTGACAAAGCATTCAGGCGCGCTTTGTTGCAAAGTTTCGGGGCCGACAAAGGGGATTGTCATTCTCAAAGCACTGCAATGTTGAGCTTCGAAGTTCTGTTGTTCAACGACCATGAACGTTGAGACTTTAGTCATCAAACAAAGACGGCTCAGCCATGCAGGAGAATTTGCTCCCTTTCGCAGCGAACGCGCTTTCCTTGTCTGCTCAACACCACGCCGAGACAGACAATGCATGGTTCTACCGATTTGGCTGGAATTTCTTTCGATCCGATCCAAGTCAGACTGCCCATGAAGCGAGAGCAAACTATTTATATCTTCATATCATCTTTCTGAGATACAGCAATTCAACAACCCCAACCAACACAGGATCAGGAACAGTATCCAAAATGTGTCTCGGAGAAAATCGCACCACGCAGTGCGCCAACTGCAACATCAAGACCTTTGAGAAGTTCATTTGGCTCGGCTGTGCTTCTGGTAAGCAAAGCCCCCCTTCCGACTGGACTGAACTGAATGCTACCTGCCCATCCACTGTTATCGACACGGTTCGTTTGAATAGATGCACTGGATGCGAGATCGCTCTCCGTGAGATGCAGCTCAACATTCCTGATCCTGCCAACAATCCTGGCCCTGCTCGATCTTTCCATCCTGAGGATCCCACTTGTTCTCATCCTCCCCTTCCCACTTACGACTGGTCTCAAACTATGGCTATGACATGCACTCCAAGAGCTGACACCCCAACTTCCGCTACCAACCAGTCCCCTGTTGACACCACGACTAAGTCTACTGACAAGCTCAGCAAGATCTCAAGACTTGGTGCTCCTCTCAAACGTATGCTCTCTCGTAGAGCTCGTACTAGACCCTCGCGTGCTTCAAGTCCCACTTCGAGTGTTTATCCTACTAGCTCTGGCAAACATCAAGCTCTCAACTCCGCCAGCCGCTCTGTCCCCACTCCTCAGCCCCAATTCATCCAAACCCCTCGAGGTCCTCATGCCAACCCTCTTCGCAGTAATCCTGTTGACCCTAACATCTTCCGTCCGACCAACGTCCAGGTCGTTCCTGAGTACTCTCCCAATCTCCCAGGCTATGAGCAATCTCAAGCCTCCGAACAGCCACCTTCCTTTCTCATTGCCAGAGCTGCTGACGATTGCGATCTCTGGGATGCCTCTACAGCCGCTGCCGACTGGCAGCGTGCCTTTCAGAACTATGACCGCGGTGTTCAGCCCCGTCTCAACACCCTCGTTGCCCGCGCCAATCGCATCACCACACCCAACACCGCCTTAAACCTCCTCTCCCTCATCGCCGCAGAACTGGACCGCATCCGCACAGACGCCGAAAGAATTGCCGTCTTCTCCTTGAGAACCGAATCCGACAACTTCCACATCCTGTCCAATTATGAAACACTTCTTACCACTGCTGACAGTCAAAACAGAATGCAGAGTAGGATTATAGGGATGGAGGAGTTGTATGGTAGGTTGACAACTAGTGCTGACTACATGATTCAGTTTGTCGCTTATCGTATGAATGCTTATCTCGCACACGCTGAGAAGGTTATTAGCGAGCTTGAATAGAGGTAGACGCTTCTTGATCGTTTCTAATCGTGTTCAGATTGAGTAGGGCAGGTTCCCTAATATATCTCACTCTTCGTTATTTCGTGAACAGGATAGAGCAGGAACTCTATCTGACGAGCAGCGCACACAGCTGCTGGCAATACAATTTTTACAATCATGAATCATCCGTGTCCATCATTCCTTCATCAGTGAACGTGCAAATTATCAAACAACATCGAATAGTCCCACTCAATTGACCAGTAAATAAGAAAGTGAACCAGATATCCGACCCCGTGATCCTTGCCTGCCCGCCAAGTAACTACCCAATCCCACATAAACCCACGGAATGACTTTATTCCCCGTAGGCGGTTCTATGGTGTGGTGGCTTGCCATCCACTCCAGTCGCATCGGTTCGATCCCAGGCTGAGCCGTCTACGACTGATCATTCCGATTTACCAATTGATCCGTGCCCGCTCGAGCGAAATAAAGACGGTTGGTAGAAAGGGGTGGGAGGTCTTTTTTGCCTTTTTGCTTCACGTAGAGGTTGTGATGATTTGACTTGGTTTGAATTGTTATGAAGGTGCGCGCCGAGGTTTGGTTTTTGCTTCACTTTGAGATGATTTTGGTTGTGATATGTGCGCCGATGATCATTCACTTGATCACACAAAGAAACATGTATGCAAGAAATAGTCAATGACAAAATGAGCCAAGTGAAACATCGTCAAGTGAAAGCCTCAATTCAGCCTCTACGTATACAAGCCCCCAAGTTGGATCAAATCCCTGTAGCGGTCCTATGGTGTGGTGGCTTGTCCTCCATCCAGTGCATCGGTTCGATCCCAGGCTGGGCCGCTACTGTCAATCATTCTGATTTACCAATTGATCCGTGAGTCGTCCGGGCGAATATAAAGACGATTGGTAGAAAGGTGTGGGAGATATTTTTTTGCTCGTCGTTGCACTGGACAGTGCGTCCGTCTAGCTTTGCTTGTTCTCTCTTTTGGCGGTTCTTTTAAGTGGAGGACATACTGAATTGGATCCCTCTACAATAATGAGCATCTTATGTCAAACAATCTTACCTTATAACATGCACATCAAAAAAACATGTTCACGTAAACGAGGAGGCACTGGCACAAGAGAAGTTGTTTTATGTTTTCATTGGATCAAGCTTACTTTGAGATTGATTGTGGTTTCTATTTTGTATGACATATGTTGGCCCAAGATAACAGAGTGTGAGATTGAATTGACCTACCGTAGCATGGAGAAGGTGAGCCTTTTCAATCAAATAACAAGTAGATCAAAAGCTACGCAGCAGGTCAGCTGTCTACCAAAGATTCAAGAAAGCTTCAGCAGCAGCAATGTCAGCGACAAACTCATCAGCCTCGAGCTGATCAAGAGCAGCAGCAATAACAGGCACATAGCCCGAAAACCTACCAACATTGTAATCGACATCATAGTGAACGTGGAAAGTGGTCAAATTACAGTACAACTCCATCATCTCAGCAGTCATGTCCTCGACATTCTTTGCGTTGATTTCAGCAGTAACACCAGTAATATTGAGGACTTCGGAAAGCTTCTCTTCAGTCTCAATAGCACGAGTGTTCTCGGAGTCGAGCCAGCTTTGCCAGCAGTCGCATTCGAGCATGATGAGCTCGATGACCTGTTTGAGAGCGGTGGCCTGAGGGGAGTTCTTGAGAGTAACAGCGCGGTCGATCAGATTGCCCATGGCCTCAGCGAACGGTCCAATGGACGAGACGGCACGTGTGTACCAGGCCCCGGTCATGACGGAAGCTCGACCAACAGAGTAGTAAAGGGTAGGAACAGCAGTAGAAGGATCAATGACCTCGCTGTCGTAGTCAGAGTCGGATTGAAAGCTGCGGACGGAGTCGGAGTCGGAGTCTGAGGAAGAGTCAGTGGCAAAGTCAGAGCACTCATCGCATCGAGAAATAATGTGAGTTGACCAACTGATGATAGAGTCTTCACGGGCGGCCCAGCCGGATCTGGCATGTTCACCTGTGGCACAGCCAAGATAAGCATGAATCTCCTCTTCAGAGCCACAGGCGCTGCATTCGACAACGACAATCGAGCCTACACACATGTTGAAGCGGGCTTTTCGAGGTGCTTGTGGATGTAGTGTTTTCGGTATGCTGTTCGAGTTCGTCAACGAGCTCTTGCAGGATAGTCCTTTGGCGATGGGTGACTGAACAAAAGATGACTCGAAAGTAGGATAAGTAGTCTTAGAAACGGAATGCGAATAGCATAAGACATTCGAAAAACAACAATGAAACCTCGAGGACAAAAAAAAGAAGCGAGGTTCTAGAGAAAGAGGCGTGTAGTCTCAAAGAAAGAGTGTTTCACACTGACAAGGAAGTTAGAGCGAGAGGCTTTGATACCTTTGTCCAAAGCTTTTCTGTGACCTTTCAGCGTACGGTGTGGCTTTGTTCGAGACGAAACACTCTATGTCTATCATCGAATATATATTCGAAGGTCTCAGACAAATTGGTCTCACCAGATCAGACATTCGCTTCCACTCTCCTCTCCACTTACCAAGTTATCCAATTTCGCTTCCAACCAACCACAATCATGACGACACAATACGAACCCAAGACCATCGGTCTTTTCGGATACTCTGTTTCTCTCAAAACACCGGACGCAAAGCTAGACTTGTCTCAGTGCAAAGTGCCTGGTGCATGGCTCGAAGATGAGCCACTCCAAATCCCTGGAGCATGGGTCGAATGTGATGATGATGACTGGTGCCAGCACATTCTGTGCTGGGTCGAGACTGTGTTCGGCTTTGAACATTACTGCAGCCGTCACAAGAACGAAGATGAAGTTATCGAGATCTTCTTATCAGGGCTGGAACTCTGAACAAATTATTACTTTTTTTTCTAAACCCTCTTACGTATTATTCTGTGTGCCTTTCGTTTCATGTGATTTGTGATGTCAGCAAGCTAAGACGTCCAGAATAGGGTGTATACTCTGCAAGAAGCTGCAATGTTTCAGACTGGTCAACAAGTCGAATCGATATTTGCCTGTTCTCTACTGCCAGCTGTTGGTGATGCATGAGGCTGTATCGTGTTTCTCGGCACCTCCTGATTGAGAAGATAAAGGTTACCTTTTCATGAGGATCTACAGAAATGGAACGAAGAAGCCAAACAAAGAAAAAGACTTTGACAAAGCTTTCTCTGCAATGAACAAAGAGCACAAAGCCATTGTCAGTGCTGAATCCTTTTCCGATATATCTCGAAGCGTGAACTCTGTCAACTTGAAAATCAAATCACAACACTAACTTACAAACTCGTGCAGGCACGACCAATAACTAAGTACAACTGATATCATGTGTGGACAGACTGTCATGGTCTACGAGTGCCGCTGTGGTCAAATTTCTAGAGAGAAGATGCCGCCACGCATCTGCAGGCTAGCTTGCGAGGTTCAGCAGAGTCCTCTGACGATTCATCTCTATCGGCCGTGTCAAAAGTGTCGCAACGCCAATCCAAACATGTCTCCGTACCTTCATCGAGAGTCTGCAAATCCGACAGAGCTTCGCAATAAGCCACTCCCAGGTATCCCAGGTCCTGGACTAGCAGAGGGACCGCCACCGAGCTACGAACACGTCTGTGAACACGTGCCGACTTATACTCGGGCTGCTGCTGAAGAGCGACCGGTCGCCTTTGACGATGTGATGTCCGCTCTCCTCAATTTTAACCCAGGCCAGGTCGTGAGCTCTTGGCACGCGTTCCGAGCATTGCAACTCTCGCTTCTATCTCCTCTTTGTGCGCAAGTTCAAGATCTCCAGCGTCGAATTACTAGGATTAGACCTCGAGTCCACCGACTTGAAGACATTGGCCAGTGTGATGAGATAATTATCAGGCTAGCTCGCGAGCAGAAAGTGCTCGATACTGCACTTCAGTGGGGGCAAAGACACCTCGATGCTGCACTTGTCCTGAAATATGGTTTAGACAAATCTCGTGACGCTGCAGACCAAGCTGCTCGAGCAGGAAATCACATCGAGGCCACCTCCCACGTCCGAGCTGCCGCTGAGCACGCCGACAAACTTCTTGAAGTTTCAATACAGCTGTCGAGGCCAGGCCGCCAGCCTCAACCCTTGCACACAAGTATAAAGACGCAGCTTGATGTACTTCAGACAGTCATCCAAACTCTAGGATCAAGGGCGGCATCGAGGGTATGGGCTTTTGTGCAAATTGTCTCTCGCTCCAACTACGAAGTCCACTACTAACGCTGATGCAGGCGCGAAGTATCTGTTATCAATGGCTTGGTGGTGGCCAGGATTACGGTTATATTACCTGTCAAGTCATCAATTTCCACCCTCTGGCCTGTTTAAAAAGAGTCTCTTGCAGCAAAACATTCTTCTTCTTCCAACGACTACTCCACTAACATGTCGACTTTCCCTGGGCTTGAAGAGATATACATCGCTCGAAACCTTCCTTCACCGACCTCATGAACGCAAACAAAGCCTTCCACCCGGACGTGAACGGCAAACTCAACTCCACGACCTACACGCGCGGCAACCGTAGAGAGCACTCACGTCTGTGAATCCTCATCATAACGCTACCTTCTACCCTTGCCGGCGAAGAACACGTCAGCACGCGTTGCATGCTTACCGTTGCGGAAAAGGTACCTCGCTGCGACACGGGATTGGAGAGTTGTTGTAATCCCGGTCATGTTCTCGAACTGAGCACGGGATAAAGAAGGAGGTGCCTGTTTTTTGAACCTACTTTGCCATATTAGTGTCGCCGAGGAACGAAAAGGTAGCACTCGTTGCATGCAACCCGTGTGGATACAGGTACCTCGCGGCACGACGGGAGTGAGAAGTTGTCGCAAGTCCGGTCATGTTGTCGGCCTTCACCTGCGACAAGAAAGAAGGAGATTCCTGTCCTTTGCATCATTCAAGTCTCGTTGATAATTGGGGCCCGACGAGGACACGAGGTAGTGAGTTGAGTACTAAAGTTGCTGAGATATCCTCTTAGTATATCTGGACCGTCGAAGGTGTTTGTAGTCAATAATCAATCTTCTGATAACATGTTCTCGCATCTGTAATAGATGACATTTTTCGATTTGACTAGCCAGTACGACATGTAGGTAAACCGCGGTGAGGCTCACTGATGGTAGCAGGTGGTTGAGATTCGATGTCACGATAGATTACTGCTCCATCATCGTGAGACACTCCTCTGCCAACTTCCTGCCTTCGAATGGAAGAGAGCTACGCTCGCTTCTCAACTCGGACAAGAACTGCTGCCATTCGTTCCAGTGTTAAATCATGGTCTGACAAGGAGAAGCCATGTGTCTGCCGCGCGTATTGTATCTAGATCCGCGCAGTGTCGTCCGCTTCTCGGAGTCCAGCTCCGCCTTCAGCCGACTTCCAGCAACCTTCAGCCAAGCATGGACTTGGATGATAAAACAGTCGAGTCCGGGACGTCTGGAGCAGATCAGGCTTGAAGCTGCATAGCCCCATCTTACAGGTATACCCGTGATCCCGCGAAGAAACATCTCAGCTTCCGCTGCGCCTCTGTTGGTGAAGTAGCCGTATAGCTTGGCTTTCTCCTCGGTAGGCCAATGTTCCCAGTCTGCCATGAAAGTGCAGCCTGTACAGATCGGACCACATCGCTGCCCAGCCAGGAAGTTGCGGCCAGTCTAATCTTTGTAATGGAAGCATTGACTGTATGGCAAGCAGGAGCTCTACTAGCTTCTGGCGATCGGCAGGCAGTTCAATCAAAGCTGTGCTTAGCAAGCCCCACGGTCTGTAAAGTGTTGCAAAAGTGTCTTGCTCTTGTAGGACTGGACTTGTGAATTTTTCCGCCGCTTGTTGGGCGTTCCAATCAACCTTTAAGTAGTCACCCAAGACTTTCGCCTCATCCGGGTGGCAACCGTCGCCAGCTTCAAGCTCTTCTCTCGTCAATGCGATTGGAAAGTCTCTGCCAACACGACTTGAGTCTTGGTGTCCATCATTATCCCTGGAGTTTACAGAGCACAACCAGAACAGGAACAGGGCAATTGTTTTTGAGATTCCTCAAGATCAGCCTATCTGTACTTTTGCGGTAAGCCTTTCTGTCGGGCCTTTGCCTCGAGATTTTGATCAATGAACTATGATTTCTTTCCAGGTCGAAGCATGACCATACTCTAAACATTCCTTGCTATCCATCAAGTTTGGAACACAATCATGTTCTACTTGAGGGCTCAAGATCTCTGGTATGACTGACCCATCTCCCTGCTTACTCTCATTACCTTCTGCTCGCTTGTCCTACAGGTTTCCTGCACCAATGCGACAGCGGTAGTAACGCTCGCAAAAGGGAATGAGGAAGGTGATGAACTCCACGAATCTTTTTCATCCTTTCCTTTATCCAAGTTTCGTCTCGTCTGGTATGTATGCACTCCTTCTTCTATTCTTGGTCTCTAGCTTGCAATGGATCGAGCCTATATGTTGCTCAACATATAGATTAATGGTGTAGAATGTGCTTCTCGTGGAAAGTGGCATATATATAGAGGTTATCAAACGGGGATGTGTTGTTTAGAACATATATCATGGGGTTATTGACTCTAGAACGCAGTTGGATTAGAAACGTCTATTTACATCGTTATATGTACACTTAATCTGCTAAATCTATCGTGTTACACTACAGCTCTCTAGGCTTAACGGAAGGTGCGAATGTTCTGTGTTAGACTTATAGGGGATCATTTGTTGTTGTACAACATTTCCGAAGCTCTGATAATCTTAAAAGCTTCTTCTGTAGATTGTACGTATTCCTAATACAATACTAAACGACCAACCAAGCCATTGTTTAAGACCCAAACCTAGACTTCACGATTGCCAGTCTAGATTCATCTCGATCACCATCTTTGTAGGTGAGGACAGGACGAGACAGGAAGAGATATCGATCAGGTTAATGATTTCCTTAACACTGTAGCATTATCCTTCGTAGCTCGATCCTTAAAGTGCAAGAGAGTCTAATGAGATGGTTGCCTTGCGAGGACTTACAGACCCCCTTCCCTTGTTCCGCCCTTAAAACTCCTAGAGCCTAAGAAGACATAGATCTTAGCAAGCGCGGTGATGACTATGTAAACATTGGCAGCTAAGAATGGAGGCTTCAGTATAGCATTGAGTGTTCCTTGTTTACAAACTTCTTAGCTATTCTCACACGACTCGAACTCACAATACTAGAACGAACTTACTTTAGATGATATCCTTATCTGATTAGTTGATGTTTGTACGACATCATGTGCACGACTGAACGTAATGTGAGCAAAATAGACTATGGTCAATCACGCCCCTCCCAGAAGTCGAACTGCTTAGATACAGCTGTGATAAGGCATACAAGTGACATTCCCTTACAGATTTTGGTTATCCTATCACTACAGTCGAGTCGATATTCGCGTACTCTGAAACGGTACCAGCTCTCATGAACATCCAAAATGAGGTATGGTTCAGCAAAGGCAAAAGAAACAATAGGTCAATAATTACCAACTCCCATGCTGTTACTCTCACATTTCTCCGTCAACCTCAGCTTGGAAAGCCCAGATAGAGTACATTGGAACGCGCATGACTCCACAGACCTGTGCTTCTTCTTTCTGTTCACCTTTGTCACCGTAGACTTCAGAGGTCGAGTAGTTGATATCTAGAAATTCCAGGACAGAAGCCTTGATGGCCTTGATATCGTGTGTGGGCAGTCACATCGCGAGAGTTGTTCTCGGCTTGCTGAGATTCAGCTCGATCTTGAAGAGTAGCCTCGCCACGAGTCTTCTGAGTTGTATCATGGGAAGAGTTTTGATGGGAAGTGGATTGAGGAATACCGGTTGAACCGTTGGTAGATTGGAGACCTCTGTGCTTGGCTGCGGTCGCTGGTGCCCTGCTCAGTGGCAGGCTCGCCCTTGATCTGAGGATCTTGCTGATTGTGGTGGACATCTAGTGAGCCGCCGGCTGCCTCGAAGAGATCATTGCCGCGGCCTGGGAAAGCCTTTTCCTTCTCGATCTTGTCCGCGATGTCATTTTAGGATTGAAGTTCGACAGTGGACTTGTCGTCCCCGGAGTCAGTGCCTCGAATTGACTTGTCGATCGACGATTGAGTGGTCTTACCATACATGTCCCAAGCAGTGGGTCGTATACGGTGATGAGAGTCGCGGCTCTCACCATGGCCTTGATGAATGGATATAGACGCGAATTTTGTGCAAAGCTGAGTACGTCGACATCGCTGGGCGTGTGACGTAGCTTCGTGAGCTTACGGCCTCGATGTTGAGTTTTGCTTTCAGCTCTGCTTTGATTTCGCTAAGGAGGTGGCGAGGTTTCTCAAAGTAGCAAAATTTGTTGGAAGCTGAGGTATACTTGCTAGGGAGTTCGTCGACTCCCAATCATGGAAGAGCTTGGGTAGAGCAGTCCGGATCAGAGCGACTCAGACGCGTCTTATATACAACACTGATCATGCTTCGAGGTATGCTCCATGTAGTTCGGAGCGTCGAAGCGCGTGTCCGTTTTAAACCTTGTTACTGCACGAGTCGTGCTGGGAGAACTCCGTGAATTTCGAAGCGGAAGGCAAGCTGGACATCTTGATCTTTCGTGTCATGAGGACGCAAAGGTCTTCACGGTGATCTACATGTGTTACTCATAGTGTAGTGTCAAGTTTTGGTGATCTGCTTGACGATTCTGCAAGGAGGGGCACGCTCCCCAATGTATAGCTCAGTCTGATGCGCAGAATTATTAGAATCATGAGAGCCTTGAGCTTCCGAACGCTGTATGCTTACCTAAGCTGTGATCATTGAACTCTTGGACATGGTTACCGTTTTCATATGATAGATATTGTCGACACGTGATTATCGTGGCGAGAAGAAGAGAGAGGAAGAAAGAAGAGAGGGTATTTAGAGTGCACACACGAGCTTCGGAAAAGCTTTTATCAGAACAATGATGAGATGAGCAACAGCCTCTGCAGTGACCTTCGCGGTATGATGAGCTAGAGATACTGGAGGTTGAAGAATTCTATTATATTGCAACGAACTTATAACCGATACCGATCAGGATAGAGCGACCTAAGGGTAGGCAGTGTTGCGAGCGCGACCGAACGGGGGATTGTCCTGAGGTTGATGGGCGTGCTTTGGCGGTGGAGAGCAATTCATTCATATAAATTGTAGCCTACATTTCAGTGTGATCTCAAAGGGTTTTCTCGCTGCGCATAATATAGAGAAACTGCTGTTTCAGGCTTTCGATGGCAGGTCTCACGTGTGAGATGCACCTATTCATCCAGAATACATTGCGGGTGGAGTCAGCCGTCTCCCCAAGGATGCAAGTGATTTTGTTCCAACTTCCTTGTACTCGGTGATCCTCGTATGCTTCAGATCATCGAGGAGGTATTCTGCGACATCTCTGGCCCAGACTGTATCATCTCTTAACTTCTCGAGCATCTTAGGCCCGCTCCTGTCGAGCCATCGCAGCGGCTCATGCTGTTCCTCTGGAACACCTTCCCATGATTAAGGTGCGTCTTCGGGGTATTGAACGGCCTCGTCGACGTCCTAAGCAGAGGCTGGAGCCTAGAGCAACATCTTCACTGTTGACCTCGTACGGAACACCAAGTGTTGGGTGATATCTCATGGTCATTTCGTGTTCATAGTCGTCATGAAAGCGTAATATAGTAGCGCGGTTTTAACTGTTTGACGGGACCTTGTTCTTTTGCCTTGTCAACCCACGCAAGATTTTACAGGCGCCCTTGGTGATTGTGAATCGCTCTTCCAGCCATTGGATGGCGACGTTGAGTCGCTTGACAACCCCAGAAGCTTCTTTCATCTCCACCGCCTTTCGTGCCTTTGTTTGATGGAGTATCGGTAGGCTCATAAGGACCTTGGATACCTCGTGGTTGTCGTGATGCAGGCACACCTTAAGTAGGTTGAGGTAGTGTAGGCATCGGGGATAGTTTGCCAGGATATCTTCTGCCAGTAAGACTTGCTCCAAGCGGAGTTTGCAGTGCAATGATACGAGTTGTCTTGGATCTTGTGATAGGCGTTGTCACACCGAGCCGGCGATGATGTTGACCTATCCTCCACTTCTGGGCTCTAGAGTCGTCAAGTGTAACATACAACATGCTTTGCTTGAGATTCTGGCAGAGCAGCATTTGGTGGCCCTCATATTACTCCTGTCATTATCCTAAGCGGTCTCGGTGATAGCGTAGACCCTCCGATGAGGCGGGATTGGCTTTCGAGCCTTGATCCATATATGATGTACTCATGCGCGTCGAAAGTCTCCAGACGCGCGTCGCGACACATCAACATTCGACCTCTGATCTTTCCATGTACATAACACAACCAATTCTACATCAATTTTCTCCAATGTCGTATCAAAATGATGGTAGAGAGACCCCTCTCGATGTTCGTATAGCGATAATTACCGCTATCTCGTTGTGTGGATGGTCGGCGAGCCGTTTCGCGCGCGAGGCCGATACGAAGATTCACCACTCCGTCGTCTCTTAAATCTACAACCACGCAGTTAATAGTGCTTAGATTGCTCTGAAAATTGAGTATGTCCCTGCCTGGCATATCCTTACTCAATTCGCACAACTACTGGCCCGATCCGGTCGCCCCTCGTCGTTGAATCAAGACCAACATTCGTCGCTTCGCTAGGCGTTTTTGGATAAACCCTACAAGAGTTTCGCAGAGGTTGCTTAAGACTCTTAAAACCTCCCTATCTTAGCTAAAACAGCATAAAGAATTGCACGTCAACCCTCTCCTAGAAGGCCCTATCGAATTGTTAAGAGAAAGAGACCTAAGAAACCAACTCTGAAGCTAATAGACGAAAAACTACGCCAAAAATACTCCCGATGGCTTCTTAATACTATTAAAGGGAAGAAGGGCTACGTACTACTTCGTAGAGCTATTTTTGTTATGTTAGATGAGACCCCTATTGCCTTCGGGGGTCCTACTCGCTATGTAGAATATCTCTCTGTTCTAGAGGGTACAGATGCTAATAAAATGCCGCCAAAACAAGAGGATTCTCACCCTAAGTTTACTCTTTAAGTTCTAGCCGCCTGTTCCACTGATTTAACTATTAAAAGGCCTGTCAAATGCTTTACTAAGGAAGATTAAATGGAAAAGGAAGATATAGCAGGTAAACTAAAGCGCTGCCATGCACAGGCTATTAAAGATTCTAAGAAGCTTATTACTTAAGCTAAAATCAAAGGAACGGACGCCTAGAAAACGGTTAAAGAAGCTAATGAGCGCATGTATGCTTAGCATAAGAAGGATCTCGAGGAAGGCAAGAAGAACACACCTAAGACTAAGCATAAGTTGAAGCTAGAGAAGGTCTTTAAGGTGGATGAGAAGATGTTTAAAAGGACCGCCAAAAAGGGAATGGATTTCGCGTAGTATTGCTACAACTAGCTACTTTTAGATCTTTATCCCTACTACTATAGGGTAAAGCAGGCCAATCCTAACTGTGATGTCTACCTTATAGAGGACAATTTAGGTGCTCATACAAGGGCAAGGGAATTTTTGAAGGGATTTAAGCTTTAGGAAGGGATTCTCTTTGCACTACACCCTAGCAATAGTCCTAACCTCTACCCTATCGAAAGGGTATTCGATGCCTTCGAGGATGCCTTATAAGGCTACAAACTAAGTAGTGCATTAGATGAAGCAAAGGAACGAGCTAGAGAAGCGGTTATCTAGCATTAGAAGAACGCCGAAACGTTCGGGCAACGAATGGAAGACATGACGGATCTAGCTAAATTGGTCAAGAAGGCGAAGCTGTGTATCGCTGACAAGGGGGGGAACAGTTTCCATGGGTAATTACCTACAAAATAAGCTATGAATTGACTGTATACGACTACTAGTTGTTAAGATACTCGTCGTCGAAGAAGGGGGGGGTGAAATTGCGCCCGACGCTCGGACGTCTGGAGACTTTCGACGCGCATGAGTAGGGCGAGGCTGTTTTCGATGCCTTGATGGGCCATCAAGTGCATCAAACGGGGAGTTGCTGAAGGACCCAATTCTTCATCTCCGCCATGCCGACAACTTCAGTGTCAACTGAGATCTCAAACAGCTCTAAATGTCAATGATTGTGCTTTCGATGCCAGTAATTCATCTTCTGTTTGGTTTAGGCCCGTTACGGAAATTGTTGCGCGGATATGTGCGCTTCTTTATGTTGTCGATTGCCATGTTACCATCTTGAGCCTTACGTCCGATGTGATCGTTGAACATCTCCCGGACGATACAGTGTCGACTTTCGAAATTCGATCCTGTGCTGATAGTACTCAGGGCAATCTTCAAGGTCGGCAGAGAAAAGTCGCGAGATTCCTCCTTCGGTCGTGCCCTGTCCAATACGACTACCACTCTCGCTATGATCAACGTTGGCTGGCGTCAATTCACACAGTAGGGTCTAACAAACAAATCTATCGCAACGAAGCAGTAGTCACTGCGAATCTGGCGGGTTCGACCATTTGCCGCATTCATCTCTCTTATGCATCTGTTTATGATCATGATGTTGACGCGGAGTGTAATGAAGCAGTCTCCACCTGTATAATGCTTTATATAGGCCTCGACTTCCTAAAGTTGTTCGGCAAGTCTCGAGAGAGCGGTTTGATTATTTCTATTAGGAGCGAGTCTGAGGGCCCAGAGTCTTTAAGAAGCTAATAGAAGTCTATCGTCAAGCGTTAGACGAAAGAACAAAGGTTGCCTGCTGGAGCTTTTAGACATTAACAGTATAAGTCTTCTTGCCTGGGGTTCTCCTGAGCCTTGCAAAGCGCGCAGCATTCCCAGTAATTAACTACCCAAATGACTAGCTTTGAGGTATATATACAAGAGTTAGGATTGGCTGTATTCTCAAGGTAGGGTGAATGCCTTCTTGGTCATATAGATTGATTACAATTAGCCGTATCTCGTTCCTTCATTAATCTACCAAAGGGGAAGGACTAGTATCTTCTTCTTGAGAACCTTAGTCTGCACTGACAGTCGCAGATCCCTTCTTTCATCTTTCTGCTTGCTCTAACGATATGCGCGATGCAGCTCTCAGTAATCCCTCTTCAATGGAATTCAATGGCTGGGTACTAGCTCGAGTTCTGTCAAGAGCTGGAACGAAATCCGTGGAGCAAGACACAGTAGTGAAGCTGCTGATGGACCTGTTCAAAGCGATGTAGAAACATATAGTAGCCTGTGTGACGACCTCAGAACCAACAGCAATCGTTGTGAGTGGACACGCTCTACTTGATAGAGAGCATCATCTGGTGGCCCTATTAATACTCTCGTCGTTGCCCTGGGCGGCGCCGGTGATACCGTAGATCCTGCGATGAGGAGGGATCGCCTGTTGAAACTTGGTGCCGTATCTGACGTGAGGCGGGACATTCTTCGATGCCTTGATACCGTACTTGGCGTGGGGAGCGACTCCCTTCAATCCTGTGCAAAGTGCTACAGTAGTGTGAACATTGAGGCCTGGGGTAGAACGGTCGGTACCATACAGAATGGCAGCCTCTGTGATCGCTTTGTCATCAGCAGCAGGAGTGACTGTATTGTGAAAGTGCTCAAGTGTAGTCGAGGGGGTATTGGACAAGAGAGAGGGGCGGTTTGAGGGGGTTAGAGGAACCTGTGACCCAATCCAGCTGCTCCCCTCGCCTGAGCTGCTATGCTTAGGTGCCTTTTCAGAAGTGACCTGGTCGATGTAGTTTCTCGAGAAGACTGGGAGCTGGTGGATGATCCACCACTGCATTTCATGCATGGGAATCACTTCGGAATCCACTGAAATACTGAATATTTCAGGCGGACATCTATTATGTTTGTAGTGCTCGTAGTCCAGCTTTTCGGTGGCGTTTGGTCCACGGAAATTGCTTCGAGGATACGTCGCCTTTTTGCGGTTGTTGATGGCGATCTTACCATCCTGAGCTTTACGGTCGATGTGGTCGTTAAACATCTCGCGTACAATAGCGTGACGGGTCTCGATCTTGAGCGCGTAGTTCTCCATGTAGTCGCACAAATCGATGGAGAACAGCTTTGATATGCCACCCTCGGTCGTACCTCTTCCGATCTTGCCTCCGCCCTCGCTGCGAAAAAGTTAGTTGATGTTCACCAGAATGATTGCGCGACGTGGAATACGCACAAGTCTATTGCGATGAAGCAAAAATCATCGCGGATCTTGCGGGTACGACCGTCAGCGGCCTCCAGACGGTGAATACATTGGAGAATAGCCTCCACGTTCGCGCAGAGTGTGATATGAGAATCTCCTCCGGCGCAATGTCTGACCGCTGCCTCATTGCGCTCTCGTTGGACCTCTGACTGGCCTTCGAGCTCGTTTTGAGTCGTGTATGCTACGCCCACCATGTCGGCAGCTTCGCCAAGGTCTGTTGATAGATTAGCTATTGTTCTTATCTTGAGAAAACATCTCTCCTCACTGTGTTTTTCTTTGCCGGAAAAGCCCTTTGGGTATCTATCGCGAAACCACTGTTGGACGTCGATGACATATGCGAAATGCTTGTTCCTTGGATTAGGGTCAGTATTGTACGACAGGACAAGGGAACTTCTCTTACGTGTCAATCTCTAGTTCGATCATTTTTGCCTCGTCTCCACCCTCTAAGCTTCCTCTGTCCCAATACAGGAGGCAGTTCTTCAGCTCAGGAGTTGAGGTCGAGTCCTTGGGATCCTCTGCTGTGATGATGTCGACAAAATCAAGAAGAGGGATGGTGTCCTTTTCGGTCACAGCATACCCCCATGGGAGGAGAGCTTTCTGCGCAGCCTCCTTGCCTTTTGACTTGTTCTTACTTCTGCGATAGAGCGGCATGATGAGTTTGATGGATCTGTGGCTTGGAGGAGGGTCGGATGAGAATGAGTTGCGTATGCGGAAAAGGTGAGACAGAAGAGAGAAGCAAGGATATGCGTCGAGAGAGGCTCACTTGGGAACAATAACAATCGGGTGCGCCTCGCTGGCGCCGGGGCTCGGGACCAAGCACCGGGTCAAAGCTTTTCCCGGGTCATCGACGACGACATCATCGTTCCGAACAAGAGTCGATAGCCAATCATCTTTTCTTGTCCTGTCTCATCGACTTGCTTAACTCTTCTACCACGTTCAAGTCTGCAAACTCACCGAAGCTAATTCCTGCTCCTTTCCTAAACCCCTGTTCGTTTCTTTGATCCTTTCATGCGCTTCCTCAACGACTGACAAGGTCACTATGTTTCTTTGACAGCATGCATGATGCAATAAAGAAGTTGCTGATCTTCGAGAGCATGGTGTTCCTTTTGCTTGGCCAACACTGCCAAGATATATATACCTTCAGCACGATCCTGGTCTTCAAGAGGTCAACCACGTTGCAGATGACTTGCCCAACCGACGAATCGGCTATCTCGCCCGACAATCAGTGGATCGCAGTATATACCAATGGCCTGGACGAAACCTGGGTTGACGTCGAACAAGGAGTACCAAGCGACATCGATCATAGTGCTTCCGAAGTCGCTAAAGGTGCTTCCACAGCCAGCCAAACCGCAGTCTCGCTCAGAACGCTCAGAAAATACTACTTGAAGGAGACATCGAAGGCTTGCCGTTGTTTGCAGATTTGTTTGCCAGCTCTGTCTTCGTGCCATCTCCTCCTGAAAATTCTGTACCTTTACATGCTCTACTCTTCCATGAAGAAGTGTTGGTTATTCAGCCCGGCTAGGTACTTCTATCACTGCTTTCGATGACAGTTGAGTGGGATCTCTAGATGAATGGCGTTTGGTTATATACCTTGTGCGTTTTCCGTGGTGGGCCCTTACCGAGGGTCAGGATGGTTTTTGCGTGCAGCCTTTGCAGGGTATATAGCTCGGTGATTTTTGCTTTTTGTAACGCATAGCAATACCCGATGAGAGTCTTTTCCATGCTCTTTCAGCGGCAGTCAGATGAGTGATAAACAGAATGTGAAGACTGTGCTCCGCGTCTCAGAGATCGAGGACGATACTCGCAATGCTGTTTTGAATATTTCGAAACGGACACGTCTCAAGAGCGAAACGGAAAAAAAAAGGAATGCAGTAAAAGACCGGAGGAAAACACTAGTGTGGCAATGACTTTGGCCCTTGCCATTCGCTGAGTAATCCTCACGCACAGTCGAGCGTACAGCTTGGCTTGAAATATGCTCTGTTGAAGTTATCAGAACCAGAAACACAACAATTGCCTATCCTATTGAGAAGTCAGAAAGTCTAGATTCAAGCGGCAGAGTAGTCGGGGTGTTGGAAGATACGGGTGTACGAATGGCATCTTATATACACACGCTCTTACGACAATATCTATGACTTAGCAGAAGATGCTGTTTGCTACAATCTCTTTCAATCGATGCATAGAGATCCGTTGTAACAGAAAATGCGTTAGATTGAAACTTCTCAAAGAGCACCAGCAAGCACGTAAAATATACCCACAAAGCACTTCGATAAACCTTGCTATGGCTTTCTGATACAAAGATCTTTGGTTATCATAAGAAGGAGGAAACTTTCTTGAATGCGAGGGGCCATTTACTTCCGCCGCATACGTATTTTCGGAACGAATACAGATTATCTCTATTCAAAGAATCCCGTCTCCCTCGCCCTTATGGTTCTTATACTTTCCACGTCTAGAAACGAAAGAGATGTCGTCTGAGTGCACCAGCCTTAGAAAGTTTAACCTTCACCCGATCCAAGATGTTGTTTATTCGGCCCTGGAGCATGTTTGGAAAAAGCTATGACAAAAGCATGTTCATTTAGGGGCTTCTTTGAGAGGTCTACGTTAGAAGGGTGTATGGATTTAATGAATTCTTTGTCTGCGACTGGAAAGAGAAAACCTCCAGGCCTTAGGTCTTTCTGTTCTCTAGATAAGAGTTTGACGGTCCAGGTGATCCGATAGTGCGTGCGGAGTTGATTGATAAAAGCATTCTTAAGCTAGCTGCGATTATCAAACTACCACATTCTTTACCAAGACTAGCCCTGATACAAGTAGGATGGGCAAAATCAAGGTCATCTAAACGAGGGAAGAAGAAAAAGTGGCAGAGATGTAGAGGTCAAGAAGACGCTCCGGAATAAATGTCAAGCTGTCAAGATAAGATTGCAGTCGAGTGACTTGAGAGGAGATGGGCAAGTAGCTATGAAAGAACTATCTAGCTTGGACTAAATCCAGTGATCAGCCATGGTGCTGATAGCAAGATACCATCCAACTCAAGCAACACAACTCGCCTCCGCTTAACAAGAAGCACCGCTAGGAACACCCTCACAATCACTGCTACTCTTACCACCGGTGATGTCAACACCACTCCAAGTCCAGTCACTGCAAGAAGCGCAAAGGATGTAAACCTCCTCAGCATCAGAGTCCACAGATCCAGTAACGCCATCGAAAGTGATATCAGTAATCGGGACGCCAGAAGTGGGTTTTCCAGTGGGCGATCCGTTTTCGTAATCCTGCTCGACAACGATACCATAGTCCGAGATGCCGGAAATCTTGTTGTTGGTGTAAGTGACATTCTTGACGGAACCGGTGGCGTCGTAGACGGTCTTGATGCGGAGGCCGTTGGCGGAGTTTGTGACGGTGTTGCCGGAGATGACGATGTTGGCGACGTCGTTGTCGTCGCGGCCGCCGACACTGCCGATGGAAATGCCGTGGCCGCCGGAACAAGTGTTATCGGAGAAAGTGATGCCGGTGCCTGAGTTGATGGCGAGGCAGTCGTCTTGGTTCTTGACAGTGCAGCCCTTGATGGTGACGTTTTCGGACTCGGAAACGTCAAAGGCGTCGGTGTTGTGGCCGCAAGCTTCGCCGTCGCAGTCAGTGGCATCTCCATCAGTGTTGTCGATGGTGATATCGGAGATGGTGAGGTCGGTGGCTTGGACGGAGAAGGCTTGGACGGGGGTGTTCTTGACGTTGAGGCCCTTGATGACGGAGTTGCCGGTCAAGGAGTGGGCGTAGAAGAACTTGGGCTTGGTCTTGCCGCCGTTGGTTCCTTCGCCGTCCCACCACTTGGCGCCGTTGCCGTCGATGGTGTGGCCTGAGGCACCTGTGATGGTGACACCTTTTCCGCCAGCACGGATCAGAGGGCCGGACCATTCAGAGTACTCAAAGGTGGTAGTACCAGCGAAGGTGATAGTGGCACCGTCGGCAGCGTCAGAGAGGTCGAGGGTCTCACCAGCTGGGACAGTGATGCCACTGAGAGTAACAGTAGAACAGTCGGCGATCTGATCGGCGACATCGTCGTAGGAGGTGAAAGTACAGCTACCACGCTTCTGCATAGCAGGAGCGGCAGCGACGAGGGAAGCGCCAAGAATGGCGGTGGAAAGGAAGTTGACCATGATGATGGATTGAGAAGAAAGTGTTGCTTTGGTGTGATGGAAAAGGCAAGAGATATTGAATGAAAGACTTGAGTTAGGACAGCCTGCTGACCAGAAGAGATGAAAAAGAGAGACGAAGGATGATGAACGAAAAGGGAGACTTTGGGAGGGAAGCCAACCACATATATAGGCACTTACAGCGAGTAGGGGCGACCAACTCTACAGTCCCACCGTGAGCAGTCCGAACATCCGATCCCAGTATGTTCATGCTTATAGATGAAACAAGAAGTAGTTGTCGTACCTCCAGCCCTAATTTCTTGAATCTGATCAAGAAGTCTTGTCGAAGCTTACCTGGTCGTAGATCATTGCTTGTGCATTTGCTCGCCGTCGGACAAAGTTTCCCCGATGTGACCGACAATGCTATTCGTCGACCACTATACAGTAGGAGGCGACCTGCAGCGCTATTCATCTCGAAGCCAATCTCAAAAGGCCGATTCGTGGGAGTTTTTGAGAATACACAGCACGTGTCGTCGAACCCCGCACGATGTCTGGCGCAAAGATCAAGCTTGGTTGCTAGGCGTTTCCAGTAATCGATTTTCCGCAATGTGCCGTCGGCAGCGGCGCGATACCCAGGGACCTGAAAATGTCGCTCCACAGTCGCCATCAAGTCCATGTTGCTAATTGATGCTGCACGCCTAAATCGAGGGCTCTTCCCATCAGAACATTGCAAGATTGGACAGTTTTCTACCACCAGCCAACTCCCATCTAGACTTCGGCACCTCATTGCCGGTGAAACCATGCCGAAGATGTTCAATAATACGGATCGTCCTTCGAATTGCCCAAAGATGTAAAAAAAGTAGGGCAAGAAAAACGCAAGCAGAAACAAAGCAGGAGACGTCGTCGTCACCCATCAAGTTTCAGAAAAAGTGCGCCGAATATTTTCCGTCGCGTGGGGTAAAGATCGGCGGGGGGTGGGTGCTTGAAACGACATCGCAGCGCAAAAGGTGAGCCGCGTACGCTTCCGATAGGATACTGTGACATGGGGAGGATGGTGAAACGAAAAAAGAGGTAATAATATCGATGGATGCATCTAATCTACAAGATCGATTTCCCATATTTCATCTTTCCTCCTTAGCCATCCAGTGGCATGATAACAATAACGTCCGTCATTTCTTCCCGCACGAACACACACTCAAGCAGCCCTGGCGGAATCGAGTCTGGTGCTCAATTGCTCAGGCGAAGGCTTTCCCGCCCTGGTGACAACAACAGCATCAACACTTCCAGCACGAATGATCTTGACAAAGGTAGGTGAGACTTCTGCGGCCATGAGCTCCAAACACTTCAGACCTTCTTCTGCGGAAAGAGGACTGCGCAAGGAGTTTTGGAGGTTCGATACGAGTGTTTTGGTGGAGAAGCTGGCTCTGGCGCGACCGGCGGCTAGGTTATCCAGGACGTCGACGATATCGGTGATGCGATCTAGAGCTGAGAGGCGGGCGAGTTGATCAGGAGTAGGGCCGTCTACTTTGTTGAGGTTTGCCGCTTGCTTGGCAAGGATGCGGTCAAGGAGGCTGCTTCCACGACTTGCGACTGCGGCGGCTGATTTCGCAGAGTTGTGGACAAGGGGTTTGCGGGAGGCCGATTCGGCTGCGCGGGCAGCTACTGCTCCTGCTTTCAAGTCTTGAAGGCGTTCTGCGCCCTTTGACATGTGAGTGTTTGTGCTGGCTGCGACTTGGCTCGTGATGACTTCGCATCTCGGAATGTGTGCCAAGAAGCCTTCGATGTTTGATCTTGCTGTTGGTGATGAGGCAGTCCATTCATTCCAGAGTGCTGACAAACGATCCTGGAAGAGTTGGGTCATCTCGGGTTGGTTGAAGTGGCCAGTCGTGCTCCTGTTGGACTCGAGAAGCTCAATGCAGAGGCTGCCTTCTCCATTGTCGGCCAGCTCGAAAGTGTCATTCTTTCCCAGGACACCGAGCATGATCTGAAAGTCGTGCTCCGTGACGGCTCTTTTCTTCCATGTTCTTGTAACATGTGGTAATAAGCTAGTAATGTACATTGGCGTGCCGAGGCCATTGTGAGAGGCGTAGAGGGATGTGCTGGAGAGGAAGGCTCTGAACAGCCGCGTCAACTCTTGTAGTTGAGGTGGAAGGTCGGTGGTGGGTAATGATGAGCCGAGGCTTCTGAAAGCGCGAGGTGTGAGAGGAGGTGTGTCGTAGACTGTTTCATCTTGTGTGGCCGGAGCAGAGGCAACATTGTCGATTATCAAGCGTTCGAAGAGTTTAGAGGCGCTCTTTGACGGTGTCTCTGCAGGTGTTGGTGGTAGAGCATTTCTGAATCTCTTGTTCTGTGGTGTTGTAACTTCCTCTTCCGTGTCTCTTGATCTCTTCTTTGACTGTGTCGTCGTTGTCTTCACTCCCTCCTCATGCCTCGTGATGTCCTTCTCGGGAGAAATGGTCGTATCGTTTGTTGTTGATGATAATGTATCAATGGTGACTGGATCTAATATCTTGCGCTTCTTCGCACTCTTGTCGACAGGCTGGCTCTTCGTAACGCGTCCAAAGCTCTTGATATTCTGGTTGGTGTTCTGTTTGCTGGTGTCGGGGCTGATGGCCTTGCGTTTTCTGGTGACAGGCATGATAGTGAATATGGTATGATATGCTCGATTGATGATGAAATGGCGTGAATGGGGTATGATGGTATCAAGCAATGGTAATATTCAATGCATCTATATCGATAAAGGATGATCAAAACAAAGGGACGTGGTTGCGGTGGCCCGGTGATGCGCATCTTTTCGTGTTTGATGCGCGATCGCGTAAAGTGTTGCCAAGCGTTCGGCGATCATCTTCGACGAAGCCAGGGTCATACCAACTACAACCAATTTTTGATCACCATCGACTGTATAGAGCCGCCCAACACATCTGATACTCTCCAAATCAATTCAATGTGTTGTTTGTATATCAGAAGATGGCTTGGAGTAGCATGATTCTTGTTATATTGCTCTCATGACTTGCTAGGTACTAATTCATGTTTCTTCACAGGCTTTCCCTGCACTACGTCCAAAGAACAACGCATCTCAAATCCGCTGTTTTCAACACACGCATGATCGTAAGTCGACACAAGTCAGGATCATGGTCATAGAAGGTGTGCCTATTTTCAAGACCTTGAGGGACATTGAAATAATGACAGAGAAAGACACGTAACAGGATGAAAGTGGTAGGATTATTATTCAACTGTCATTCCGCAACTGGCGGTGGGGTTTCTTTGATAATATTATACAATCGCTGAAGTGCTTGAAGAGAAAAGTTCATGCCATCCGAGACTCATTTGCAAAGTTGTTTAGCAAGCAAGCAGTTTACTTGCCGCCGAACCAGCTGGACAAACCGCTCTTGGCCTTCTCAGCGTTGACCTCGGCCGAAGCCTTTGCGTTGGCGGCGGCATCACCGACCTTCTTGTCAAAGGTGTCAACGGCGCTGTTAAACTCCTTGTTGGCCTCCTTTGAGTACTTGTTGATGTTCTTCTCGGCGTCGGCGCGGTAGGTCTCGAACTTGGCGTCAAACTCGCGGGTCTTGTCGCGGGCGTCCTTGACCTGAAGGTGGTGTTAGGAATTGATCGTGGATAAACAAAGCTTCCATAAACTTACAGCGCCATCAATCTTCTGGCCAATCTGCTCGCCGTAGACCTTTGCCTCGGTCTTGAGCTCCTTGGCGCGGCCGGGCAGCTCATCTCTTGCTGCTGATGAGAGGCGGGCGGCGTCGTCTGTGAGCAATGTTAGTAGCTGCAGCTGAAGTCATACAGCTGAGATACATACGCTCAATCTGCTTCTCGGCGACCTTGGGGCTACCGCCAGCTCTGTACATGTAGTATCCACCGAAGGTGGCGGCACCGAGGCCGGCGATGAGGGGAAGACGGGATCTGGCAGCCATTGCGGAGGTGTTGTGTGGTGGGGGAGGTTGTTTGAGAGGGTTGAAGAAGTGGTTGATTGGTTGTAGAAGATGAATTGTGTGAGAAGAAGATTGAAGAGGCAGGAGCGGCAGTATTTGTTTGACTCTCTTTGCAGAAACAGGGAGAGCTCCAAGCAAAGAGAGTTCGGCGTGACGCAATATGACGTATGATTGGTTCGAGAGGCGCACATCTCCCGTCTCCGCAATGATCGACGCCTCGACCTGCCCGTTGCAATCGCAGACTCGGTGATCGCGACTCGCATCGCAGAAGGCGCAGAGCTGCCACGACACTTGACAGCTCAACAAAGGCAACAAAGCCATGTCGGCCTCCCTCTTGCATCTTTACCCCGGGAATGGCGATACCTGAGAACCATGTCGCAACAAGATCCGTCGTCCGCCCTCACCTCCCGAGACAGCTCGGCCACCCTGCCTGGCGCAACAACTCCGCAGCTGCCTTCGCGTAGGCACACAGCGCAGCAGATTACCCTCGTCGATCGCACAAACCCCGATCGCCCCGAGATACAGAATCCTGGTGAAGTCCAATACGACGACGACATCACCCCTGAGAATGCTTCTCTGTCTAGAAGATGGACCAAGCAGTCGCTGCAAGGCCACGCCCATTCATTGCAGGGCTCGGTACAGAACCGCATGACATCGCGCAAATATCGAAATTATCGTGAAGGAAGATTTATCGGTCCTGAGGACCCAGATAACCCTTGCTCGGCCGACGAACTCTCGAGCAGTACGACCAATCCTGGCAAGGTTGCACGTGGGAAGAACAGAGTACGGGGACTGTTGGGAGCTAAGAAACAAATGAAGCTGGCGTTGGAAGAGGATGCTGTCATTGATGTCTTGTACGAAAACCAACGAGGCTGGTGGTTCTTTGGCATCCCGCATTTCTCTTCAAAGACACTACTTAACTTTGACCCAAAGCCATGGTTGAATGGTCACAAGAAAACAAGCCCCGTCAACATTACAAACGCTCAAGTCCCAGATCCCAGTTGGGAATGGGCTTGGAAGTCTTGGTATGTCGACATGTCGCGCGACGTCGACGAAGAAGGCTGGGAATACTCGTTCTGGTTCAGTGATGGCACAGCATGGCACGGCACACATCCCTGGGGATACTCATGGGTCAGACGAAGAAGATGGCTGCGGAAACGTGTGCGGAAACAGCCACAGCAGGGCGCCCAACAAGGTCATGCCTTCACCTCGGAATACTTTACCATCCATCGCCCCAAGGCCGAAAGCAGATCTAGCAGTTTTGTCTTTGACAGCGTGGCCAGACAGAATCTGGCCACAGCGGAACACTACCTGGAAGACCCTGAAGATGTTCGAGATATTGCATCTCTCCTGAACAGCTTAAAGAGAGCTGCGATTGACAGGGAAAAGATCGTTCTCGTGCGACACTTCATCGACAATGGTGGTGATGACCTGCACTACCTTGGCGAGCAGGTCAGTTTCCTTCTTGGCTCTTTCCCCCATCGAGTGCTAACAACATTCTAGATGGAAACGATAATGGCTCTTTGCATATTCCAAAACTCCCGCCGTTACATCCTGACAATGCTTTCCGAAAAACTCACAGCCGCCGAAAAGTCCCGCGACGAACACACAGCCCACGACGAAGAAGTTTCAGCCCAAGAACAGCAAAAGATTACGAATCTGGAAGCCGCAGTCGGAGCAGCAGACGAACAAGTCAAACGCCTCGAATACTGGAGCGACGTCCGCGACATGGCCCGCTCAGGCATCACCTCCTTCGCCACCGACGAAGACAAATGGGGCTATTCTCGCTGGCGCGGACTAGACAGCTCAGGCCCCGAAGCAGATTCCCAAAGCACGGCCAAGGAAAAAGGCAAAAGTTGGAAACAGGTCAAGAAGGAAGTCGACACTCAACTCAAACCCAAGGATAGCAAGATTGATGCGCCGAATGGGGACAAGAAGGAACTTAGGGTTGGAGAACGACTTGTGGAGTCGAGTGAGGAGGGTAATTATACCACTGCTGCTGAAGATGTTGGACCCAAGGATAAGGGAAAGCAGAGGGCTGAGTGATTTCTTTTGTGTGCGATTTTTCTCCTCCATTGCATTGCATCACATCGCTTTCTTGATCCTTGTTTCCACTTTTGTACAGTAATACCACGTCTTGGCCATATGTCGCTTGCGAAACACATTGTAGTCACAACAAGAGATCATTGCTGCCTTTATCTCACAGTCAAGTCCTTTGCCATCCCCAATCGCTTCTGCACAACTTCCTGCCCAACTCCCATTTTCCATCCCTTACCACACGCCTTGTTCCTTTTCCAGCTGTCATCTTCCCCATCCTTCGACATCCATCATGCAAAACTTTCGCTGCTAGCCTTCCCACTCTTCCAACCCCCTTTCCGATTCCATGTCGTCAAGCGAAAATATACACGATATCCTACTTGATTTATTCCATCATCTAATAGAAACGTCTGTATATATATTACTTTTGATTGCTCTTTTCGTATACATACTTCTAGACGATCATCTGTTTTATTCTTACTTTTATCGAGGGTGAGAGGTTAGCGTCAGTGTCACATATACGGCAAAACCCCGGAATTCTTAGGGTGGAAATGTAGCACTTTATCCCAACGTCCCGCGCTCCTATTCTCAAGCTAGGTACCCGTTTTTGTATATTTGGGTTTCGCCATTTTCTTGTGGGGTTTTCTTTTTATGCGTTTGAAATAGGACGAGCAAAGAGGTGAATGACAAATGATAGGATAGGGTAAGGAGATTGGATTTTTTTTGTTGGCTGGTTTTGGACTGTTTAGATCAGATGGAGATGGAGATGGAAAAGGAGCGTGGTTTTCATAATGGAGATGGGATTTTTTGCAGGTATTTGGGATAGAGCGGTGAGGGGGGAAGGATAAGGATGCTCTCCGTGCATGTCTCGAGATATCTGAAGGAGTTTTGCGTTTTGATATGTACGTTTGAGACCAGTGGCAGTGAGCGGAGTTGGAAGGAAGGAATGTTGTGGTAAGTTCAAGAACTTCTTTGTTCGCCGTTCGCCTTTGCTTGCTGCTTTTGACCTCTCTTATTCACGGTGCTGGACGGATGCGTCACTGTCAAAATGCAGCTAGGTTTTCGAATCGGTCTAGATGGCCTTTGAGAGTAAGGGGGAAGAGGACTCTCAGCGTACAGTTAAACAGACTCGAATATGTTGTTGCATCTCGACAACATTGAAAAAGTATGCTGCGGCAACAGAGAGACGTTTCAGGCGAGATTGTAAAAGCACAGCACAATGAAATGCTGGGTATAATGCTTGTAAGTTCAGATTCTCGCTTTGGTTTGATTGGACTTGTTGACCTTGTTGTCTTTTCTTGACTGCTTCCTGGGTATTTTTCGGGGGTATTGGAGTTGCCTTTGGTAGTCGGAGCCATTTGGTGTATTGTGAGGATGTCTTGAGGAGATGTTGATAGTCTCGTGTGGAAGGTCTTGATTGGAGGAGGTACTAGAAAGAATTGAGCCATCCTGGTCTGCTCCTGCTTGTACGCTCTAGGCGGACCCAGATCTGTGGTTTCATCAGCCTGAGTCAGCACCCATCTATTCTATGCAGTCCTGTCCGGCGATTTATCGCACTTGGTGCACGACTTCGTGCTGACGGGCAGATCGAGGATGTCGCACTTTATGTGCATTAGGCGACATCTGTCGCAGCCGATCCTCAATTTGTTCTTTGTGGCTTTGTTGACGTTTTGGTGATCGCCCTCAGGTGAGGATCTAGCCGGGGGATCGTTGTCAACATCATCAGAGCCACCGGACGGGAGGCGGGACCGGTGTCTGGCCTTCTGAGAACTGTGCTACGATCACGGTAGACCCGGGTTGCGGGCAGGGGTGGACGAGAGCGACGAGCACCACGCTCTTGTCCAGTGCTGTAGGCGAGAGCATGAAATGAGTGGGCAAAAGGATCAAGGACGGACTGATAGGTGTGGCCAGTAGCGGGGCCATAGCCATTCAGCATGTGGTTGTACCAAGCCATCTTACATGCCACCGCTCAGGCCACCATTGTTCATCTGGTTGGTATAGTCTTTGTGTTGGGGTAACCAGGCTGATTCATGCTGGATTGTTTGCTATCTTGTCGACAATGCAGCGAGAGCACTAGGTCTGACGGCGTGTAGAGAAGCAGATAATGAGGGCTGCGCGCTGAGAGTAGAAATGGTCGAGGAAGTGTTGCTAGGACCGGCGACCACAGCATAGTTGGAAGGCATGGATACCTGGCCAGTGCTGGTAGAGTGATCGGAGGCAAATGGATCGTCTTGTGAGTACATTTGCTCAGCTATGCGAAAGCCCGCTGCACCCAATCTCCTTTCTCAATAATCACGAAACACACTCGAATTTCTTGTTGAATGATAGCAGAAAGCAAAATAAAAGAGACGCTTGTTCAGAGGAGCAATCTGACCTTGCGGGCACCCGAGACGTGCAGAGAATCTACCAAAGATCTTGAGCAGGTCTGTGATACCCTTTGCCACAATTTCATCTCCGAGACGCGATACTCGTGGATGTAGGAGAGGTTGGAAGCTAACGAGCAAGCGCCACGCAATGGAGATATCAAGAAGGATCAAAGACCTGACCGCTCTCTTGAACTCTTGCAGCTTAGCGTTGAAGTGCCTGTCTTTCTCGTTCGGGAAGAACTTTTAGTGCCAGATCCTCTGGAACCTTACAGGTTTCAGCACACGCCATGGACTAGTAATGCTCGTTGGTCACTAGAGAGGTCAGTGAATACACCCGAAATCCTTTTCAAAATCTCGCATCAATGTCCTGAACACCGAACCAATGGCCTTTAGCCAGCCAAGAAAATCCTAGATGGTAGCAAGGCGTCTGCGTCCTCCGACTGGTCAAACATTGTACAGTATCTGTGCTGACTGTGACCAAACACTTCGACCCGCGATCGCATCTCTGGCAGTTATTCGGCAGTGAAGTTTTTCCACGCGATCTTACAGATTGTGAATAGAGCTGAGGAGGTCAATGATACATTGTCATAGATACTATTTCTTGACTAAACCCTGACAAGCAAGCTTTTCCACGAAAGGATCTGTGACAGTAATAGCAAATTTCCCGCAAAAAGATCTGTGACAGTAATAGCAATAATTGATCGAGAATCACGAAGTATCACTGACCTGATTGATCGTACCACGTGTTCGGTCTCCTCCCGAAGCAAGATTTGGAGGTGAATAGGCACGCTTCATCTATAATCCATCCATGCTGTGGAAGAGACAGTTTCGAAGCTGGGCAGGTTTAGGAAATAGATTGGAACGTAGGTCATATACCCGAGCAAGAATGCTAGGTGCAATGCGGGTAAAAGAAGTGAAAGGATGATGAGCGGGTAAACTAAATAGCCCGTTTGAAACCCCACAAAAGCAAGTGCAGACCCATCAATGGCGTCTAAGTTTCTGATAGCCACTCATCCTCGCCTTGACGATGCGATTGGCGACGAACAGCACCACCGCAACGGCAGCCAGCACGCCAAGGAAAGAAACCGAGACCCCACTCAATGGCACCATCTGCGTGACCCTACTGACCAAGCCAGCAGCCCAGAGATCCACAATATCTGTTTTGCCCAAGACATGGCCATCTGAATCCAATGCCTCAACAATGAAATACCTCATAGACTCTTTGTCAAAGTCCTCAGGGAAGGGGATCTCAGTCTCGAAACCAGTTTTGTCGGCTGTTGCAACCACTTTGCCAGCTTCCCCATCGAGCAAGAAGCGCAGTTGCCAACTCTCAACCTCAGTCGCGCCATTCCAACTCACAAACACCGAGGTCTTCGCGATGCCAGGGACAGAAGAAGGAGGATAAGAAGGTTGGCCAGTCCAGTGATACTTCAAAGCGGTATAACTCTGCACATGTCCTTTGCCAAATGCGTTTTCTGTGGTGATTCGAGAATCACACAGCAATGTGCCGTCGGCTAGATATTCGGTACAGACGCCTGTGTAGCCGAAACCTATCAAGACGTGAGGGTCCGAATCTGCAGTGAGGTTCGAGGTCACGAGTTGCATGCTTCCTTGGCTGATTGAGGGGATGTGCAAAGGGTGTTCGTAGGATTTGACGAGTTTGGCTGTCAGAGGGGCATTGGTGGAGACTCCTTGGGAAGGATAAGTGAGCTCGATCAAGATGCCTCTGGCAGGACGTGAGTCAATCCCATTGTCGAAGGCGGAAAGCAACTGTTTGGTAATGCCGTCCTTGTGCTTTGCAACTCCGTGATCCGAAATTTCCTTGGCAAGCAATTTCGGGAAAATAGTCAGAGGGTGAAAGCGAGCGAGATGTTGGTAAGCCATGTTCGTCGCTTGACCATTACTCAAGTCAGAGAAGGAGTTACGCTTGCCGCCAAGAACCCAGATGATCTCGCCGGTTTTGCCATTGATGTAGGTGATTGAGGAGGTAAAGCGGGCGGAGACGAGGTAATTGCCTAGATGGTCTTTTTCCACACTGTTGATGTGATACCAATCGTATGGATGATCAGTAGTGTAGCCATCTCCGCCAAGAGGAGCGTAGGACTCGTTGAGGTTGTGATGTTTTGAAGCACGCCATTCGTAGACCAACTCTTGGTTCGCAATGTCGAATTCCTGGAATAGGCAATCCCAGATCCAGACGGTGTCTTTGATCTTGAAGACACCGGGCTGGTTGAGAGGGTAGATCTGGTAGAAGGTGACCAGGGCAGTGCCTTCAGGTGTGATGGTCAACTCATGTAAGTCTGCACGTAGATTGTTGACACCCCTAATGCTGGCTATTTCCTCGTACTTGTTGTTGAGGACGTAAAAGTAGCCCTCTCCATGACCTCCGACAGCGTCATCGCCGACCCAGTAAGTCAAGACCTTTTCTCCTTTGTACTCTTGGACTTTCAAGTTGTATGGTTGACCCTTGACGGTATGCGACCAGATGAGCTCGCCGTGATTGTCCAGGATAGTGACGGCAGGGTTCGGCACACGGAAGCCACGAGGAGCGAGGAAGATGTAATTGTCGTCATAACATTGCGGCGAGTGGACAGCTTTTCTCACGGCAGGAGAAGTGATGTTGGCCGAGCGGTACGACTTGAAGGGGTATGACCCATATTTGGACTCCCAGACGTTTGCATCGACAGTCAAGGGATTGTATTCTCGACCGACGTCGTTGGCAACGACTATAGCGGTAAGCAGGTATATCAAGGAGAGCGGTCCGAGAATCATGGGCGCATTGTGCTGAATGAAGCAAGGCTGCCGGTCTACCGTGATACGAGGACGCGACGCTTTTCGGAAGAATAAAAGGATATAAAAGAAGAATAAATCAGCAAAAGGTTATCGGAAAAAGCGGGGGCTTATCGGAGTGCGGGCGAGTGGAGAGCCAATGGGGAGCATGATGAAGCACATCATCCAACAACTGCCCGACCGACAAGTCCTGGCTGTCTTGTTGTTTTCACTTGTCCTCTCCATCTAGACCCGTCTCTCCGTCGTCGTCCTCTTCAACATCACTGTCAACCTGCCCTCCAGCCATCACGAAGGCTACAACACACACAATGCCTGCGCGCATCTCGCCACCTCCCGCAGCCAACGGCAGCACGGGTTTGACCAAGGAACAGCTCGACTTCTGGAATACGAATGGCTACCTCCTGATACCTGATGCTCTGAGCCCGGAGACGACAAAGTCATTACTCGAAGAGGCTTATACCATGCTTGATGGCTTCTCACTCGATGACCATCCCATGACCAAGTTCAGCACCGGCGAGCAGAGTGATCATGTCGGCGACGACTATTTCCTCGAGTCCGGCGACAAAGTCCGTTTCTTCTTTGAAGAAGGTGTGTTCTTACTATCCCTCTCACTCCTTGGCACACGTACTGATTCACCCCCAAAGACGCCTTCGACACTGACGGCACCCTCACAAAACCCAAAGCCAAAGCCATCAACAAGATCGGCCACTACCTCCACGGCCTAAACCCCAAATACCGCGCCTCCTCCCTCTCCACCGCCAACGCCGCAATCGCCAAAGACCTCGGCTTCACAGATCCCCGAATCCTGCAATCCATGATCATCTGCAAGCAACCCGAAATTGGCGGCCGCGTTCCTCCCCATCAAGATTCCACTTTCCTCCACACCGATCCTCCTTCCGCCGTCGGCTTCTGGTATGCCCTCGAGGACGCAACTGCAGAAAACGGCTGCCTTTCTTTCGCAGCTGGATCACATCGTCGCGCTCCCATCCGCAGTCGCTTTGTCAGAAAGTATGAAGAGGACGGTACAACACCCACACCAAGCGGCACCGGATTCTCGGAGAACGAGGCTTCACAATGGCCCGCTGGTCTGCAAGAAGACACTGAAGTCAAGAAGGAAGTCTACGAGCTCGGTGAAGTCAAAGCCGGCACTCTGGTTTTGATACATGGAAACCTCTTGCACAAGTCGGAGAAAAACACGAGTATGAAGGGCAGAATGATCTATACTTTCCATTGCATCGAGGGTGGGAATGACTATGATGACAGGAACTGGTTACAACCTCCCGCCGAAGGTTTCTCCAAGCTCAACATGCAGTCATAACCACGAGGCCTGCCTGCTTATTCATCAAGATAGGCAGGTAAGATGAAGGGACATTCTTGTTCTTTGCACGCGAGACTCCTTTGATGCTACATACATCTTTTTGTCTTTTCTTCTTTTTCTTCGAGGACCTCGTCTTCCACACTTGACGTTAGTGACCAAACTCTCCTTATTCTCGCTCATTCTCCCACATTCAGGAAAGTGCAAAGGGTGTAATCAAAACCCAGCCCATGATCTCACTTTACCTCACAATTCGCATCTAGGCTCGCACATAGCGTAAAGCTTATGTTTTATACCAGCCCCTCTAGTAGCAAACAACCCCCCCTATCGCCAAGAAATCCTGGTGAGCGGACCATATATCTCAGAATCCGTGTGTCTTTTCTGCCATGCAAAAAAAAGGGGATTTACTACGGCAAATGTGCCTATAATCTCCTTCTATAGGATTATACCTCCACCATGCCCCTGCCTTGCATGTGCATTTTGACAGTGGCTGATTTAAGAGTTATGCGCCCTGGCTCGCGGAAAAACTTCTCCAAACACTACTTTGGTTCAGTGCTCTGCTCTTTCTGGGAGATTTTGGGACTTGCAGAACTTTTTTGGTTAATGTTTTGATATCTATCAACACCATTTTCATATTTTCTAACCTCTTTTGACCTCGAGTTGTTGGAGAAAANAAGTCTTGTCATAGCCAAGTTGTCGCCAGGCGAGATCTTTCTCGACCGCCAGACGGAAAGAAGAAATGAAGGGGTGTTTGGCGGTGTAAGTTTGATGGGCCAGGAGGTCAGATTGGAGGATTGTGGGGAGAGGGGGTTTAGAAGGTCGAATTGGTGATGGTGATGGTGAGGTTTCCGTGGTTTCCTGGGTGAGAGGATCCATCGGTGAAATCGGTGATGTTTGTGATGTCGGTGGCGGAGTTGATGTGTTGGTCATGTTGGAAGTTGCGTAATCCGGTGACACTTCTGTAGGGCACGGTTCTGACTTCCAAGATGTGATTGGTATCGTTCCATCGATCCCCACAGCGACCTTTGCAGCAAGTGCCTCGAAGCGTAAATGTCGGCTCATTCCCTTTTTACCGCCAGTCTTGACTCTCTCGACACCCGACCCATCCACTATGACATCCTTCCTGCTCTCCGCAGGCAAAGCCTCTGCAAAATTCTTTTGCATCTTCTTCATAAAGCCATGTGACACATTTCCTGTGAGGCATGCATGTCTCCACACGACGCGTAGAGTGTTATACGCTCTGCATTTCCAAGCGACCAGTGCGAATTGGTCGAAAGTGTCGCGATCAGGGGTCAGGTCCGTGATTGTAGCTTCCAGAGCGCGGACGGAGAAGGCCAAATCGCGGTATTGCGCGGCAGCACCGAGGAGAATATGCGTGGTGACCAGGTTCGGTTTGCGGTCTCTGTCGCCCAGCATCCGCACCATATGCAAACAATCCTCCAAGTTCCCAGATTCGATTAGTGAAGTGAGGATTTGATTGCAGGCCCGCGTGTCCAGCCATTCCTTACCTTCCCACAGTTTATCGTAGTGGTCGATAAAGTCAAAGATGGATTCTCCTCTGGCCAGCCATTCGGCGGCATCCCTTTGGGCTGTGATGTTGGCTATTGCGATTCTGGATGCTGGAGAGTCAAGCAGATGGCGAGACCGCATGGTGTTGATGACATACTTCACATTCCTCGGACTGAACTTTTGGATCAGATACAGCAAGGATGTCCAAGTCGTGACATCGGGTGCGACATTCCTGTCTGTCATCATGCGAAGGAGGAAGTTGTAAGAATGTAGGTCTAGTGCTTCAGAGGCGGAGTGGAGGAGGACGTTGAAGATTGCTGGGTTTGCCAGAATAAGAGATAGAGTTGGGGTGGCTTTTGAACGAATATCGATGAGGTCAAGGATGCGGCGAACTTCGGGAATTTTGCGGTGTTGGGTGAGGTACTGGAGGATTTTGACTGTGGCGTGCATGGAGGCGCAGGGGATGATTTTGGGATCCACGTAGAGAGATGTCAAGCGCTCTGTGACAAGATCGATATGTGGTTGCGATAGTGGTGTTTCAGATGGTTTTTGGTGGCGAAGAGGAGGTGTGGTCGAATTGACGAGATCTTCGACGTAGCCAGCGAAATTAGGAATAGACCAGATCTTCGGTTCTCGGACCTTCGATAACTCTTTCGAGGCCGTACGGCGGCTACTCCAAACAGAACGAGGAGCAGCTTTCGTCATTGGAATAGACGTAGCAGTAGTCGTGTAACTACCCATACTGCCCTTGTCGTTCAAATCCTTATCACTCTCCAGCTGCACAGCTCGATCAAGAATCCCCTTGGCCAGCCTGATACTCAACACAGTCCCCGAGATCTCCAGGGCCGAAAATCTATCATCCTCATGCCCATCGCTTCTGGAAATTTGGACATGACATCCAGTATGCAGATAGACGTCCAGAAAAAGTTGTGAAATGTTGCCGGGATAGAAGCCTCGCATGCCTTGTGGCATTTCCAGTCTCGCCAGCTGTTTGACATGATGCCGCGCATCTTCCAGAGTGTGTTTACGGATTAAAGCCAACGGAGTACGCCAATCATGTGCGTAAAAGGTCTTTTCGCGCAACTCCCTCCGTTTCGTCTCTTTCAATCGTCGGATCTCCGGTGCTCGCTTGACAGAACCCGGTACGCGCCTGACGAAGCGCTCTCCTTGTGATTTGCCATCCGATTTCGTGTCCTCTGTTTGTACATTCCCTAGCTCTTTCTGCCCCTCAACATCCCGTTGCCGTGTCGCAGGCACATCTCCGGGGATTGTCGCACGCTCAACCTCCACAGCAGCACTCTCGACGGAAAACCAGCGCGGGTAGAGAAAAGGCAGCGGCTCATGTGGCGGAAATAGTCGCGGCCATTTCAGGCGTGTTATACGTGGCGGCATTCGCTCCTTTGCTGCATATCAAATAAAAGATTGGTTTTCGTAGGCACGTCGCCAGCGCAGCCAGACATTCATGCTTTCGGAGGTTCTGATCTTTCTCCGCAAATCGCATGGCCCGATGTTTATCCGGCTGGACACCTTGATCGCGACTTCCCTTTCGAGATCCCATGGGAGGATTAAAGGTTCTCGGAAACATCAGAATCACATCTCTTCGCTTGATCCTCCGTCCCAAACCTAGATTACACACCTCCCTCAACACGCACCAATGGATCCAAACCCCGACACCCCCAACACAACCCCAACCCCAGGTCTCTTCCGCTACGTCCTCGGCTTCCTCCTCGTAGGCGCAGCATGGGGCCTCACAACCCCCTTTATGCGCCGCGCCGCCGTCGCTTCCTCATCTACCGCAAAACCTGACTCTCGCGCTTGGATCGATCATCCCAATACGCCCTGGCTGAAAGCAAAGGTTTGGGGTGTGTTGTATGGTGTGTGGGATGTGCTGAGGAATCCGGCGTATGCTGTACCGTTGGTCATCAATCTGACGGGGAGTGTGTGGTTTTTTTTGTTGATTGGGCAGGCTGGTGAGTTTTTGGTTGCATGTGTTTTGTCGATATGCTCGTGATTGAGATCAAGAGGAATTGGATGTGTGCATGGATGGCTGATTCTCGTGCATTAGAACTCAGTCTCACGGTGCCGATTACGAATTCGCTTGCTTTCTTATTCACGGTGCTGGGAGAGTGGTGGGCGGAGAAGAAGGTCATTACGAAAGGTATGTTTCATGACATCTCTCTAGGACTTGTTCTGTGCTCAGATCTGAGGTGGATGCTAATTCGGTTCAATTGTAGATACGTGGGTTGGTATGGCTCTCGTCCTGGGAGGTATCGGCCTTTGCGTGCATTCCAAGAACACTTGAAGGACAGTAATCAAGCGTGGCATCGCATAGCTTCATTTTCAAGTATATACAATGAGGTTGCTTTCTTCCCGTCCTAGACAGTAATCATCACACTGGCATTCTTATACCAACTCAACAGAGGGTTTTCTCCATTTCTGGTTTGCGTATCCTCCACATACGCCCATCTCTTGAAAAAGTCCTCATGCTTCATTACCCGTGTGAGTTTTCCAGTGATGGCGCGGTAAATAGCTTCGTTGACCGCAAAATCAGTGGGGAAGAGAATATCGAAGAAACCTTGATGGACCAGTGGTGTGGTGACAGGAACCATTCTTCGTTGATAGCGAGTCTGCACAACCGGCGCATTGACACCTTCCACCGCGTCCGGCAGAGCGTGGAAGTCGCTAGTGACCAACTTGTGCGCTGGAAAGTACTTGTGCAGAATGTCGAAAAAGTGCATCAGGCGTGTAGGGATGTATTCTGGGGTCGACAAGTTTGGAGAAAATGGCAGTTTGCTCTTCAATTTTCGGAGCATGGCTGGAGAATTGCGCAAAGGGTGGTTATAGGCAAAGGAACTGCATGCAGCATCCCTCACCCTCAAAAATCTGGAGGCAACAGGATCGATGTCCCTAGAGTAGAATTCGTAGAAATCGCCATTTGCATCGATCAAGGCGGATCCTTGGAGTGGTTCTTCGGTGATTGGGTCATAACGAATAACGTCATGGGCAAAATTGTCGAAGACCTCCATGGCGAGGAAAAAACAGGGAGAGGCTTCATAGATATCCCAGTCGAAGATTGATTTATTGATGATGGAGACCTTGTCTGCGTGACCTTTTGCTTGGGCGTTTCTCATGAGTTGATTGCCTTGGATGGACGCAAGAGCAGAGGAGACTTCGATGACGCGGAAGCGAGTGCGAGCGTAGACTTCTGGGTCCGTTTGGCGGATGTAGTCGAGGATGTTCATCATGAGTGTTCCGTTACCGGCACCCATTTCGTAGATGAGAAGGTCGTGGTAGGGGTATAGCTGCAACTTGTAATTTGCGACCAGGTGTCTTGCGATGGCTTCTCCATAGTAAGGACGGAAGAGTTCGGTAGGAGTATGCCATAGTTGGCGAGTCTCGTTGTATACTTTTGCATCTAGTTGATCCTCGAAGTCATTGTAGCGTTGGCCATATTCGCGGTAGAAGGATTGTTCGTCGGGAAGTTGGTTGAAGTCGAAGGGTTCACCAGGAGTCCAGATGACGACGTGTTTGCTGAAGTAGCCGTATTGTGGGTTGTAGAGAGAGTCTTCGATGAAGTCGCGCATCAGCATGCGCACTCGTCGTGGTCGTTCCTTTCTTGCGCGAAGGCCATCGGATGTGACTTGGGGGTATCTCTTGTATTCTTCTAGCTTGTCCGGAGGGAAGGCAAGATTGCGTTGTTGCCAGTTGCTCTCAATCTTGCTCTCTTCCTTCTTGCGACCCTGGTAGTTGGGGCTTGTGTATTGCTTCTCGGAGCTGTAGAGCCGGCGAGGGGCATGGCGAAGTTGACGACCGAGACATGTTCGGCACGGACGATGTTGAAAAAGCTGCTTGAACAGCTGCGACACGGCGGCAGACTCCATTGCTTGATGAACAACAGGCAGGAACGACGGTCGGTCAAGAAAGACGAACAAGCTTCTTGGACGCTCAACATGTGGCTGTGCGGATGCGGCCGTGGCTGAAAGCTGTGGCTGCTCTTTCCCGACACTGACGCAACTTCCTCCAAACTTCAAACGAACATTCCATTCCAGCATGTGACAATGTCCAAATGTCGCTCGATCAGCACACGAAACTTTACCTGAGTCTGGCCTTCGCTGCCGGTATCCTGATCACTCTCGGATACAAAGACTTCTACCCCGATCTCGAACGTCGCTATCATGATGGCCTACGAAACAATCGAGTGCGCCGCCGTTCAAGCACGCAGGTCTCGCTGAAAGTCGATGAACCTCAAGACGACTCTCCTGCCGCTCCTCTACCGGCCGCTGCTATCCGTGAAGGTATTGAGGGTGGCATTGGCAACACCCCACTGATTCGCATCAAATCCTTGTCTGACGCCACAGGCTGCGACATTTTAGGAAAAGCAGAGTTCCTCAATGCCGCTGGAAACTCGCCCAAAGACAGAGTCGCCTTATCCATGATTCAGATGGCCGAGGCCGAAGGTTTCTTGACACCAAACTCGGGCGACAAGGTCTATGAGGGAACTGTTGGAAGCACTGGCATCTCACTAGCTGCCATCTGTCGCGCAAGAGGTTATACTGCACACATCTGCATGCCAGATGATATTGCCGCTGAGAAGTCGGATCTGCTTTTGAAGCTCGGTGCTGTCGTTGAACGTGTTCGACCTGCTTCTATCGTAGACAAAGGCCAATTCGTCAACATGGCTCGCGCTCGTGCTCAACAACACACCGCTGATCCTGATCAGAAAGGTCGAGGTTTCTTCGCCGACCAGTTCGAGAACCCCGCAAACTATCTTGCCCATCTCCACGGAACTGGTCCTGAGATCTTTGAGCAGACTGCCGGTCGGCTCGATGCTTTTGTCGCTGGTGCAGGCACTGGTGGCACAATCTCTGGTTGTGCTTTGTATCTCAAGCCTCGCCTGCCAAACATGAAAGTAGTGCTAGCAGATCCTCAAGGCAGCGGTCTCTACAACAGAGTGAAGCACGGTGTCATGTTCTCACCAACAGAGAAAGAAGGTACTCGTCGTCGCCATCAAGTTGACAGTATAGTCGAAGGCATCGGTGTGAACCGCGTGACTCACAACTTCGAAGCTGGAAGAGAGTTGGTTGATGATGCTGTCCGCGTTACTGATGATCAAGCCATGATGATGGCTCGTTGGCTGGTCGAACGCGACGGACTGTTCGTGGGTAGTTCCTCGGCTGTCAACTGTGTCGCTGCTGTCAAGACTGCTATGGAGCTGGGACCGGGACATCGCGTTGTCACTATCCTTTGCGACTCTGGTACTCGCCATCTCTCCAAGTTCTGGAAAAAGGCTGGTACTATTGGTGGAAACAATGAGATGACCATGGATGATATCTTGAACCCCAAAGTTTTGGACCCGTGATCCTGAGGCATCTTCCTGCCTGAGCTACTGTCAGCCACGATGATGACAACGTTGAGTACATTTGCGATGGTTGTCTCACTTTTGCACCCGTCCATCTATTCTCTCCCCTACTTGAGAATTCTTTTTCTTCCTGAAATCAAGTCATCCATCTTACACTTTTCAGTACTTGTCGTCGCAATTCACAAACTTCAAGATGATAGCAGCAACGACAGCGTCTCCAAACTTCCAACATCTCTACGATAATCCCTTCCTCTCCGATGTCACTCTTAGCTTCGGCGACCACCTGATCAAGGCACACAAAGCTATTCTCATTGGATATTCGAAAGTGTTCCTAGCAGCATTCACAAGCAAACTGCCAACCACCACAGAGGGTGTCTACGAGATTGAGGGCCATGACTCTGATCTCGTCCTCGACATGATCAAACACATTTACGGCTTTCCCGAATGGACCATCTTGCCGCCGCTTCCTGAAGAAAAAGCTCGCATCTACTATCTTCAAGACATGTTCCTTCTTGCCAACGAATACGAGGTCGCGACCTTGAGTGCATTGGTCGCTGGAAATTTTGGCGAAATGCTTCAGGACTTCCGTGTGGACTGTTATGTTCACTATGGTCGCGAGGGAAGAGGCTGCAGATACCTAGATACCTCGAGCAGCCGTAATATATCCATGGTTGTTCGTGAGGTAGCCGAGCTATATCACGACAACAACATTGCGGATAAGTCGCTGATGCATGGCGTTCTTGACGCTCTGCTCGATATAGGTCCAGGCTATGAATGGCTGGAGGACTGTCTGCAGATAACGGATCTTCTGCAAGGTATGGATGAATTCCTCGCGGAATTGATCTCACGCTCGAGAGGGTAGTTACAGTCATTTTCATTATTTGACACCAGTCACGGAGTCGGTGAGGTTCTGGTTGCCAAGGCCCATACAGCGAAGCTACGCACAATGTGCGCACGTTTGCGTTTGCAATCACTGTTTGGGAAAGAGCAGTGCGGGGCTTCTTGCCGATACACAGTCTTTCAGTTCCTTTTCTCGTCTTATAGCCCTCTCTTTTCCTGCCTTTCTTCATTTCTTCGATACTACAGCCAGCCATCATTACTCAGCAGAAATGACCTTGCCAACAACTGGTGGCGTTCTTGCTCGCTATCCACATCTTCACGACAGCTACAATGACCAGAAACTATCCGACATTGTCCTTTGCTTCGGCGACGACAAGATTTACGCTCATAAAATCATCTTGAAGGGTGTATCCGGAGTCTTTCACACAGCATTCAACAGCCAGCTGCCGGTTGCAACTCAAGATACCTATCAAGTTGAGGGCTACTCAGGCACCACCGTCCATGCTATGCTTCAGCATATCTACGGCATGACCCTCACAAGCAAACCAACGGACATTACTGCTGGTAATGAGCTTGACCACCTTTTTGATGTCTACCTCATCGGCAACGAGTATCAAATTTCGTCACTCTGCGAAGCCGCCGCCGAACGTGTAGTCAAACTCATGGAACCATGTACTCTGGATCGCCCTTTTGGAAGGAGATTTTCCGCCGAAGGGGAGACGGTTCGAGCCATCATCACCAAGACAGCAGAGCTCTACAGCTTCCATGAACTCGCATACACATCACTGCTCGATGCAGTCATCAAGGCGCTCTTTCATAAATTCCCCAGCATGGACTCGCTAGAACGGCTCCTCGAAATCTCTGCCCTTCTGGAAAAACCTGAGAAGTTCAGCGCACGCCTGATAAGATGCTTCTCTCGAGGTAAAAGCTATCAAGGCTCATAGCTATAGGCTCTTAAAGCCAAAAGGTGTTCTGTTGTCTCCTACGCAAATCCAAAAAATGAAAATTCCATGCTCTTGTATTTGCAGATACATAGTCAACCTTACCTTGAAGACCATCAGTCCCGATTCTAGAATAACCCTTGTCATTCGTTCACGCTACCGCATCATGTCCTCGCGCTTTAGATTCCTAGTGAGGAACAGTCTGACCATCTCTTTGAGGTTTTCCACATCGCCAACGAGTACCAAGTGCCCTCTCTCGCCGAGGCCGCTACCGCACTGATTGTAGACCCGATGTTCGGATGCAAGCTCCATCCTTCCACGGGCTAATTTCGCAGTCTTTGGGTGAAAAATGTGTTCACGAGGATCATTGCAAGAACAGCCGAGCTCTACATACAACACAATGTTGTCAACAAGTCATTGCTGGACAGAGTTGTAAAAGTTGGTCTCGAGATGACGGGGTCTATCGAAGGTCTGGAGAGGGCCGCGTCTATCTCGAGCATCATTGAGCCTCTGGACGTTTTAGTGGACGGCTGCTACGACATTCGGTGGTTGGGAAAGGATTCTGAGTGATGTGCTCTAGGTGACCGATCATGGCTGGGCAACACAAAAGCTGCCATGTCTTCTGATAACTAGAGCTGGGACTGGATGGATATCCAAATGGATATCCAATGGATATGAGGTTGGATATAGGTTAGATATGGATATGACCCTATATCTAGTCCAGTCCAAATCTAGTTGGATATCTAGTCTAGTGTCTTGGCAGGCCCAATTAGGCAAGGTGACTGCTAAGAAACCTATGACTTAATAGACACCTTGCCCTCAGAAAAACCAACTTATTTTGTACAAGTTACAAAAAAACTACCTTTCTACCCGAGCCTCGATGACGCATACGAGACTAATGTAATAGGGTCTAAACCCACATATTTCGTCGAATAGGAGCTTTTGGTTGTCTCCGGATCTTACGAATCCGCCAAGAACCTACCACTTCCTTCCCCTTTCGGCAGTTAAAAAGTTGTAACCCCCTACTCTAACTGTTAGAGCAGCGTGTTATAACTTTCGATCCCTACCTTCCAAAAGGAGTAATTAAACTTGTTTAAAACAACATGGTTAGAGATTTAGTAAGGTGTCTAATGCAAAATAGAAGAACCCTGCCGTAACTCGAACTATAGCAAATTCTTGTTACCTAATGCAGTAATATCTAATAGATATAACTAGATATAACTAGATATCTAGTCTAAGTAGATATCTAGTCATTACTAGATATTAACTAGATATTGTGGACTTAGAAACGGGGTCCTCTAGATATAGATTAGACTAGATAAGTTAGACTAGATATCTATCTAGTCCTATCTCTACTAATAACGATTAGGCATACGATCGGTCCTTATTAGGCGTTTATCTTGTAGCATTAAAAGTTGCGTAAACTATTTACGTGCTTTATTAGATTATGCTAGCATAGGAAGATTAACCTTACTTGCAAGCGTTTAAATTTGTCGAAGGCGTAGTTATAGAGGACCTAATTAGAGGCTACCTAATATTAACAACGTTAAGCAAATTCTCGCATCCTATTTTAAGCGGTAAAAAGTTGAAATAATTCGTGCAAACCTACATAAACTACTCTTCCCTAGTAATAGGAAGTGCGGAAGACCTAGAAGGTATACTATAGAAATTAAGAGGCTTATAGTAGAACCCCTAAACGAATGGGCAACTCCTTGTAACTTAAATTAACTTAATTACATAGGGGTTAAGAGCTAACTGCAAAGTTAAGCATTCCCTTATGCTAAGAGACACATAGACCATCTTAGCTATACTCTAATAAGGGCAAAGATAGCCGATAGCTTATCTACCATAACTATACTAATTTTAACTCTCCTACTTAGTAGTAGTAGATTAGCTTATCCTAAGCAGTCTTATAAACCTCTTAAATATCTCTCCTGCAAGAGGCTTAGTTATACTATCTATAACTATGTCTACAGTTCTAACAAACTTAACCTATAACCTATCCTTCTTAAGGAGATCCCTTTAATAATGGTAGGCGACATTAATGTGTTTTAATCTATCTAAGATTTAAGCATCTCTTACTAGTCTAAGAGCAGCTTAGTTATCTCCTCTTATAAGAACTAGTGATCCAATTATAAACTTTGTCTTTTCCTTAATAAGAGGTTTAAATTAGTGGCTACTAATGTACTTAGTTGCTCCTATATCTCTCATTGCTAAGGCGATCTATTAAGATTGTTTTGCAGCTAAACACATAGCTATGTATTCTACGTCTATAGTTAAAGTTGCAACTAACTTCTACTTCTTACTTATCTAGCTTACTAGTCTATTTGCAAGCATAAAGACGTTTCTAAGAACTAACAGTCTCTCTATTCTGTCTAAGGCAAAGTCTAAGTCTATATATCTAACTAGACCATCGTAGTCCTTTCTACTATAGGTAATGCCTCTTAAGGCACTCGACCTAAGGTACTTTAGGATCTACCTAAGTGCTGTTATATAGAATTTAGTAGGATCTAAGAGGAATTGACTTAGTCTTCCTAAGGCGAAGCAAATGTTAGGTCTTATTAGGATAGCTAGGTACATAAGCTTTCTAACTAGAGTCTAGTACTCCTTTTAGTTAGCTCTTACATCTATCCCTTCTGCAAGTCTTAGAGATTCATATCCGTTTATAGGGATACTAGTCTTTCTTGACTTGTCCTATTGCATATTGTACATAGAGAGAATCTCTCTTATNCCTCTTCCTAGAAGTTAGGTAGTAAGTTAGCGCCCTTAAGATTAGCTCGTATGTCGTTTTCTACTTGCTAGTTTTCCCTTTCGACGAGGCCATTCTAGGTAGAAGTGTGCGGGACTATAGTTTAAGTTTTAATCCTAAATTCCACTTCAAGTCCTTTAAAGTGCTTAACTAGTTCTCCTGCATTGTTAAATCTAAATGCTTTAATAAGATACCTAGTTTGCCTTTTAACTATCACTCTCTAGACTCTAAGTTTCTCTAGACATTCCTTCCTATCCTTAATAGGGATAACCTAGGAATATCTTGTAAAATCATCTTTAATAACTATTGCTTAAGTGTTTCTAAGTCTTAACATTAGAAATGGTCTATAGGTATTAATAGATACCCTCTTAAGTGGTGCTCCCTTTCTATCTACTACCTTTCCTTTCCTCTTTCTGAACTTAGTAAGAGTATAGGTCTAGCAGACACATTTGACTACCTTAATTAGGTTCTTTATAGTCGTTATCTTGTGGATTTGAGAAATCTTCTAGGAGCCCAAGTAGGCAAATCTCTTATAGTATAACATATAGTTGTCTAGCACTTTCTTGTTATAGGCTTCAGCATCTAAATTATCACTTAACTCTTCTATTACTTCATCTTAGGTAATCTCTTCTTAGGCAGCAAATGTAAGTGGTTTATCTAAGCTATAGGAGGGCGAGTGATGGATGTTGCTTAGGACATAGACACCACCTTATTCTTTTGCTTTAAGGATAGTGTGTCCCTTAGGATTGACATAATACATCTTCTTATTATTAAACCTTCCTTTAATCCTATTCCTGCATAGCTTTCTCCCTAATAGAAGGTTCACTCCTAGACTAGGAACGAATAGGACATCCTTTAAGATAATCCTAGCCTTATCTTTCCCTTAGATTCTAACCTCTCCTCTTCTGTTTAAGTATAGCTTTCTACCTCCTACTATTATTGTAACTTGTCTAATTTAGGTAGGAGG